TTGGGTATCTATGATGTCGGGTTGGCTCTTCTGTCTGCCCTCGTTTGCTAGCTTATCTGCTTCCTCATTTCCGTGTATTCCCGCATGGCCCTTGACCCATGTTAATCTTGTACGTGCTCTTCGATTTTGTATCTTCGTGATGGTCAGTTTTGCTAGGTCTCCGTTCGCCGCCAGGAAGAAGCCTTGGTCTTCCCATTTTTGGAGACTTTTGGTGAGTCCATTTACGCAGTACATTGAGTCCGTTTTGATGTGTATTGGTGCTCCTGGTGGGCAGATCTCTATTGTCTCTTTAATCGCTAGCATTTCCGCTATTTGGTTGGATGGGCCGAGTTCGTTCGGGACTTTTATTGCTTTGTTTTCTCGGTCGTCGTCTTCGAAGTAGATCCCTGCTCCTGCTTCGGTTCCTTCCCTGCCGTTCTTTGTCGCTGACCCGTCTGTGTAGGCTTCGAGTTCTATTGTTTCTTTGTCGGGGTTCTCTGCGTGTTCGCGGCTCGGTGCTGTTCGGCTGTGGTTGGTTTCCTCTTCCGTGAAGATTCTAAATACGTCTGCGATGTTGCCCGTTGTTGTGACTCTTTGGTCTATGTCAATCGTTCGTTCCCCTGCTGCTTCTGTTTCTTTCGGTGTCATCTTGTGTTCGTAATCTTCTGGTTGCCTTTTCCTGGGGTCCCATTTCTCGTCGAGTGAGTCTAGCATGTCTCGTGCCTTTTGGTAGCATGCGTGTGGATGCCTGCAGTGCGTTATTGTTTTGGTTATTGTGCATGCGTTGCAGCGGCATGTTCTGGATGCTTTGTGTCGGGTGGTTCCTATTTTTTGGGACAGTAGGACTGCGTCGTTCACTGTTATCATTTTATGGTTCTCCTTGAGGCATCTTATGGTTTCTTTTTTGAATATCCACATCCTCCATTGGGCGTTGGACTTGGTGTGATTCCAGATTACCATCTTGCTTTGGATTTTCCGCGATACTGCTATTGCTTCGATCGCTACCCCGTGTTTCTTTCCGGCTTTGGTCATACGTGCTAGGTCCGTTCCTATCTCTTTTGTGGTTACTTTGTGTTTCCAGTCCTGAAGGTATGAATTTAGGCGGACACTGAGTTCGACATTGTTCCCTTCAGAGGACATTTTGTTGGCGAATATCTCGTCTGCTACAAAACACCACAGCGGTCTGTCGGGTCCGAAGTCTAGGTATGTTTTTAACCACATGATAGCTATTGCTTCGTTTCTCGCTACTATATCGAGCAGGTCTCTTCCTCCCATCTCTGTTGGGGCATACACCGTTTCTTGGTTGATTGTAACTCTCTCTTTTTCCGCCCATATGAACTTTCTAATCCTTCTTTCTAGCCGGTTTTCAATTTCTTTCGGCATTCCCTGTACTGTTGCTAGGTATTGTGACATTCCTCCTACAACCATAAGGATGATGAGCCTGCGGCCTGCCATGGAGGGTTTTCCTTGTTCCCATCTGTCCAGGGCTTCGTCGATTTTCTCGAGGGTGCGTGTCCATGTGTCTACTTGCTGTACGTGGTTCCCAATCCATGCTCCGAGGCACCTTACTGGCTCGCCCTCTTTTGCAATTCTGACATGATTCGGGATCATGGTGCCATCCATTCCGTTCACGAAGTGGTTGGCTCTTACTCTGTCTCTGTGTTCGAGTTTTCCAATTGGTATCATTTCGGTTTTGTTAATGTTAAATCTGGCCCCTGATGCGATACACCATTCGTCAACAATGTCTAGTAGGGATCCGAAATCGTCTTGCCAGTCTAGGTAGATGACCGTGTCATCAGCAAACAGTGTGGCAATGAGTCTCTCGGCTTTTCCTTGAATTTTTATTCCGCGTAGGTCTGATTGTCTTAGTGCTTCAGCCAGGGGTTCTATTGCGAGGTTAAAGAGGAGGCACGAGAGTGGGTCTCCTTGACGGACTCCTCGTGTTACTTTGAACGGTTTCGTGCTTTTTTCTCCGTTTAGTATCACATATGTATGGGCGTCACCGTATAAGGCTTTGATCGTGTTGATGAATTTATCTGGAATTCCGTAGCTTTTCAGTGCTTTCCAGAGATAGTCGTGCTCAATTTTATCATAAGCTTTCTCTTGATCTAGAGCGACGATGACTCCGTTTTTTTCTGTTGCTTCTGCCATTTCTATAATTCGTTTGGTAAGCCATATTTGGTCTTTGATTTGGCGTCCTTTCACAAATCCTGCCTGGTTGGGATGGATGAGGTCTGGGGCTATGTCCGCCAATTTGATGGATAACGCTTTTGTAAATATTTTGTAGTCTGTATTAAGGAGAGAGATTGGTCTGTAGTTTGCGATATCTGTCTTGTCGTTCTTTTTATAAAGTGGGCATAGCCAGCTTTCAGCGAATTTAGTTCCGGCAATAATGCCATTTGATTCGATGTCATTGTACACTGTCGTAAGGCATCTTAGAACATCAAATGCTGGTTTGTCAGCTTTGACAGCTGTCTCGTGTCTATCTTTCAATGTCTTCCATAGTTCGTATGGGATACCGTCTAAGCCCGGTGCTTTGAAGTTGGCTGAGGCTTTCAGGGCTTCGTGTACGTCCTTTAGTGTCAAGTTCTTTTTCAGTTTCTCGTTTTGTTCCTCTGTTGTCTTAGTTTTTGTTCTAGCCAGGACTTTCTGGATTATTTCTTCACGATCGTTGTGGTCGATTTCGCGTCTGTCGTTTTGCAGCTTTTCGTGGTATTCTTTGGCCATGTTTGCCATCCGTTTCGAGTCTGTCTCGTACTCTATGGGCGTTTCCTGGTTACTAAAGGTTGGCGTTGGTTTTTTCAATCTGTGAATTGTGTCTCTAGGTTTGCTCGGCTTATTGATTTTCGACCAGTATCGTCCGATAATCTCGCCGTGGAGTCTGTTTTGGATCTGGGCTGTGAGCCTATTTGATCGGTATCTCTGTTTCTGGAGTTTTGCGATCTGATCAATGATTACTGTTGCGTTTAGGTGTTTCTCCTCCTCCGGTATCATGTTGTCTGAGAAGACGTTCTCAAGTTTCAGTTCTAGTTCCGCAATTTCTTTTATGATTTTGGGGACCACCTGCTTGGCTCTCTCTCGGGCTTTACTTCCGATTTTGGCCTTGAAGTTTGCCCACAAGGTCTGCGCGTTGTATTCTCTTGTTCTTCTTGCGTTCCCTCCTTCCTCGAGGCTGGATAGTTCCTCGCTTAATTCGATTCCGCATTGTTGGATGTGTGTGGCTAGGGGTTTGTCTTTCATAATATATGCCGGCCATGCCCATCGTCCTCGTCCCACCGTCGGGGAATTCTCCGTGGTTACTTTCATCCATGTGAGATCATGGTCTGTCTCGATGCCTATCCTTTTGATGCCCCAGTCGAAGCTGTTATTGAATGTGCTCGGGTTCACATATATGCGGTCGATTCGGGATAGTGATCCTCCGAGTGCGGCTGGCTGTCTGAATGTATATTCTCTGGTGTCAGGGTACGTGGCCCTCCATCCGTCTATCATTCCTATTGCTGATTTAAGTGTATCTAGTGCGTCTACTGCATTCTGGTCATCCTCGTGCGTCGGCAATCTGTCAATAGCTGCCTCCACGATGTTTGTGTCGCCTGCCATGATGTCCGGTCGTCGTACATTTGGGTGGTCTTCGAGGAATTTCTCGATCTCTTCCCAAAATTTTTTGTTTTCTGCTGGGTTGTTTGGTGCGTATACCCCAAGGATTGATAGCGGGTTCCCATTTGCATGTTTTATTTCGAGGATCATCGCTCTCCCGGGTATGACTTCGTGGGTTTTCGATCCGTCTGTTTTTGTCATGTTTTTGTTGATTACAAAGGCTAGGCCTGCTGAGTTAGCGGACCTAGGGTTCTCCGTGAATTCTATCCGCATCTTACGGCTAAAGAGTTTATCAATTTCGTTCTTCCTTTCTTGATTCATGTGCGCTTCCCCCACGATGAGTACCGCTATCTTTTCTTCTCTTACTATTTGCCATATGCCAAACCATTTGTTTTCAGGGTGTTGGACGTTCATGTTTCCATGGCCCCTTATGTTAAGGCCAGCAATCTTCAGTGCGGCTCTCATTTTCTTTTTTCCGTTACTAATGTTTTCTCTTAGCGTTTCTGGTCCGGGGTATACCCGTGGCTGCTCGTTGCGCCTTGGTTGTTGTGGGTTAGCATCTGTCTGGATGTTTGGTGGTCTGTTTTGCTGTGTGCGTTCGTCGTGCGGATTAGTTTCTTCACTATTTCCACTTGTCTCTCTGACATTTATTCCGCCTCTAGCGGTCCCCGTGAGTGGGGGGGGGTTTTCTCCTTGAATCCCATGTGCTCTCTGCACATTAGCCCCGCTGTTGGTGCCCCCCGGCATGCCTGTTGCTGCCAGAGTTGCTCCCCGAGGTCCATCATTGACTTCTCGGGACGCGCCTTCTCCGGGTGGAGGATGGCTGTCGTCCCGGGTTGTCTCCGGGCGACGGTTCGCCATATCCCCTCCGTCACGTTCTCCTTCTTCGGTTGTCCCCTGGCCGGTGGCGGAGCCTGGGTCCCCTCGGGATGGCGTGGTCATTGGTGCCGGTTGTCCAGTTTGTTCGTCCATGTGTTCGTGCTCATCTTGAGCCAGAGTGAGGTTGTTATTTGATCTTTCCGCAGCGTTTTGTTGAGACACGACGTGGACCGCGCCTAGGCCCCCGTCGTCTTGTCTTGGTTTTTGGAGTTTGCTAGAAGGTGCGCCGTTTCACAGTATGGGTGTGTAGCGGCTTACCTTATGCATGCCAGGATTGCTGGCTGGCGGACTCCGACCTAAATAGGTCCCGCCAGTGCGGCGCGTCAGGCTGGTAACCGGGGTTGCCTGCGAGACGCGCTTTCCCTTCCCCGTTTCCCGTCCTATACTTTTTTTTTGAAAGTGTAGTCGGTATATTTGGCGGGGTCGGGTTGCGCTTTTTCGGATGCACGGTTCCGATAGCGACTTCTTCTGAGCCCAGACTCGGGGAGGGGTTGCCCTTGGTTTACTATGGTGCTGCTCATGAGATGGGTGGGGGGGTCGGGCTTTCACGGTGAGCAAGATGGTATTCTATGGGTATGGGATCTGATATGTATTCTACGTGGGCGTTCTCGTTAGGGGGGGTCTATGTGTGTCTTCCACGACCACGGCCACGGTTCGGGAGGTTTCCTCCACCTCGGCTTCGGGAGCTTCCTCCGCGGTGTACACCTCCGCCTCTATGGTTGTTGCGGTCGTTGCGTTTCGACGCCTTTGATGCAAGCGGATGGTCCGGGGGAAGACGTGAGAGTTGGTCTGGTGGGCCCCACCATTTGGCCGCTGTGAACGGGCACATGCGGGAGGGGTGGTCGTCGAGCTTGCATATGACACAGCCTTTGATTGAGCCATCGTACATGTCGACGCTCGGTTTGTATCGGATGGCGCCTGCTATGTATTCCTCTTGTCTCAGCATCTCGCGGAGCTTGAGTTGCTCGGCTTCTGATCCAAACCCAGGATCCATGTATACCGCCATGGTGGCGCATTCGCCATCGTTTCTGTAGACCGCATCGATGCTGAGGGCGATGTGGTCGATCCGTTTTTCCAGTGGTCCGGTCAGCGGTTGGGTCATGCGGTCGAGGTGTAGCACGATTTCGTTGTTTGTGTGCATCCTTTCTCGGATCGCACCTCGAAGTTCCGCCATCATCTCTTCTGTGTCCGTTATCGACGACATCTCGAAGTGTGCCAGTGTCCAGCTACGTTTCTCCTCCAGGAGGGTTGTCGGCCAGTATGCGGTGCAGTTGTTTACTGCGATGAACGGCTCTTGGAGGATGGTGTCGCGGGTGTCTGAGTCTTCGCATCTGAGGAATGCGACCATAGGGGGTGCGTATTTTGCCCCTTTTCCGTTGCCTTCGGAGACTGGGGCGACATAGTGGATTTTGTCTGAGATGCCGGAGAGGGAAAGCTTGACGTCCGTCCCGGTCTCATTGTGTCTGCTATTGAATAGATGCTGACCGCCCAGTGCCATGATGATGATTATGGTTTTCGACGGATCCCATGACTCGACTTGTTTTCGCTGGGCTTTGTCGACCCCTTCCCAAATTCTGTATCTGGCGATATTGTGCACTGGGAAGACTCCCCCTTGTACTCGCTGGAAGGGGGCTTCCCCCTTGGAGTTTAGCGTGGGTGTAGGGCGTTCGTCGACGACTTTTAGGTGCGGGTTGTCGTCACGGTGTTTCGCTTTCGTAGCCCCGAATTCTGTGTCTGACATGCGTATGTAGGTTTCGTGGTCATCCATGGTGATCTCTTCGATGTCTGCTCTGTTCTCGGTGTTGGTTGTGGCAGGTTCTTGGGTGTTTTCTGCGTTTATGGGGGATTCGGAGTCTTGGTGGGGCTCGGCGTCTATGTGGATTTCGTTTTCGCCTGGGGTCGGGCTTGCCTGGGTGTCTGTCTCGTGTCGCTCAGCGAGGGGGGAGGCTGGTTGTGTCTGGAGGCTGATTTCAGTCTCGTTCGGGGTGGCGTTGTCTCGTCCTCGTTTGTCCGTGCCTCTCCGTTTGTATGGTGCTGGTCTATCGTGCTCGCGGCCTTTGCGCACCACTAGCTCGCCTTGTGTGTGTTTGGGGATGGTGTCTGTTCCTGGGACTTCTGTCTGGGATGTCTCTGCCAGTTTGTTGGTGGTTGGGAGGTTTTCTTTTTTTATGAAAAGGGTGTGTGTAGGTTCGTGTAGGTGTCAACGTGTCACTGGTTTTTGGGCCGTCGGCTAGGTTCTGCCAGCGGTGCGTGTTGGTTCTCGTATGTTTCGTGTCTTTTATGTTTTTTCCCTCAGAGTTTTTCTTCTCTGGGGGGGTTATTATCTCTCGTCTGTAGAGGATATCTTCTATCGCTTTTCCGATATGCATGCGGTTACATCTTGGAGGGTTATATCCACTCGGTTCATACAGTCTATTTTGTATTTCTTTAGGTTACTGCAACCCTTTTCCCCGTCTGTCAGGGTGCCACTTTTCTGTTGGGCTGGCGCTCCTTTTGAGCGTCCCGTCGCCTGTTGCGGCGGGGGGAGCCTCTGATTTTCTTCCTCACGCATCAGATGATGGTGGTAAGACATCAAGAAGCCCCCCGCCGAGCATCATTTTGCATAAGCGATATTACGAGTCCTGCTCACAGCTTGTCACTCTTAACCTAAGCTTAACGCTGACCAGCGCGTCAAGAAGCTAGACATCTCCTACTTTCAGCCGTGCACTGCGGAAATAAGCACTGACCTCAACTGGCAGCAGTCCGCCGTCAAGGCTCAAATCCTCACCATGTCCGTACTCGAGATCCACGTGTCCATCCTCGGCTAGTGAGTGCGCACCGGATACAGCGAAGTATACGGCTAGACACGCATACTCTCAAGCAGAGAAACGCAGTGCGACGTGCTCATCCGGAAACCCATCCCCGCCAATGTCGCGAACAATCTGCCGCTCCTCGACGCGTTCGCGCAGACGTCCACGATGGCGATCGGCTTCGATATGAAGCACTCGCAGCGGTGGGAGTGCGAGCAATGCGGTGCGTTGCATCCGCTCGAACTCTCTGACTGCCACGGTTGACTTTGACTAGGCAAGCCCGCATCTGAAACGTGGCTGGATCCGCGGCCGACGATCACTCCCGCTCAGTCGCTGGTGACTCTATACGTGAGGGTGGCCCACGTGAATCTGCGGCGCGTTTTATGTTTTCTAGATGCACCAGCTGTGCCCATCGTGTCATGCTGCGGTCGAGACAGGCATTCGAGACCGGCGCGCCAAAGCTAAATCCGAAGCAGAAACCTCGTCCCCGCGCATTGACGGTCCCAGCACCGCTCAAATTGAAGTGACCCCTGGAGGCGACTCCCATCCGTCCTCGAAACCTCCCGCTCCCCGGCCGATGGCTGCAGCGAGCACGTGCGTCTCATGCAAGTCAGCGGAAACCGGTTCTCCGGAGTATCCGATGTCGAGGTGCAGTAATTGCAAGCTGACACGGTATGTTTGAACAGTTCTTGTCTCGTGCCTTTTGATTAAATTTCTCGAACGCGCTTAGATATTGCAGGTGAGAGCACCATATGAGTCGTCTTCGTCCTTCGCTGAAATGAACTAGCGCTAAGTGTCAGACAGCGGACTGGACGCGGCACGGGAAGGTCTGTGCGCTCGCTGTGACACGAGCTATTTCATGTGATTTATTCTCGCTCTAGATCTGCAAAACGATCACGGAGGTGAAGTGGCTCAACTGGGAGGACTCTAGCGATCCCAGTTATCGAATGCCAGGGTCCTTTGATTGAAGAAGGGACATCGTTCCAGTAATGAAAACGGATGTCATAGGAGGGGGTATCTCTGGATGCCGGACAACATCTATTTACGACGAAATCAGCTTGTGTACGCTGTCAGCAAGTCTACAGGGGCTTCCAATCAGGGATCAATGACTATTTCGTCTCCGATAGAAGCAGCTACGCCGCAATTTTGCTTCGAGTAGTCAATGAAGCCCCCAATATTCTCATCATGTTCCTTGGATCTCTTCTAAAGCGCGCTCTCATAATGGCCACCGCCATCAATGTGGAAGATATCGGGATCCAGATTTTCGAATTGATTCACACATACACACCTACTTGCTCCCCGTACTTCGTTCTGTGACCTCTAGGACGGGGACTTGGTCGGACACCGCTGCTGAAAGCTCCAGTGAATCCCCAGGGATTGGCTCCAAGGCCCCGAGGTAAAGCCGCCCAGAAGTCTGATGCTGAGGTTCCCATTCAGCGAAGGCATTACTGGCAGCCATGGGGAGGTTCTCCCAAATTCTTGTGGCAGAATACTTACGACTCGATTCCGGGCTATGCAGATTTCCTGAGTGTCGTGTGCGTGGCTCCCAGTTCTCCGAGCATCAAGTTAGCTATCACGTTTGAACTATGGAGATGAATCTGGGATAGCTTGCCGCGCCATCCGAGCAGGGGGATCAGGAATCGGATTGAATTCATCTTCGCAGTGACAGAATCCTGTAGATCCATCCCACAGCCCCAAAATAGCTATCATGAATGCGACTCTATCTTTACAGTGACAGAATGCGGTATTATTCATCCCACAGCTTCAATCCACCCGTTTGGACGGTATTCATAACTCGCCGCGGGACTCCCGTAGAGCTGGTCCAATAGGATTACATCAATCCCCAAAGTCTCACTTTCGACAAAGAAATTGATTTTCATTTTTCACACAGTCTGAAGTATTAGAAAGATACACCAACATATTACATTATTTGCTGTGTTGACAGCGGCAAAGTCAAAATACGAGTCCTGCGAGAACCCACTTCAAGCAGGCAAGAATCACGTGGGATCCTAGCGGGAGCGTTGTTCCGGATCCCATACATCCACTCAAATGTGTATGAGCTCGGGTGTCATACTCGCCGATGCAAACCTTTCCCTCAGGAACCAAAATTTCTTGGTCAAGTGCCTCGCTTATCGGATCGATGGTGAACCAGGCATCCCGGGAGAACAGTGATCGAAGGAATTGAATGACTTATCAATACACGCGATTGAACAGCTCAGCTCGCTGGTGACCGCATCCAAAAACAAACGCGTATTCTTGTCGACACCCACAATCAGATACAGCCCAACTTTGAATGGAGATAAGGTGGCGTCCCACCCCATACATAACGCGGCACCTGGGTAACATCCCATCTAGCAACAAATCGCACTCCTTCGACCCACCCAACCACTTGACATCGCATACCATGCAGTTCGAATTCAACCTGAAGGCAATCCTCGTCGCGCTCGTCGTTGCTGCCGTCGTCGTCGCAACTCCTACTCCCGAGCCCATAGGGGGTTGCACGTGCAAGACTATCGGCGGCACGGTCGAATGCTTCGGCACCGGCTGCCTTTGAGCTGGTGTGCGTTCACTCTCTTGCCCATTTCGATTGGGATTTCTGACTCGGTGGCGGTTGCAGAGAAAGTATTTGTTGCTGAACGGTGTAGTCGGACTTGGGCCCAGGGTGCTCCCTGGCGCAACAAATCAGATGTGATATATGCGGGAAAATGCCGTTGGTGTAATAAATGTGTCCTACACGATTGATTATTGAGGAAAAGAAATCCATTCCCCGTTCTCAATTCAGCGTAACGTGCAAGACAGTTCAAAAATATTTTTCAAAACTGCATGCTCTTCTGACATCTCTACTGGCAATATCCACCATTGGTTTTCAGGAGATTCAATCAGATGGACAACGTTTCAAAAACCATCAATGTGAGCGCCATGAACTACCGGTAAATTTGCCATGCTGAGGAATGCAATACATACGGGATGATAACATCTTCAGTGAGTCGATTGTGACGCCCTGTCACGGGAGCAATGCAGGCTGTTTGATTCGGCCCTGGTGTTCCTGTGGCGATTGCAGTATCTACGGGAGAAGCACGCTTAGGCCAGTCGCACCGGATCATCCTCTTTGACATCGGTGCACAGATAACACGGAACTGTCCATGGTATCCAAACGCACGGCTAGAATCCTGCATTGTGGGATCGAGCGCAGTCTCTTGTAGTGTTTGAGAGACAAAAGAGGGACGTGGCAACAGTTCCGTTTCTGAGAAGACTGTATTCGTCCGCGGAAGCTGAGCAACAGGGGGAACAAGACAGTCTTCTGCATCCGTCAGAGTAGAAATCGACGGGTCAAGCTGGCACTGGCACGCATGTGTATCTAAAGCAATTTTCAGAGAACGATTTGAAGCGTTGTGTGGATATTTTTCTCTGTGGAGACAGCCGCATAACGCGAACAGCACCGTTCGGAAGATATCGGGATCACGATTCCCGAACCGGTGTAGCTGACGAGTTGATCCGAGATCACCACGCCTGCACATCCAAACACACGTTTGCTTGTCCCGTATACTTAGCCTTTGCGGCCTCGTGGACGAGCGCTATGCGGTCCGACGCTGAAAGGCCGACTCCATCAACATAGACAAGCGCCAAATCTCCCCGACGCGACGACGCCCGGACATCTGATAGGAAGAGTCCCGTTCAGCCGAAGCGTTGCTGGCAGCCATGTGGAGTGTCCTGCAACTTTCTATGGCGTAACAATAGGCCTTTACCCCGGGCTGTACGGATTGCTCGGGAGTTGGGTTCGGGGCTCTGAGGTAGGCCGGGCGTAGGGCTTGCCCGCACCTTGGATACATGAACATAGATCAGTGATCGCTTGTCGCCACTCCCAACCAGGGCACCCAAGAACGCGAATCTATCTATACAGTGACAGCATTCTGGATATCCATCCCAGCGCCTCGAACAAGCTATTTGAGCGCAAGTGCCTCCGTCCGTACTTCCCTGGCCCGGTCGCCTGTTTCTCCTCTTTCCCACTTCTCTCTCCATCTTTTCTCCCCATTTTTTTTCGGGTCCTCAATCCATTGCCTGATTCCATGGCTTCCAACTACGTTCCAGAGCCTATTCAACGCTGGTCCGCTGGTACCGAGTCCGAATCTAGTATCGGAGAGAAGTTCGGAGACAAAGACGTCGAATCTGGGCGACAAGCCCGGGCTTTCCCGATGTGAGTGTTAGTATCATCCCATGATGTCGCCTGCTCACTCCGATCGAATTGCAGTCGGGTCCTTGCATGGCCCATCATCGTTATCGTGATGCAGTTCACGTTGCTGATGCTCACAGTGGGGCTTTTTGAGCATGTGCGCGCGCGCGGGCAGGTTCCGCTCCCCTTCGCCACCGCTGTCTTCTTCCGCGACGAGCATCAGGTCGCGACATACGTCGTCACATTCCTTTCTACAATCCTGTCTACCTTTTCTGGATTGTAAGTCTGGCTTTGCAGCTGACGTGCCGAAGATATCGACGATCCCCAGTCTGCTCTCCCAGGCAATCCGTGTGGCCATGGTCGTACACCTCTCGCATCAGCCGATCCAGATCTCCGCTCTCCAGTCTATGATTAAGCTGGCCGGAAAATCCCTGATTATGAACGGGCGAGATCTGCGCTGGACGGCCTGCGCTACAATCGTATTCCTCGCAGCCATGGAGCAAACGGCCAGGTGCGTCGGTACCTTACCGGGACAACGTGCCACTGATGATTCCACTGCACAGCTGGAACACGCTCTTCACGCCCACTACTATCACGTTCGACGTCCCGATGGTCGGCGCGGAAGTCGATATTGCGAATCCCTCGCTGCTGGCACAGTTCAACAATCTGTACCTGAATGAAATCAGGGGCACTCGTGAGTCTATTCCAATTGCTCTTGACGAAGTCGCGATGAACTAAGGCCATCCAACTTCACTCAGTGAACACGACGGTGACTGCGGTTACCAACACCGCGGGGACCACCAACGCGCTTTCGGCCACGGGCTACTCAACCATCTTCAACTTTGAGAGCGAGGCATACGACGCAACCACGGGTGCGTCTTATAGGTTATCTACGGCCCCGAGCTTACATCGGAATATCAATTGGACAGGCGGTATCCTGCCCGTCAACATGGTTTTCGATGCCCCGGCTGGGAGTCCACCTCCAGTCAGTATCTACCCGCAATACTTCAACACGCGGAACACCGAGGCGCTCCCACCCCTTGTGACGGACCTCAATGTCACGATGGTCCAGCAGGGCCTAACCGCCGCTGTGTCCTGCGCCGCGCAGAACCTCAACGCGCAGACCGATCCGTCTGTGACACCGCGGCAAGCGCCGGCGCAGGTGACGATCGCAGGCGTGAGCAGCACCGGCCTGACGAGTTATGAGATGGATACTTTCTGTCAGGGGAACCCGTTGAATCAAGGTGCGGGTTCGGAGCTTTAACCGACTGGTAGCGTGCTAAACGGGCGCATGGACGAGTAGCCAAGCTGTCGTTCACGGGGAATGTCTTGATCATCGCGGGGTGCCAAAGACCTAACTCGACCACTGATTATAGTATGTGCTGTTCACCTGAGCCTGGTGCTGCGAGTGGAAAGCCTGACTCCCCTTCAGCGATCGTGATCTATCCCTTTGGGATTTATCGAGACATGGGCTCCATCGTGTGCCGCGTTTCTCCGCAGATCGTGAATGTCACCACGACCTACACCCCACGCCTGATCTCTACCGTCTTCAACAACAGCGCGACGCCCATCCCCATCAACGGCGACGTCACATTCGCGGTGCTGGATATGCTGACGCAGGTCATTGGGCTAGGGCAGAGCGAGACCAGCAATGTCATCGGGGACGCCATCATGAACATATTCAGTGATCAGGTCTACGGGGACCTTCAGTACACTGATCTCTGGGTGAGTCCCGTGCTGTCTAGGGAGAGAGCGCGAGAGCTGACCGACTTCTCAGGAACAATACTTTCTCGGCGCGCTCGGATTCATTTCCACGGTAAGAAGCTGTCGTTGTGCCATTTCTCTCCGGTTCTTCATCTGCTCCTGCCAGGCCATCAAAACCCAACTCGCCGTCCCCAAGACCGGCGTGTTTGCGCCAAACGGCCTCCCCGAGTCGATGTCCAAAGCAATCCGCGGGACAGCGACGGTCGCGACCATCGGGTGGCAGTACACCGTTGAGGGCGGGCTCCTGCTCATCCCCAGCATATTCATCGCGCTGCTCTCCATCGCGGTGGCGTCCTATGCGATCTTCGAGGCGCTGCGTGTGCGCGTCGAGACGCGGGCCGCGTTCGATCCGTGCGATCCCATCGCGCTGATGGCGGCTGCGTCGGCGGGCGGCATGGAACATGCGTTTACTGGACTGGGTGCGGAGGAGGTCGAGGCTGGGAAGGAAAAGCGGATCCGGTTGGGCAGGACCCGTTCCGGGAGAGAGGGGCTTGTAGAGAGTATGGACTGAAGAGATAGGGCCACCAACTCGTTTTTTTTGTTTACATTCAGGAGGGCCCAGTTGATTTCCTAGGTTGTCAGTATCGCTTAATTGCAACAGATCCGCGATTTTGATGTAGCAACGGACGCGCCGGACAGAGTTCACGTGCCACATCCAAGCCACAAGGTTTATTCTGAGTGCACCATGGAATACTCTCACCTCGAAATCAATCACCAGGGCAGTCAATTATAAGCAGTCAGAAATCTGGGCGGTCAGGCTGCCGATCAGATAGGGTCCGGTACAAGATGCAGAAGTCATTCAAGTGTACAGAATATACAGTATATCGTTATTGCGTCCATTGCGCGAAACAGCTCCAAACTAGCCTAATCGCTCACTGTTGCATTCTCCGTCTCGAATCTTTGCCCAAAAGCGTCTTCCTCGGCTCCCAGTATCCCGAAATCCGTCAAGAAAGCCGTGTAAGAGGGCACGCGCACCCGAACCCCGATCGCTTCATTGTCTACATGAGCAGCCGACACTAATGCGGGCGTCTGCCTCTCCGCCTTAGAGTCACGCCGTTTGGTGCGGAACGCCTTGGTGAGAACGTTCAGAGTGTGGTAGCGTGGACGGGTCCTCGGGGGCAGCTTGGCCGGCGAGATGGGTGTCCGCACGAGACTCGCAGAGATAGGCGTATTGGGCGGTACACTGGGTGGGAGAGGTGTGATCGGGGAGGGTGGCGAGCTCAGGTCTGTGAAGGCTGTGTTGGGAGTCGATGGAACTGTGAAGAAACCCATTTCGTCGGTGGACTCCGATGCACCACTGGATTCTTCGCTGCTGCGGCTCGCGTCTGCCTCAGCGGTGGCATCTGAAAATGTGCCCTGGCTAGCTGGGGCGGTGCGTTGGCGAGTGAACCGGCCGAGAGCACGCCGGAGGCTCTCCGTCCTCCATCTCCCAACGCTCGTCTTGAGCTTCATGGAATGAGCACGTCGCACGCCATCCTCGTACTCCATCAACGCCCCCGTCCTGTTAGTCGGTGCCTCACCGACGGGTACGATCGACCCCGACTCGTCTGCGTTGATGTGCAGCACGTACTCGTCGCTGAACGCGAGTGGAATCGGGACGAACCCGCGGCGCGTGTCGATTGGCGGGAGTCCTCTCGGGAGCTCCTGGCGCTCGAAGAGAGTATTACCGCTGGGGGTGTGGCTGGGTGGGTGCGGGAATCCGTCGATGATGGGCGTGAGCGAGCCCGGGTCGGCTGCGGCGGGGAGCGCAATGCCAAGCGACGCGATCAGGTGCTCCTGCTCCGGGGTAAACGAAGTTTCCGGTGTGCAGGGTGTGGTTGGAAAGTCGATGTACGAATCACGTCGGTGAGGCATGGCGGGCGGAATCGTACTGTGATGCGACGAGGCCAGTCGACTCTTTATAGGACGGTGGCACGCAGCTCGAGCAAAGGGTCAGCGCCAAAGCGTGAATGAAAAAGCCATCTATGAAGGCTTCAGGACGCTGCAAATGCTGCGCTTGGAGCTTTCTCTCCATTTGCGAAGCCTTCGAGATAAAGACTGGGACAGGACAAAGACAGACTGATCCGATCAGCTTGACTTTTCCCACGATTGTTGCTCACTGGATAGACAATGAATCCCTCGAGCTAGTGCTTCTAACAGACTGCGACACCGATGAATGATCGAAAAAACGTCGGATTAAGTTTACTCTACAGCTCTAACCTTATCTTTTCAGGTGAGGCTTCGACAGGGGACCTGCTCATAATCAAATGAAAGCCCTTCGTTTAGCTTTCATATTTCCTCAGTTGGGCTGAATCATGTCTGAGAGCACTGTTCCTGAAGATTCTGTGATTTATGCACAAAATACATACGACGAGAGGATAGTGGACACTCAAGCGGGACTGATAACATACCCGGAAATAAGTACGAAGGCGATGGAATTGTTTGTTGATCGAGAAAGCGGATCGGTTCTTCCATCTTACATCAGCGTTTCTCTGCACCAAGTGAAGAGTTCCCCAAAATTCATAAGACGCCAGTGAATATCTCGATTGAGCTGATGGATAGCAGGGAAAATTAGGTTGCGAAGCCCTGGAGCCATTGCTAAACAGATCAGATGCGGCTGAGTTGAAAAAATGGGCTGGAGACTCGAGAGGAGCACTTCGGCAAGAGTACGGCTTCGCTTTCAAAGGAAATCCCAGAAGTGTTCGAAGGGAGAATGTTTGAAGGCAGTACGGGATCATAAAGCTCATCTCTTGAAGCGCTTTCGGAAAAAAGAGATAGAGATGGAAGCAGAAGGACGGAGCACTGACGGATGACGTCAGAGAATCCATGCCAGAATCACTCACAGCCAAAGCACACCCACTGTGCCAGGGTCTCGCTTCGGGCACCACGTGCATCTTCTCTCCCTGGCCACCCTGATTCGAAAATTCCTGGTGAATGTAACTCTCCGGGTACCGGTATACACACTTCTTCGGGCGCACGAGCCGATCGCTGGGCTCCGGCGCATATCTTGCTTCGAGGGTGAAGGGAGTCGGGGAACGTATGGGGGGTAGCAGCGAAGCTCTGCCATTCCTGCAGAGGAGGATAGTAAAGAATAGAACGAAATAATCAAGTTCAACATATTGGCTTTTTTGCTGGACTGGTCGTTCTGGAACTGAATGCAGAGATGATGAAAGCCGGGATTCATCGGAGAATCGCTCCGATGGACAATACGTAAGGATGATGACGACAAGTCACGTGCAAACTCTCCGCTGGTGTCTACTCTTCTCAACGAAATGCGACCATCGGCACAGATAGGGCGAGGCTGTCGAACTTCCCCTCCACGCAGATGGGCCTAGCTCGGGACCGTGTGCATAGTGGCTTGACCGCGGGCTTCGGGTCCACGGGCCGCCTACATTCTTCTCTCCTGCGCACGACTTATGACCGACTTCCGCTTCCTTGCGCTTCTACATGCGATATGCTTCTATCCAGCCCTGAAACACGGCTCGCGCTTTGCTGTTTCGCTATCCCACGCCAGATTTGTTTAGTGAGCAGACCCGGGTCGGAACGGGGAGAGTGTTGAGTGGGAATGGGATTCTGGCGCCTCCGAGAATGTGATTACGCAGATGTTGACAGCGTGTTTGTGAGATTCAGAACGATGGCGTGTGCCGATTTCCCCCTCACACACGCTGTACCACGACGTACAAGGCGCCCGGAAACCATTGTCCGATCAGTGAGCCTTGTCATGCAACGAAGATTCTCAGCCACACCGTTAGAGTTCTGTTCTTGTTATCAGAGTTTCTTTCCTATGACCACCCTGCGCGAGTGGATGTATTTTTTTCAGGTGCGCGTCTGAATCCGGGGCCAACTTGAAGAGAGCGGGGCCGGATGGATCAAAGAGTGTGAGATCAGTGTTTCTCCGTTTCTCTGTATTTGCTACTCATTGCACAGAGTGCCCAATTCCACCAACGTCCGGCATTCGATTGCAGCACAGTTAGTTGATACCGCATCTACTTTGTAGCGACAGACGCTTCTGGCGGCGATGATTATCTGCTTTCTTCTCTAAAATTTCGTTTCCAACGGAGCCTCCGGGCACATGACGCGCAGGAATCAGCGGTCACAGCGTAATTGGCAATTTCGTAATCGGTTACACGGACGCAACCAAACGTCAGATCGTGTGCAGACAGCATATGTAAACCAAGTACCCGGCATCCATGAAAGCTTGGCAATCCGTAACGGGCGCACGATGATCGTCATGCAGAAGTTGTCGAACGTTCATGCGTGATGATCATATGGAAGGATGCGGAAGAGGACTGGGCATAGCACCCAGGCATGTTACAGAGCCTGTGATAAGGCCAGCAACGACGGTCAGACTATTTCCGCCCGGCCGAGAAGCAGAAGGACGTGCTCACGAGACCCATCTTTGCGTCTCGACTGGGATTAGCTACTGACGAGAAAACTCTCAGACGTGGACTTGGCCGAAGGGGGATGTAGTGCGGTGGAGTGTGAGGGAACCGCTGATGCGCACGAGAAGCGGAGAAAGCCCGGGTGTGGTCGTAATATGGGCTAGGTCGTAAAATTAGGCCTCAAAAACGGCCGTAAAGGAGACCTGTCGGAGCCCTCCATTTCGCAGGACTCAACCAGTCCCACGCACGGATGCTCGTAGGCACACGACTGAGCGGATGTAAAGCGCTGCGGGTCGTCCCCGACAGAATGGAGTTGTTTGTGCATGTGATGTCGCCAAGGTGTCAGCTGCCCCTTCCCCAGACTGCGATGACTTGCTTCCTCCCGCGCAGATTCCACTAGATTCCCTCTCTGCGCCACGCCCCCCGATCTCTAGACCACACCAACACTAGAAACCCCGCTGTTCACGCTCGGTCTGTTCAAGAAAAAGACTCGATTGAACTGCGTGCGTCCTTTCCCAGCGCAGATGCCCGGACCTCCTTGACTTGTGAGACAGACTAGACCATAGAGCAACAGCATCATGCAATACGACGACCCGGATGACCGCAGAAACCGCTTCCTTGGGAGCTCCGACCATGCCGTCGCCGACCAAGCGCACCGCGCTGCTTCTCAACCTCCGCGCTACAGCGGCCACGGCCAGCCTTTCCTGTCCTCGCCGCAGTCCAAAAACGTTGTACCGTCCAGCCTAGGTACGTAGGGATCACACGTCTCGTAATCGGCTTAGCATCGCTCACTGGGCTCAGGCGGCCCATGGGGTGGTGTGCTCTCCTCCTCGACACGCAGCTCATCCTTCTCCTCTTCCCGCTTCGAATCGACTCTCGAGGACGACGAGCTGCTGGATGGGGATGACGACGATGACGATGGACTGTACCCGCAGTACCGTGGTCGCACCGCTGTTGCCCCGGATCTTACGCGGAGCCGCAGTCACAGTCTTGCGACACAGCCCGTTGGCAGCGGGCGATCGCTTTCACGTTCGTCTTCGGGGCATGGTGTTGGGATCAACATCGGAGGAGGAGGAGCTCAGTTCAATCCGAATGTGCTCAACAGTGCGGCCAATTCATACTCGAATGCGTATCTTTACGGCAACAACGCACATGGGCATCGTTATTCGGGGTACCAGAGTCGGTGCGTCGATTCTTTTCCTGCGCGTCTGTGTCTCTTACCTTCGTTCAGATACGGCAGTCTGGGTGCGGGCTCACCCCTGGCTCAGAGTGTGCTCCGAGGCGGTGGTGCGAACGACAATACGAACATGAGCCCTTTCATGCGCGATGTCAGCACCCTGTTGCTGGACGAGAGTTCTTCTTTCCGAGAGCTCTGGAACCACGAATCTTCCGGTGGGGCTGGCCGACACGCCGCACCCGACTACGACTTGCACGAGGAACCGGATAGCGGCGCCACGTCTCGACGCCATAGCGTGACCGGCGCTCAACCTCTTCGGTTCACGGCCGGTTTCAACGCACCCGAATCAAATGTCGCGCCCCCGGTCAAGTCGGGTGCGCCGAGCTCCGGTGCTTTGGGCTTGGGATTTGGGCGCGGTGGGCAGAGTCTGTTGCTGAGCGATGACGATCTAGAGATCGGGCTGGGCAACCTGTCACTCTCTGGAAACAACAACAACGGCGGAGGATACATGTCACCCACTTCACCGCGCGGTCGCTACTCTGACGAGGACTTTGGTGCGCCGCCACCTCCGATGGGGCGGGCTCCATCGATGGGCCGGAATGGCAATGGTAACGGGCGAGGGGTTGCGCCGGGACCTGTCGCTCGCAGCCCGTCGCTGACACGTGGCGGGGCCGGCGTCAGCAAGGACTGGGCGGATGCCTACTTCAGTCCGCCGCAGCAACATTTCGAGGCCCCGGTCGGAGGCCGTGCTCGTGCGACCAGCAATGGATCCAGCACAGGTCCTGTGTTTACTCAGGTATGTGCAGCAGTTGGTCGTCCTGCCTTATGTTCCTTGTTGACCGTCGCCAGTTTCAGCAGCAGTTCGCGCCGCACCCTCAGCAGGCCATTCTCGCGGACCTTGGTAAAGGGTTGCCGCTGCACGCGGTTCCGCCCGACTGGCCGCTGTATATCGTCGAGTTCAAGGCTGGGCGGACAGACCTCTTCTATCGGGCCAAGGACCGAGAGCGGGCTGCGCAAGGTGTGTGTGCGTTGAGACTCTTTGGGTGTGGTTCTCTAACCAAGTGTAGGCTACCGCAACGGTGTGGCTGACGACCCGGATCCCATTCGGGTAGACGACTTTGTAATCGTCGAGGCGGACCGGGGCAAGGATCTGGGCAAGGTCATCAACGACTCGATCACGCTTGAGGAGGTAGAGGCGTTCTGGGCTGGCAAGGACGGCAAGTTCGGTGTGTGCTTCGACGAGCTGATGACGTGTCGCACCATGCTCACTTCACCCGACAGGCTCGGGCTCTGGTCAGTCCCCGCCGACGAGCCCCGGCGGTGCTGGCGATGGCAAGAAAGAGATCTGTCCCAAGATGATCTACGGCAAGGCAGGACCCGCTGAGGCCCAGTGAGTTTGAGCACTGGCTCGTAAGTTCCGGCACTCACGCTCAAACAGGCTTCTCGTCGCCAAGATGCAAGATGAAGCGAAGGCTCTTGCCCTCTGCCAGTCTAAGGTCCGGGCGAAAAAGCTGCCTATGGAAGTAGTCGACGCCGAATATCAGTGGTGAGTGCGCTATGGGAACGGGATGTTTTGTCAGCATCCTCATGACATCACAGGGATCGACGCAAACTGACGTTCTACTTCGTGGCGGAGAAGCGCATCGACTTCCGGGAGCTTGTTCGTGAGCTGTTCCGGTGTGTTTTCCGCTGATTCGCTGCTGGCGTTTCTGACCCTGCTCAGGCTGTACAAAACACGAATCTGGATGGCCTCGCTCCAAGGCGCCGGCGGATTTGAGCAGTGATCTAAAGAGACAGAAGATACCAATCAGACGAAAATTGAACTGTCCTGCATCTGTATCCACCACACCCACAAGACTGCTAGATATGCATCTCAGTTTGTTCTGAACGACGAACTTTGGCCTCCGTCTGTACTTGTATGGTAGAATCTGCTGTCAATGTTTTTTGTATATATGTATGTACAATCGTCTTTTTTATTCACTCGGGCTCAACACGGCTCGATCGACAGCCAAACGTCCTTTGTGTCAGATGCCGCCTGGGTAGGTCGGGCCGGGCACGTTTCTGGGTGGGCAAGCCGGTGGAACAGATCGAGACTGGAGGGAGGCTCACATGGATGGGGTGCAAATGCATGACTTTCTTTTCGATCCACAGGTGAACACCCTGGATCGAAAGCACAAGAGCATCCGAACAAGCTCGATTATCAGTTATATGTACGTGTATTGCAACATCTCTCTCGAGCGACGATCAAGATTATGAGACCGTCTATTCAGTTATGCAAAGACGAAGCCGTCAAGTTCCCGGGAAGCGCAATGAACTACGCAGGATGCAGTAAGTCACTATGGGAAGAAGAAGCAGAATAGATCTCGAGCTTACAGGCTGCTTGAATGGGTTCTGGATAAGTTGGGCGTACTAGACAGACCAAGCCTTGAGTATGAATTCTAGATCGAGCTATAAAGATGCCTCACAGAGTGCTCGAAACACATATCCCCTCCGGTCGGGCCGATATGTGGGCAATGGACCTCGGGCCGCAGCGGCAGCTAGTTGCGCCAATTACATGAGTGTCCAGCATAATCGGATGGTATGCATCAACGAGACACACCATCGGGGTGTGGATGTAGCGGCACCACGCCGTGTTCTGCCCGCCCTGCCACACCTCGCCGAATGGAATCGTGTCGCGCACGAACGCGAGGCAGGCCTTCATGGACTTGTACTGCTGGTTCTTTCCGAGGCAGTGCGTTTGGTGCTGCTGGCAGATGTCCAGCGCAGCGCGGGTCTGGAGGACAGTCGTGTTCGACGCGTGTTTAGGGTGCTTGAGATGGTGGCCGAGCTCTTTGCGCAGCTGCGGGATCAGGAGCGTCCAGACCGTCTTGAAGAGCGCGTCGGCGCGGAAGAGGACGATGTCGTATTGCGTGGCGATGCCGTCGTCGTTCAAGGCTATGTATGGGGCATCCTCGTAAGTACATCGTGGTCTTTGCGGGAGATGGACACGTAACTGAATGTCACATCGAATTGCGCGGGCAGAGTAGTCACTGGAGCGTGGGAATCCCATCAGTCGATTGGCGGAAATCTGCCCACGGGTGACCACGGACCATTCCAGTTGAAGTCCCGGAGAACGGTTGCCCGGATGATGTTCTTCTGTATCACGAGTCCTCTGGGACACTTCAGCAAGGGTTGCAAACAGACACGGGAGCGGGTCATACGTCAATGTTGCATTCAACGGAATGCCTATCAGGGGGGTGCTCCCGGTTGCATTAGACGCAAGGTTCGAAAATAGACCTAGGTGGTGGTGTCCTCCGATCAGCGTCTAGGCTCAGGTGGAGAGACTCGACTTCGCGCTACCGAATATGTACTATTCCGGCCCAGTAAAGTCAGATTGATGGCAGGCAGTGGTGATATGCATCTGGCGCACTTCTGTATTCAATTCCTGCCCTGAGAATAGTCAGTGCCCCTTGCGATAATCAGTGGTGTAGTGCCAGCCGCCCACCGACGAAGGTCCCCGTGATATCCAGCCGTCCGATGATATCTAGAAAAACTCAGCGAAGACCCTCCACGGCCAGGCGGGAGGCAGTCGAACTACCTTTCGAGAAACCCGTGTAGTTGATGGATTTAGTAACCTCGACGTTCTGCGGGAAAGTAAAGTCCTGCGTCGAGCCGACGATCAACCCTAGAGGACAAGCAATAAGCATCGCGCATACCGCGTTGAACTTGTTGAGGAATCCCAGAATCTGCGTGACGTTGGGATCAGCGAGCGCCAGCGTCGTCATGCTCAGCAGGGAGGTGAGAACGGCTGTGCGCATGTCTGTGTACGTAGAATCTGAACAGGGATCCGGTTGTTGGAATACGGCTGGCTGCCTCGTCCCATCCGACATCTTATACTCAATCCCTGGCGAAACGAACCGGAGCCGATGAGTGACCCGCGCAGGTCCACTGCCCCAGGCAGAGCGAGCACCGGAATGTTGGAGCCCGGGAGGCCAACATCCTGTGATAAACGTTCAGTGGCAGATGCAGCGTGCGGGAGTTTCGAGTAGCGCTTCGATCGGAGGAGAAACGATTTAAGCGCATGCGCACTGTTTCACAACCAGACGAATCGTGATATTGAGCGGGGCGAGAACAACTGGCTGGCAGATCGTACTGTTGGCCCGAACAGCATTCCCTTATCTTGCCGCCAGCGCGTGAGGCTGAGCAGAGGCGTTCTCGGGTAATGTGCTCCTTTTGGAGTTCCCCCACTGAGTGGCAGCTTGTATTTCATCACGTCTCGATATGTAAACGATACAGTCCCTAACATTACATGTACAATAGTCTAATCTATAATCCCTTTGGAAGAGTCTACAAAACATTATAGCGCTATAATGACCCACTCGATGCGTACGTGGACTTCTGCCGGAGAACATGTCCATATCGCAACAGCATATAGAATACCGGCATCAGCAGGAACGAGATGCCCGCAAGCAGAGCCGAGGCGGGACCCAGTCCCAGATTCGTAAAGAACGCCCGTCCGAAGAGCGGGAAGACACTGGCGATCGCCGACCGGAACAGGTCGTTCCCGGCCAAAACCGACGCCGCGTGATCGGGGTACGCCGACGTGATGTACATGAGCACGCTCTGGAAGTTGAGGAAGATCCCGGGCAGGTAGAGTGCGGCGCCGATCACGGGCACGATCCAGGGCACGCTAGCCTTGGAGGCGAATCCGAAGATGAGCACGCTGGTGGGGATGAAGATGCTCCCCATGAGACCTATTTCGAGCCGGATCTCGGGTGCGACTTGGCCGCGGGCCAGCCGAGGTGCGATGTGATATTTCTGGTACAGACAGTATCCGAAGTACTGAGCGACGGTAAGTACAATTCGGAGACACACACACAAGACAGGGAACTCACTACTAGTGTGCCTGAGACAATGAATGCCAGGAAAGGCAGACCGCTGACACCCAGATTGAAGTGGTAGATGTCGATGAAGACCAATGGGAAAGCCTCAAACCAGAGGTAAAAGATCGCATCTGGTGACAAATCTCAGTAACAGAATGAAAAGAGCTTGAGTATGGATTGCTTACAAATGAAGCCCAGATAGACATTGGCAAACGCCAGAGCCGGCTCCTTCGACAGCACCAGAGGGCGCACCAGAGCTTCATAGACAACGTCACCCGCAGTCTGCGACTCCTGTGCGCGCTCCGCAGCAGTCCGCAGTTGGTCGTTCCCGGTGATCTTCCGCAGGCGCTCAGCGCGGCGGAGCAGGATCGTGGGCCCGTACGTCTCCGGAAGGAGCACAGACAGGAACACCGCCGCAAACGACGTGATCCACACGAGCTCGAGCATCGGCCAGCGCCACGACTCGGCCTGCGCCGCGAATCCACCGACGACGGGACCTGCAATGGGGCCCGCGCACGCACCGAGCGCCCAGACGCCCACGACGTACGCAAGCTGGCTGGCGGGGAAGATGTCCGCCATCGACGCACCGCCCGTGGCGAGCGCCGGGCTGCCGAAGAAGCCCGTCATGAACCGCAATGCGAGGACGGTGTGGATGTTCTTGGCGAAGACGAGGGGGATCTGGAAGACGATGAAGAGGAGCAGGGATCCGATGTAGACCGGATTGCGGCCAAAGATGGGGAGCTCCTGGAGCGGTGACAGGAACATAGGGCCAATCGCATATGCTGGTCAGTGTTGTCAGCGGGGAGTGCACAAACATGCGCCTCGGCAGACTCACCCAGCACGTAGAGCGTCAGACCCAAGGTAGCCATCGTCATAGATACCCCGAATTCAGCCATGAGGCCGGGTATGGACGGTGTGTAAACCGCGGAGCCGATGTAGATGCTGAATGTGAGGAAACTGATCTCGAAGGCGACGAATGCACGTTTGCCAAATGACCAGTTTCTGACGGGCCCTTCAGTTACTGTGGCAGGTATATCCATGCGACGGCCTGCTCACCTTGGGTTCTCCGGATCCGAGTCGCCGTACCACCCGACGAGGTATGGGTCCGGCACGACGGCGTTCTCGACGAAGCTTGATTGCTTCTGCTCCTCGACATCGCCCATCGTCTCATCACTCTTCATCTCCGAATTCGGCGTCGTCGCTGCGAGTGTATCGTCCTCCGACTTCTCCGAGGGTCTGCCCTCGCAAAGTGTCGTTTCATCGCTGTCGCGGTTTTGAGGGAGCAGGAAGCGTCGTGGCACAACGAAGTCCGGACGTTGTTCGGGATACGGCAAGATGCGGCCGTTCGTGAGGTAGTTGAGGACTTGTCCTGCGGTTGCGTCACGGAGGATATCGTAGACCATGTCTGAGGGAGGACGGGGTGGTGGCTTTTGGGATGGACTCCGCTCGTTCTCCGAGCCTCTTCTTAAGAGTCGCGATGTTCGAGCTGAACTTAATCATCCTGCTTCCACGAATGTTCAGCTTGAAATCGTCTTTGTGAGCAGCGAAGTCTCTGGGGTGGTGTCAGACAGGAGGGGCTCGGTAAGCCAAAATCGATCGCTGACGAATCTGTCTGTATCCGTCATCAAACTCCGCAAGAATTGACTGAGATGAACTTTGGCGGGGTTCGAATTCTGTGATGGCACGTGTCAGAGTATCATCTTCCAACACTGCGAGTCGCAACTATTTTTTCCAAGATGCGTATGACAAATGTGAGGATTGTCTATTTTGAAATGTATGCAATAAGTCTCGTTCTACCATGGATTGTTGAGATATCGAAGAGTGACCTATGTCGCCCTCACACAATGTTCACATCCTATAGTTTGTGCGGCAACAGTCATATTTCACGCTCCGAGGCTGTTCTCCTCACGACCCCATTCTCGGATTCCAGCTTCTCGAGCAGATGGCTCAGAAAATTTGGAGGGGGCTCGGCTGAAAATAATATAGGGGGTGGGAGCAAGTCTCCATCGAAGTAAGGGCGGTACAACGCGGTTTTGTCGAGCTGAACTATGCCAGCATGATTTTTTTCCTGAGGAAGTAGGTGCTGCTTGTAGATGCAACATGGGCTGCGTGGAACATCTATGCAACAAGTCGCGGTTATTTGCGCAGGGAAAGCGGAGAGCTTGCACGTGACGCGCTAGCACTGGTTATCCCTCAAGAGTCAATGACCAAGTGATGATACAGCAGGGAGGATACTACGAAAAAGGCGCAACGTCATCGAAGATGGATGGCCAACAAGGCAAAGAATAAATAACATCATATGTAGGCCGTGTGGTCCTTCAGGCAGTGTGAGTGAGTGAGGCGTCGCTACTGTGTAGCCTTCTCCAGGCTCGAGTCAAGCATCAGCGACTTCTCAGCAACCTCCACCTGATCCACAGTAGCCAAGGGATCGGTGGTCCCCACAGTATCAGCAGCGACCTCATCCGCCGGGGCCGCAGAAGCAGCAGCAGCAGGCTCGCGCAGGCCAAACACCTTGCGGAACCCAGCGACTACAAGCGCAAAGCCGAAGAACACGACGAAGAAGACCTCCCAGCCGCGCAGGATGTACAGGGCGCCGTCGGCGATGTTGGCGTACAGCGGCTTGTCGAGCGCGAGCGTGCCGATCTCGGTGGCGCAACGGAGGAACACCAAGGCGCAGAAGAAGGCGGAGAGGAGCTCGCGTGCGAGGGACAGGATCGGGTTCGTCGTCGTCGTCGTTGTCGTGGGCGGCGGCGCCCCGCTCTCGGACGCGTCGTCCGAGTCATTGGCCGTGGCGAGGGGCAGAAGACCGGCCTCGAGCTCTGAGGCAGGTTCTCCGCTGCGACGGGTGAGCGCGCGTTTGATGGATCTGGCTCCGCGGAAGAGGAGCGAGCCGCAGATGGACACCGCCGACGTAAATGCGATCGCGGCAATGCACTGCGTGATACGCTCCTGCACCCATTCCAGCGCGATGCCCAGCGCCTCAGTCTGGGGGTATGATTTGAGGAACTCTGGCGCGAAGGCGACTGCAAAGAAGAAGACGAGGAAAAGAGGGTAGGCGCGGAAGCGCATCGTTCGAGCGCTGGTCATGATGGTAAGTGAAAGAGAGGGATAATCGTCTCACGCACAGCTATCTATCGGTGCTTATCAAGAGATGCGATGCGCATCAGGTAACGATGTTTCGGTCCGCGGTGCAGGCCAGGGAGAGTTCATGCATGACTGAGAACTGCGCCCTCCTTGATCCCGTCCCGAGGGTGGAAACTAGAAATGCTCCCACGAACGCTCTTGCCATGTGCAGCAGTGATCCGCGAATGTCCTCTTCTGATCCGAGCTGCAATCAGACACGACCGCGGTCGACGTGACCTTACAGCGACCATTTGGCATTCACACTTCATGCCCCGACAGCGGACAATCCAGTACCTCTGCCTATTCGCCGTCTTGCTTTTCTTCGCCCATTTCGTTCGCTCTCCCGCTTCCCCCCGAGGACCCCATTGATTTCGAGCAGTACTTTTCGTCCAGCCCGAGTTCGCGTGAGCACCCCCAATGGGCGACGTTTGAGAAGGAGGATGGGGACTGGGATATGGACGTGGATTTGACTCCGGAGATTTTGAGGACGCACGACGACACCGGGGCCGGGAAGGTCCATGCGCCGGGGCTGCGTGCGGACCCGATTAAGAGAGCTGCCGTGGTCTCTGCCTTCCAAGTGAGCTCTGCAATGTCCCTTCTCCGCACGACACTCACACCCTCCAGTACGCCTGGTCTGCGTACGGTGAGTCGCCCACCATCTCTCCAAAGACCCCTCGCTCATCACGGCACCTACTGCAGTCAGGGATGCTATGGGCTGGGACGAGTACCACCCGATCAGCCACCGCGGCCAGAACCTGTCGTCCTCGGGCGGTGTCGGGTACACGATCGTCGACGCGCTTGACACGATGCTGCTGATGGGGCTGACGCACGAGTACTCGCAGGCGAGCGACTGGGTCCGGACGCATCTGTCGTTCGACCGGGACGGGCGCAGCCGGTGCTTCAACACCTTCGAGGTGCGTACCCTGCATCCATATCTCCGCGGCCCACCCACCCACTCACTCCCGACACCCGCGCTGCGCAGACGACGATCCGCATCCTCGGCGGGCTCCTGTCCGCGTACCACCTGACCGCGGACCGGATGTACATCGCGCACGCGACGGACCTCGCGGACCGCATTGTGCCAGTGTTCGACACGCCGACGGGGCTGCCCGACACCTCCGTCGACCTGCGGACGCGCACGGGGATCCCGGACCACGGGATCAGCACCGCGGAGGCGACGACGCTGCAGCTGGAGTTCCGGTACCTCGCACAGCTGACGGGGAACGCGACATACTGGTACAAGGTGGAGAAGGTCATGCAGGTCGTGGACAAGGCGAGGCTTCCGAGTAATCTTGCGCCGATATCGATGAGCTCGGACGACGGGACGTACCAGTTCTCGGACATCCGGCTCGGGTCGAGAGGAGACTCGTATTACGAGTATCTTCTGCGAGTCTCTCCTCAACGCATGGATTGGTGAACGGGGACTCATCTGTGTGCAGGAAACAGTACTTGCAAACCGGCAAGACTGAGCCTGTCTACCTCAAGGTGCGCAACTTCGCTCAGACCGCACTCTGACTAAGTGACCAAGCACAGATGTACGAAGATGCGATGACGGGCATCCACGACAACCTCCTCAAAAAGACTCCCAAACGCGGGGTGACATTCACTGCCGAGCTGATCCCTCGCGGGGGCTCGAACTGGAAGACGTGAGACGTCGCCTGTGCGCAATCACTGCGTCTCTCTGATGGCGCCCAGTTCCTTCCACGTCGACAACAAACAAGACCATCTCGTCTGCTTCCTCGCCGGATCGCTCATGCTCGGCGCGACGACCACCGGTGCACGCAATCCGAGCGTCCCGGTCTCCGTCCCGCCACTGATGTCAGAGCTGACGAGCGTCGGGAAACGCGACTGGGAAGACGGGGTGGCTTTGCTGGAGGGGTGCATGGAGACGCACAAAACTGCGACGTGTGTGATGTTGATTCCTAGTCGTGTGCCTTGTCCTCACTCAACTAGCGGCCTCTCACCTGAAATAGCGATGTTCGATGCCGATCCGGATCAGCCAACGCGGGACTGGCATATCAAGGGATCCAAGCCCGGAGGGCCGGCGACGTATGATGCGAGATACATGCTACGGTGCGTGGTTCTAGTCACATTCCTTATCAGCAGTGCGTCTAGATATCAACGGCAGACCGGAGACGACCGAGTCGCTGTTCCTCGCCTGGCGGCTGACCGGAGACGAGCGGTACCGTGACTACGCCTGGGGCATCTTTCAGGCGATAGAGACGCACGCGAAGCTTCCTGGCGGTGGATACGCGACAATCGTGGACGTAGATACGGTGCCCGTGCGGCACGAAGATAAGCAGGAGACGTTCTACTTGAGCGAGACGCTTAAGTATCTCTTCCTGACATTTGCTGATGAGGAAGTGCTGTCGCTCCGAGGTGTGTTGTATGTTTCTCGTATGATTTTCGCAAGCTAAAACGGTCTTGATCAGACAATGTATTCAACACAGAGGTGAGCGACCTTTTTTGCTTGAGCAATTCAACGTCTGAGCTCGAACTCAGGCGCATCCGCTGCCGGTGTTCAAGCCTTCGATAAAGCCACTTTTCCATCTGTAGACAATCTGTGCTTATCTTACATGAAATCAGAGAACCTGCTATCAAGAAGGACGACTGACCCACTCTTAAGTAAGAAGTGACAAGGCTACTTACCACCCTCCTCCTCTCCAATGGACGCTCTTCGCAGACTCCTACAATCCTGGTACGCCAACCCGGCCTTCCCAGATCCGCCTGTGTATGTCGCCCCTCCGACCACCCAAGAGCACCGTGAGTCTGCAGAAGATATTTCGTCGTCACGTGCTCGCTCTGATTGGGCACCCTAGTCGAATACGCGGACCTAGCGATCATCGATCTCGCCCAGGCTACGACCCTGGCGGGGAGGAAGGCGCTCGCGGGGCAGCTCGTCGCTGCGATGCGGGCGCAGGGATTCTTCTACGCCGTGAACCACGGGTACACAGCTGACCAGGTGCGTGGGAACCAACCCTTCCACGCTTTTGAGGGACAGGCTTCCGAGGGGCGGCTTCGCAGACCAATCGGATGTTCAGCATTGCGGATCTCACGCTCGACGAGGTGGGCGAGGAAGAGAAGCTGCGGTACTGCGCGCGCAGCGGACACACGTACGAAGGGTATAAGCCGCGCAAGACCTGGGTGCGTCGCTGCCACTCGACCCTCGCTCACTGATCCGATTGGCCTCAGCACATCGATGGGGTCGGGGATCAGATTGAGCAGTACACCGTCGGCCAGCACGTCCTCGCGCGCGAGCATCCGACCGCTCTGCGCCCGTATCTCCCTGAGCTCGATGCCTTCTCGCGGCACAACACGTTCAACATTCTGCACCCTGTTTTGCGGTCAGCTGACGTGGTTTGTCTTAGCCGCGGTCAGAAATTCACGCTTGTTTAAGGCTCATGGCACTCGGTCTGGAGCTGCCCGAGGAGACGCTGGTCCAGCAGCACTCGTACGATTCTCCCAGCGAATCGTCTGGTGAGAAGCTTTTAACGCAGCCTTTTTCGAGTTCTCACGTCTTTCGCAGTTCGATTCATGAAATAGTGAGTCGTCATGAAAGCTCACCCTCAGCGCGAACATTTTGCCAGTTATCCGTATTCCGAGGAGGAAGAAAAGCTGAAGAAGAATGTCTGGCTGAAAGGCCATACCGACATCGGCTCAGTCACGGTTTTGTGGTCCCAGCCAGTCGGCGGGCTGCAGATTCTCTCGCCCGACGGCAAATGGCGCTGGGTGCGACACATGGAGAATGCCGTCGTGAGTTCAAATGAGATTGCTCCCCAAATCCTCAAAACTCGTTCCTCTAGGTCATCAATGCCGGCGATGTGATGACGTTCCTCTGTGGAGGATTCTACCCCGCGACACGCCACCGGGTAAGTGGCGCGTGCCAAAAACATCTCGTAAATACAGCATTCACTCCAGGCAGGTCGTTCGCCCGCCCGAAGACCAGCTCACCCGCCCGCGTCTCGGCGTCTTCTTCTTCGCCCTCGCGAACGACGACGTCAAGCTCGTTCCGCATCAGACGCAGAGCCCCGTCCTGCAGCGCGTTGGCGTGCAGCGGCTGTGCGAGGACGGAGATGCGCCGACGATGGAGCAGTGGCGCAAGACGCGGGTGATGCAGTACGGCTCGAAGCAGGTCGAGCTCGTGAAGAGCGAGACGGAGGAGGGGGTCGAGGAGGAGATGGTCGGGAATGTTAAAGTCAAATATTTCAATTGAGCCAGTGTATACGACGCATTAAACAAAACAAAATTTGTATAGCTCGGGTAACAGGGAGTGATTCGCATCCTGCCTACTGCAGAGAATAAAGTTTCAACCGTCTGGCCATTTCCTCTTCTTTGGTCATCTCCCTGAACAAGCTGTACCTAAGGGTGGCAACACAGTCAGCACATGGAAATACACAGCCGGATCCAGCGCACAATTCACGATTCATTTCTCTCAGGGTCTCTCTGCTCGACTTGGTCTCCCGAATCATCTGCACGTCCTCCCGCTCCTCGAACGCGCGCAACACGCGCAGGCGCTCCGGACCAGGCTCCCGACACATGTCGTTGCGTGCGACGTGCGCGAGGATGGTGGACTCGTACAGCACGGTAAGCGTGCAGCCGTCGCACCGGCGTATTTGCGCGACTGGGCGGGGGAAATGCGCTGGGGAGGGCGTGTCGCGAGACATTGAATAGGTGGGTTTCGTCGGTGCGTTGTGTTCGGGTCGGTGGCAGGAGGGTGCGTACTCACGAATCTTTTTATACCTTTGCCGCGTGGACGGACAATGCGCGAGGCTTCCGTAGCGTCGATTGGGTAGGCAGGACACAGCGACAATGGGATGATGACAAAAGCACGCGATCATCAATGTTGTGCGACAGCGCCCGACCAAGCCGTGAACATCATCGGGATGTCGGTGGTGGCGCCTGGTCAGTATGGAGGCTCAAAACTACATGCTGATATCCGAGACATATATCAGTGATTCATGATGGACAGGATTGATATGTAATCAATACTTGTTTCTTGGGGTCCCTGTACCAAGATTTTGACCATCTGGAGCATTGTAGTACAGGACTAGTGTTTTGAGTCAAGCTGCAATAAAATTGAGGAAGACTGAAGACAACATCCACCCTATGCTAAGCTTTAAGCTACAGACCAAACTGCTGCGGCAGGTCTCTCATTGCTTGCTCCGGAGATCACTCAACTTGCAGTACCCAGAGCAGACATGTTGTTTTGGAAAATTTTCGAAGAACGTCGGATCTGAGCTTTTCACGTCGTTCCATGGGACTCAGACCTAGTCAGATTGGCCAGATTTAGGCGAATATAGCCAAAGCACGGGAACTATGTCTCGGGTGGGTGTATCCTCCCAGTGTCCCTCTACTCCATGTTCAAAGTGTCGCTCACACGGGGGGCTGGGTAGGATCGCTGCACGGTTGGTGGACACGATACAACCACATCTCGAGACTCCGCGCATGGCCATAGTTTGGGCAATATACTGTCTGGAAATTCATACTCTACAAAAACCAGGTTATTGGTCATGCAACGAGAAAAGTAGTCATAAGTTTGGTAAAGTGAAATCTAGTTATAATCATGGCTACGAAAAACCAGTCAGAGAAGTGATTGTCACCCCGAATCAGGTTATAACGCACAAACATAAGAAAATCACATTAATTCTAATGCTCCTCTTACATCTAGTTAACACGGCTTTTAGTGCGAAAAAAATTCGTTAATGGACTTGTCTCTTTCATCCTACAGCTCTCGCCAGCTTATCGTGACCTCATGCGGCCTCCCATCAGCTTTTGTGGTCGCAGCCACCATCATCAGCAAAATTTTGAGGGCGGCAACCATCGACCGACTTGACTCCCGATCTCCACCCGCACCCAGGTTGACTGCCGCACATCCCCCATGGCTCTAGCCTACAAACCGGAGCGCCGACCGCAACCTGGCCTAGAAGTCTTAATTACTTTCCACCCCTTGGGATTCCACTCTATTAACAGTTTTTTTGGCCAAGCAATATTACTGACATTTTGAAACAGACCTCACCATACCGATTTTTTTTACGTTGCATAGGTACTTGACCATTATACTCAAAACGACCTCTTAACTGGTCTGTTCACCGAGCTCATAATCATTTTTTTTTGCATCTCGATGCATTATAACCATAACTTTTCACAATCCGAACTCGCTGCAACCTGGTTTTATTTTCCGGACAGTAGATCTGCCATACACGGGCCCTACGTCACGGTTTGCTGCGGATCTCGCGCGGCGGCTCGAATGCTACGTCGTGGTGGGATACCCGAGCTTATCACCCCCGAAGAAGCCGAGCGGCACTTTGCACGGACGAACAGACGCGTGGTGGGTGCGAACAGTGCTGTGCTGTGCGGCCTGCAGGGGAATGGGTCGGCGGTGTTGACGTCGAGCCCGCGTCGCACCCGGATGACGGTCAGAGACAGGGAGAAAACTCCTGAATTCATACACAAACAAATGTACACATACAATCAGGATGTGATATTCTAACAGTCCCCCTCGTGCGAACGACCGCTGCGCCTGAGCACGACCCACAAACACGAAAATTTGTCACTTGAATGCCAGGCCTTGGCCTATCGCGTATCCGTATCGCGCCAGCCGCCCGTAAGCCGTGACATTTCCCATTTGGGAGACCACTCCCGCATGCGTGATTCCGCCTTACCGCTCCGTCGAGTCCTCAGATACCCTCCGAATCGCCTTCGTTCAGCTGAGCTTGATCCGACTCGTGTCGCAGCACCCCGCGTTCGGCTCTGTGAACCAGCCACCCGCCGTACCTGTCGCCCTCTGTGTTCCTCCACATCTCTTGCACCTGCTCCCTCCCCCTGCTCCTGCATGACCACTTACGTCGGTGTTAAGATAAGGTCCATCAATGTTTGTACATTTGTTTGTATATTGATTGGGGAGTTTTCTCCCTGTCTCTGACCGTCATCCGGGTGCGACGCGGGCTCGACGTCAACAGATTCGCAGTCAGACTTGCGGGATTCACCCGCTCTGACATCGTCACGGCCCGCTCGCGAACACAGGCCCGGCGTTGGGCAGGACGACTCCCTGTCAATATCACCCTAATCCACCACATCTTGCCTTTCAAAAATCCCCCACTCCATTTCCCGAATACAGGCGCTCGCTGCAGGCACAAGATATCGATTCCCCCCCTCCCTCCCTCCCACACATACAACTCCTCACCCAATGTCGACAGATGTCACCCAGAGACGCAACGGTCGTCTGGGTGAGGGGGACTATAGGGGTGACGAGGGACCAGGGCGGGCCCGAGGATGTGCGGACGGTGCGAGAGTGGGACGTAGCATTGGAGATGCTCCCGATGTGAATCGTCACGCAGGAGCAGGGGGAGGGAGCAGACACATGAGATGTGGAGAGTCACAGAGTGTGACAGGTACGGCGGGCGGCTGGATCACAGAGCCGAACGCAGGGCGCTGCAACACGGGTCGGACCAAGCTCAGCCGGACGAAGGCGATTCGGAGAGCTATCAGGGGGACTCGACGGAGCGGCAAGGCGGAATCACGCATGTGGGAGTGGGCACTCAAAAAGGGAAACCGTCATGGCTTACGGGCGGCTGGCGCGATATGGATACGCGAAAGGCCAAGGCCTGGAATTCAAGTGACGAAATTTCAGATTTGTGGGTCGTGCTCAGACGCAGCGGTCATTCGCACGAGGGGGACTGTTAAGATAGGGTCCATCAATGTTTGTACATTTGTTTGTATATTGATTGGGGAGTTTTCTCCCTGTCTCTGACCGTCATCCGGGTGCGACGCGGGCTCGACGTCAACAGTCGGGAGCACCTCCGATTGCTACATCCCACTCTCGCACCGTCCGCACATCCTCGGGCCCACCCTGGTCCCTCGCCACCCCTATAGTCCCCCTCACCCAGATGACCGTTGCGTCTCTGGGTGACATCTGTCGACATTGGGTGAGGAGTTGCATGTGTGGGAGGGAGGGAGGGAATCGAAATCTTGTGCCTGCAGCGAGCGCCTGTATTCGGGAAATGGAGTGGGGGATTTTTGAAAAGCAAGATGTGGTGGATTAGGGTGATATTGACAGGGAGTCGTCCTGCCCAACGCCGGGCCTGTGTTCGCGAGCGGGCCGTGACGATGTCAGAGCGGGTGAATCCCGCAAGTCTGACTGCGAATCTGTTGACGTCGAGCCCGCGTCGCACCCGGATGACGGTCAGAGACAGGGAGAAAACTCCCGAATTCATACACAAACAAATGTACACATACAATCAGGATGTGATATTCTAACAGGCGGATCCTGCAAGACGAATCTGTTCCACGTCAACCAGACCTGGGCACTCCCTGGTGAGCGGCTCATGTGCGCGTCACCGCGAGAACCGATCTCTGCAACTCCTCAGGCACCGGATTCGCGACTTTCCATCTGCTGCCCCCGCTGCACACTGTGGCGCTGGGGATATGCATGGACCTCAACGTGCGGCCGCCGCACAACTGGACAATCACGCATGGCCCGTTTGAGCTGGCCGCCCAATGCCTCGAGACCAACGCGAGTCTGCTCGTTCTCTTGAATGCGTGGCTGGACTCTGGCCGGGCCGACAATGAGGAAAGCGATATAATGACCATGAACTTCTGGGCTTATGTTCTTTGGTCCTTGGGAATCCCATGGAGGCCTCGGTGACTCCAAGGTCTGGGCTTATGTTCTTTGAATTATGTTCCACAAAATGCGGTTCCACGGTATATGGGGTCCTGACATAATGACATATGATCCGTTGTCCAACAACATATCGCATCACTGATATATGTCTCGGATATCAGCATGTAGTTTTGAGCCTCCATAGGTCAGGGTTTCTTGCATGAAAATGTTCTCCGTGAAATGTATAAATCCCAGATCATAAGGGGCAAAGGTCCGTAGCTCGATGCACTTTAATCGATAAGATAGAATAGAATGCTCGAGATAAGATAAAGTTATTGCAGGACATCATCGACTCGTGCTCATTTATTTTTATACCTCATCTAGGCTTGTGCCTGTGAACTGACCCTTTGATTTCACTGGCTCATCGCACAAGTAACCAGAGCTCAGCTCAGGCACCCCGGCGATCATCACCGCGGAACAACAACGCAGTCCGCTGTATGGGGCTGTTGTCCTGCACCCGCATCACGATCGAACCATAACTCAACCACCAACCACGACGATGAACGGCCGCACCCCCACCGCCGCCTCGCTCTTCTTCCACGAAGGTCCCCCCAGCCTTTCTCCGCGTCTCCCCAGGCAGCTGTGCTGAGATCGCCGCAGACAAGCCCTACGAGCCCCTCGTGGACGACGTCGACCCGCTGATCTCGAGTTTCCCGCTGGACGAATGGGATCGGGGACTGCATCCAGACGCGGGGACGTTCGGCTCCGACGCCTCATCTCTCTCCTTTTTCGAGCCTAGGTACGACTACGAATCGACCTATCCGTCCTATGTCGACTACTATCCTGCCGAGGAGAATACCACCACCTCCCCGGCAACTACTGTCGACCCCGACCTGCTCGTTCTCAAACGCAAACGTTCCTCGGCAGACGAACCATGGGAACCCGTCTGGGCCCAGATCAACACGAAGCGCCTGCGCGAAGATCCGGCCCCGTCCGGCGATCCGGAGAATGAAGTGGACTTGCTGGCCGACGCCGGCGACTACGACGGCGCGGTAGGCGTAATAGAGCTGGACTGGTTTCTCCCCGCGCTGGACGACACCGCGTCTCCTCCACTGAGCGAGTCTGGGTCCCCCATCCGCCCTGATCCGGGACCGGACCCGAGTGGAGACAGAGAAGCAGAGTGGGACTGGGATAGGCTGGACTTTTCGTGGGCCGAGGATGAGGATGGGGACGAGCTCGCGCGGAGCTGTGCGTTCTCTTCTCGCTCTCTCTCGTGCTGACACTGATTGGATATTGCAAGTCGGAGTGCTGAACATATACGAGGAGGGAGATGCCGCCGTTCAGCCAGTGCCAAGAGTCAGATCAGAACCTGTGGTGCTCGAAGACGACGATGACGACGGCGAGGCAAACGTGCTGGACATGAGGTAATCATGTTCTGTGTCCGGACACTCCCCTTTCGCGATTTGACGTCCCGAATTCAGTGATCAGGCCGTACTGGGCGATAACGAAGCACATTGCCCATGCGCTGCGTGTAGCGGGGGAACGAACTCAGGTGAATACCGACACGGACAACGGTATGACGCATCCGGAAGTTGACTTTCTACCTGCAGACCTGTCGCCCGAATCACAGCAGGAAATGCACGCGCTGTTCTCCACAGGGCTCTTCAGTTGATAATTCTCAAAAGATGTATCGTCTTCAGCCTCGTAGCTCCCAGCATATCTGATCCTCTATTCCGCCCAGCCATGATTGCATGGCCGGACCGCTGGCTCCGTGGTTGGATGGCCGAGCGGTCTAAGGCGTTAGACTAAGGTTGTGTTGTTACGGACATTTCGAGGTCGTTGCTCACTCTGCATCTAATCCTCCGGGGCGTGGGTTCGAATCCCACTCCAATCAAGTTTTGCTCCGTCGGTTGGCGGCCATGTCTAATCGACTCTGGCTGCCGCGCCATTGTGTGGACCTTGGCTCCTCGAAAGATATACATATCCACTTTCATGCACACGTGACAGCAAACTCATGTCCCTGCCACTGGATCTTCCCGAAATAAGCTCGTAGTGGGTCGCCGCAGTCCACTGCGACACGGCTTTACGAAGCGTCTGGAGTGGCCCTCCTGATGAGAGATGGACCATCTTCCGCCAAGTGCACGGGTCTATCCGGAGAGACTCGCCAGTGGTCTCAGCCACAACCCAAGTGCAGCGATACCATTTTTCTGTCCTTAGCGTGCTGGCCAAGAGTTTGGATAGTCACTGCTGGGATGAGAGCAGCACGAGTATTCTTTGACGCACTGTAAGCCAGTGTGACGATATTCTTCTTCTACTCCGGGCATTTTACGGCTTGCCAGATGCCAGACTAAGGTCAACTCACTCAGGAAGTTGCTGAGTGGCATGTGGTTGAGAACGGCATCTGATCTTCGTCTGGGGGGGGTGGAGTTGCGTGTGATGCAAGGAAGCCAACCGGTCTCTTGCTCAGGATTGTCTGACTCGTTGTTAGTAGGCTATCCCTCATTTCTCGGAATCATTCAAAAGACACGAAATCAAATCTATTTCATTATATTTCGACGCTTATGGCCGGCAGAAGGCTTAAAGTGTTCGATTAATACTGTACATTGACTTGGTCGAGGCAGGGCCATGCTCAGATCGGAGTGATCGGATCATTTCGTTCTTTGTCGCGTCCCATTCTTTATCTCGAAGGCTTCGCAAATGGAGAGAAAGCTCCAAGCGCAGCATTTACAGCGTCCTGAAGCCTTCATAGATGGCTTTTTCATTCACGCTTTGGCGCTGACTCTTTGACTCGAGCTGCGTGCCACAGTCCTATAAAGAGTCGACTTGCCTCGTCGTATCACAGTACGATTCCGCCCCCCATGCCTCACCGACGTGATTCATACATCGAGTTTCCAACCACACCCTGCACACCGGAAACTTCGTTTTCCCCGGAGCAGGAGGACCTGATCGCGTCGCTTGGCCTTGCGCTCCCCGACGCAGCCGACTCGCGCTCGCTCACGCCCATCATCGACGGATTCCCGCACCCACCCAGCCACACCCCCAGCGGTGATATCCTCTTCGAGCGCCAGGAGCTCCCGAGAGGACTCTCGCCAATCGACACCCGTCGCGGGTTCGTCCCGATTCCACTCGCGTTCAGCGATGAGTACGTGCTGCACATCAACGCTGACGAGTCGGGGTCGATCGTACCCGTCGGTGAGGCACCGACTGACAGGACGGGGGCGTTGATGGAGTACGGGGATCGCGTGCGACGTGCTCATTCCATGAAGCTCAAGACGAGCGTTGGGAGATGGAGGACGGAGAGCATCCGGCGTGCTCTCGGCCGGTTCACTCGCCAACGCACCGCCCCAGCTAGCCAGGGCACGTTTTCAGATGCCACCACTGAGGCAGACGCGAGCCTCAGCAGCGAAGAATCCAGTGGTGCATCGGACTGCACTGATGAAATGGGGTTCCTCGCAGTCCCATCCACTCCCAACAGAGCCTTCACAGACCTGAGCTCGCCACCCTCCCCGATCACGCCTCTCCCACCCAGTATACCGCCCAATACGCCTATTCCTGCGAGTCTCGTGCGGACACCGATCTCGCCGGCCAAGCTGCCCCCGAGGACCCGTCCACGCTACCACACTCTGAACGTTCTCACCAAGGCCTTCCGCCCCAAACGGCACGACTCGAAGGAGGAGAGTCAGACGCCCGCATCGGAGTCGGCTGCGCATGCAAACAATGAGCCGATCGGGGTTCGGGTGCGCGTGCATTCTTACACGGCTTTCTTGACGGATTTCGAGGTGGAGGGAGCGGGGGAGGACGCTTTTGGGCAAAGATTCGAGACGGAGAATGCAACAGTGAGCAATTACCAAGGCGTTCCGCACAAAACGACGTGACTCTAAGGCGGAGAGGCAGACGCCCGCATCGGAGTCGGCTGCTCATGTAGACAATGAACCGATCGGGGCTCGGGTGCGCGTGCACTCTTACACGGCTTTCTTGACGGATTTCGGGATACTGGGAGCCGAGGAAGACACTTTTGGGCGAAGACTCGAGACGGAGAATGCAACAGTGAGCGATTAGGCTAGTTTGGAGCTGTTTCGCGCAATGGACGCAAGAACGATATATATACTGCATATTCTGTCTACTTGAATGAATTCTGCCTACCTTATCTCAGCTCTATCTGATAGGCAGCCGGCCCTTCCAGAGACTGTCCTTGCTGATGCGTGGAATTGACTGTTGTAACGGTACATCATCCCGCTTCGGGTGCTCATCAAATTCTATGTGCCCAGCCAATGAGCCATCCTTGCAATCTGAATTGCAAGAGGACATTGAATAACGACTGTCGTGTTGTCCTCGCCTGATCTGTTCCGCACGCGGGACGCGCAGAGATAAGCCGCGCGAATAAAACGGAGAGCCGGCGCGTCGAGGTAGAGTCAGTACACCAATCCACCCATTCACCCGTACCCGATCCGACTACCATGCAGTTCAAACTCAACCTCTCTGCGTTGTTCATCGCGCTCGTCGCCGCCGTTGTTGTTGTCGCGGAGCCGCTTCCCATCCCCCCGCCGTGCAACTGTCATGTCATGGGCGGTGTCTCCGTGTGCACCGGCCCCGGATGCGCTTGATAGTCCACCGTGAGTCTCCCGCCAGATTCGTACCCCATTGATCGGTTGGGCATGCCAGACCAGGATGCAGGGATTCAGAATACATCAACCGGGATTCTTCCACTTGCGATGATTTCGAGGACCGATGTGTGCAAATGAAATCTCATTCGATGTTCTCGTTAGACTGCCATTTCTCTAAGTGCCTCTGATGTACAGAGAGCACGGTCGTCGGATCTCAAGTGAGTTTCTTGGGGTGGTACTGACTTGAGTTATATTGCACTTAGTGGCACTCTTCGGCAAAGAAGATGGCTGTCTTCCGATGGAGGGAGGAATCGCCTCTTCTTCATTTCAGCACAAACATTCATGAGAGGTAACGGGGTCTCATCCAAGATCTTATCTTATCCTCATGACAACCGATCGAAGCGACGTTTGATTGACATGTGTCATCCCCACCTTTGCTGCGCACTCCTCTGTCGTGTGAACAGTCAGCCTCTGCTGAATTCCTCAGGCCGGCCATGGGAGACACTCTGTGCAGCGGGATCCTGTACCTGATGACATGCTGCTGTGCGTCCTCCCCTCTCCGTCTCGAGGCGCAGGCCGCCAAACGCTCATCCACACGACAGGCTGTTGCTCTTCCTCAGACCCCGGCTCGGACGGCTCAGGCCTCTGCGCCTCGACATCCGTCTTCCCGTGCCTCAGCAGCAGCGCGAGGAACCGCGACCCGCGCGAGGCGGCGCTGGAGCGCGAGTTTTTGGAGCGCGGGTACAGAAAGGATCCGGGGTCGGGGCGCATCACGACTGCGCGAAAAGACTCCGATCAGGCGGAGAAGGCTGGTGGCACGGGCGCGGTTTCGGATCCGCCGGGGAGGATAGAGGGTCTGCCGAGAGTCGGGGCCGGTGGCGTGGCGGGTGATGGGAATTCTGCTGGCATCAACTCTTAAATTTTGGGTGCGTCGTTGTTCACTCTAGTTGCTCCGTCGTGGTTCATTTGACTGTATCAGACGTCCTTCATCTTGACTCGTCAGCCTGTGCGATAGGACGCACCAGAAACCCGGTTCCCCACATAGCCATCCGAATCAACGGTCATCGTCATCATCATGGCCTGAGAATCTTGCGAGACTGAATCGGGTCTGTGCTCCAGTTCTTGTATCTAATATGTACCTCTTCCACAGTAACTGCATTTGCTTTTGAACAAACCCCGTGGGCATCTTTCTGCACGGACCACCGCCAGATCAATTGAGTCTCGAGTCCACCTGATCACAGGCGACGTCTTCCTCGCGACTACTCTGGACCGATCCTGAACGGGCTGCTCCTCTTGAATCGAATCAGGTGTTCTCTCTCAGCCGGCTTCGCAACCGCACGCATACTCCGCAGTGTCTTGAGAATGCGATCGTCGGGTCGTCCGATAATAGAGCACCTCTCCGCAGTCTCCCTCCGTCACTCGGAAAGTCCCGTGGATATCTTTTCCCGGACAAGATCACTGCCGGTTTCCGGTTGGTTTCGTCGAATTGGGATCGTAGGATGTTTTACGGTTGCCATGGAATGCTTGATCGAGGGTAAGTGCAACCATTTGTTCCGTGCTCAATGCTCAGGTCTGTCGTGGGAATGTAGATTGCGTTTTCCGAGCCCTGTGGGTGGGCGGCGATTGGAAAGAAAACGGGGAGATAGGCGGCTGCGTCCTGCGCTATCTCCACATCGATTCACAATTCCGGTTGCTTTACCCGCGGACTTTTCGCCTGTCTTTCTCTGATCAACGTCAGCATGCTCTCCGAGGGCAAGTACACCGACGTTGCCCATTTCGAACATCACCTCGTCCATGCATCGCATCCTTCTTGACACTGACTTCTGCAGCTTAGACGTTTCAAGTCAATCGCACTTCCCGCCGGCTTGGGCGAGTGATTACACCCACGTTGTCCGTCACGCGCGTGTCCTTCGTGTTCTCGCACCTTTATTGCGCGCTTCCTGACATCTACAATCACTTCAATGAAGAATTCTTATATTGGAGAAACTGGACGCTCAGGTACAACTAGGAACGAGCAAACTTCTTAGCGCGTCTATCGAGTTAGGATGGCTCCTACAATGCTTGTGGGAGCACGGATGTGCTCTCTTTCGTTGGCTGATAGTTTGGCTGGCTCCTGCAGATCGAGACGGTTCGAGATCCCGGTTATCAACTACGCGATAACCTATTGTTAATAGCTGATGCGAGTGATCTGTCTCACTTTCTGCTGTTGTTGGGACCTCTAGGCTCAATCCACGCGGTGGCGTGATCCAAGCCTAGACCCGGGAGAAGTGAGTATCGAACTCCTCACGGCTGAGGTGGGTCTGGGCTAGGATTCGGAATTAATACAGCTGAGCCCTGCGGTGCCCTGACCCCGTCGGTGTCCGTACTGCCGATCTCAGCTCTCAATTGACGAATCTCAGCTCTCAATTGACGAATCTCAGCTCTCAATTGACGGACTGACGAATACCCAATCAAGAAAGTCACCTGACTCACAGGGGCGAATTTGCCAGGTGAGGCGACACTGCGTGGGCTCGCGCGGCCGTATTCGGGCTGAACTGGCTGGCTGGCTGGCTGTCCGGCGGATCGCCATCATCGGGAAGCCAGATCCTGAAACGAGCGGTCGTCGGGGCGCGCTAGTTTGAGGCTAGGAGACGACCATCTGTGATGCCAATCGCATGTGAGCCGTGAGGCGGCAGCGGACAGGAACGCATGGGGCTGCTCGCGCCGGAGCCAGTACGTATCCTCAAGCGTGGGCTGCGGAAGCACATCATATGCGCGCACGACAGAGAGCCCGCGGAACGCGCGCACGAGTGTGTTGACGGGGGATGCTCTGGTTACAGGCGGCAGAGGCGAACGCTCGAGAAGAAGCAGAAGCCTGTCTGTCTGCAGCAGCGATCTCGCGCAGAAGTGATGATGCAGTTCGATCAAATGATCGTTGTGACGCTGATCCTCCTGGAACATCTCTGCCCTGCCCGATTAAGACCGTTCGAAAATAGCCCTGGATGAGTGATTGCGCGCTTCCGCCGAGCACGGGCTGAGATGGAGTCGTTGAGATGGAGTTGTTGGTTGGTTAGGCTAGCTAGGCATTGCGGCGGATCACCGTGGTGTGATCCTATCACCGATCAATTTGAGACTGGAGACATGCCGCCCATCGCCGGCCCGATGCAGCGAGTGTGTCTTGCTTACGGACGGACATGTACCCGGACGAAAGAACATGTCCAGGCTCCACAGCAGGCACGGCCGATTTTTGATCTACTGCTGACTATCGAGGCGCACATACTTCACTTGATGTCCAAATGGGAGAAGGCCCTTCAGGCCCTGTTTCACGCAAGGCAGATGCGTGCTCCGATGGTGGAGGGCGCCGACACCTCCACTTGTTTCTGTCATGAGAGCGGCTGATGCCCGCGCACTTGTGCGATGCGATATTGCGCCTTTGACAGTGACAGTGGTGCAGATCACTCTAGAGGCAGCATCACATGGGCTCGGGCATCTTGAAGACGGCCCGAATGTCAGCTTCGAACTTTGACTGATCGTTTCCGGGTGCCTAACCTCTCCTGACCTATACTCAACATGGCAGTCTGCCATATTGTGTGGTCGTTCGCGTCGTCAGGGAAGACTGGCTGCCATCATCGGGGAGGACACGCTAGCGCTGCGACAGGCGCGCCCTAAACGCCCTCGCCGATTTTCGAGGGGCATCATCCAAGAAGAAGCTAGCGCCCAAATTGAGAAAGGCACGTCGACTCGCGAACGAGCGAATTTATCTTTGTGGACCAACAAGCGAAGGAGCACACGCTGATCTCATCGTCTTCTCTTGATGGATGACCTGATAGATATCCATTCTGCCACTGTGAGACAGACAGTGGTCGCCATCGAACCTCCATTCGTTCGTCCGGGCACATGGGGTTTGCGAAGGACGATCTGGGATGCATCGGAGCCTTTTTTAAGGGCGGGTCAACTACGCAATTTCTCACACCGTTTCTCCCCCTCTCCTCCTCCTCCTCCCTTTCCCTTTCCTGTCCAGTCTCTTTCCACTTTTTCGCACGAACGTCCGGCCATGGTTGCATTAAAGTTATCTATCGCAAGTGTCCTATCTATTCTGGCCGGCGTCAAGGCCGGCTTCGTCGCCGGGCCCGCGCAGCTCGCCGCGCTCAACCTGCAGCCGGATTACATCATCGTCGGAGGTGCGTGTGCTCGGCGTTGGGGCTGTTCGTGAGCTCATCAAGGACGTCCCGTCGCAGGTGGTACCGCCGGGAGTGTTGTGGCCAGCCGTCTGTCCGAGTGGTCGAACCTGACCATTCTGCTGCTCGAAGCTGGTGGCTCGTGCGTCTCATCCCCGTCCCCGTCCTCGGTATAATCATCTAAACTCTACCTGTAGGGATGCCGGTGTCTCTGATATCATCGTTCCGTTCCTCTGCTTCAGCGCCACGCCCGGGACGCCGCTCGACTGGAACTACACGACCACGGCCCAGCCTGGGCTCGGCGGGCGCTCAATCCCGTACCCGCGAGGCTATGTGCTCGGTGGCAGCAGCTCCGTCAGTGAGTGCTATATTCTGCTGTCCAAACAGACGCACTGGAGGCTGAACGACGTGATTCACAGACTACATGATGTACAACCGCGGATCGCAAGATGACTGGAACAACTACGCCAAGGTGGCAGGGGATAATGGATGGTCGTGGGGAAATGTATACCCCTATATGCTTAAGGTGCGTGGGAATGCTTGGCGCTGTGGTTCAAGATGGCTCAATTCTCCCAGTCGGAGAAGTGGACCGCACCGGCGGACGGACACAACACTACCGGAGAGTTCAACCCTGCCGTGCACAGCAACCAGGGCCTTCTCTCCGTGTCGCTTCCCGGCGCGCCCAGCGACATCGACACCCGGGTCGTAGCTGCGACTCAGCAGCTGTCCAGCGAGTTCCCTGCCAACGTTGACGTCAACTCCGGCAAGACTCTCGGTGTCGGTGAGTCGCTTCCTCGTTGGGCGTGAAGTGCGTTATTGATCACCGTTTCAGCATGGATGCAGGCCAGCATCAACGGCGCCGTGCGCAGCAGTTCCTCCACGGCGTACCTGTCTTCCGGCGTCACTGGCCGCTCTAACCTGAACGTCGCCCTCAACACGCGTGTCACACGCATTCTCCCTGTGACCGGCACCGATTTCCGCACGGTTGAGTACGTCGACGCTTCCGGTGAGTGAAGTTCGGATGTCCGTCGATCCAGTCTAATGGATCTCCAGGCAAGAAGTACACCCTCACCGCCAAGAAGGAGGTCATCCTCTCGGCCGGAAGTATCGGCACCCCCAGCATCCTGATGCACTCCGGCATCGGTGACTCGGCGGCACTCAAGCCTCTCGGAATCACCCCGCTCGTCAACCTTCCGTCCGTCGGCAAGAACATGTCTGACCACGTGCTGCTCCCCACCCGGTACCTCGTCAACTCGACTAACACCCTCGAGACGATCGAGCGTAGCACCGCCGTGCAGCAGCAGCTCCTCAGCCTGTGGCAGAGCTCCGGCCAAGGCCCCTTCGTCAACTCCCCCGGTAACCACATCGGCTTCTTTCGTGTGCCCACCAGCCTGTCCAAGACTTTCGCCGGCTACAAGGACGCCAGCGCCGGCCCGACCTCCGGACACTACGAGTTCATCATCGCGGCCGGCTCGCTCCCGCCTGCGCCGCCCGCGGGCAACTTCATGGGTATCATCATCGGGCTCGTCTCGCCGACCGCGCGCGGGTCCGTGACGATCAGCTCCAGCAACCCGCTCGACGCGCCGCTCATCAACCCGAACCTCGTCGGCACGAGCCAGGACCAGTTCGTGCTGCGCGAGGCGATGCGCGCGTCGGCCCGCTTCGCCGCGGCGCCCGCGTTCGACGACTACGTGCTCGAGAACGGCTCGTTCAGCCCGAATGCGACGGACTCTGCGCTCAACTCGTACATCGCGGCCAACGCCCAGACTGTGTTCCACCCCGTCGGCACCGCGTCGATGAGCCCGTACGGCGCGCAGTGGGGTGTCGTCAACCCGGATCTGACCGTCAAGAAGACCACCGGGCTGCGTATTGTCGATCTGTCTGTCCTGGTGAGTGTTCCTCTTGAGGTTATCGACTGTATCTTCGGCGCTGACACTGCTTTTCTTTCTCAGCCCGTCGTCCCCGCTGGTCACCCTCAAGGCCCTGCCTACTTCCTCGCCGAGCGCGCCTCCGACCTTATCAAATACCAGCCGGTCCACAGCAGCTAAACACGCTCTCTTATTTCGCTGTAATATCTCATACATAATCTTCGGGATTGCTTCCATTCTTTGCATATTGTTTGCTGTACTTCATACTTACCTTTAATCTTATCTACGTACCGCGTTGTACACAAATAAAACTATTTATATGCACATTGGTGGGATCGAGGATGACGTTCGTGTGGCTGTTTCGGCGAAAAATCATGTTACTATTGTTCGCAACTGACAGGTGTTTCTGCACCATAGAGGTGTTTTCGGTCTGTAGAGCCAGCCAATGCATGTATCGCCTTCGGTTTTTTTCAGAATGAATCCTTATGTACTCTGAAATGTCTGTGCAAAGTACGAGAGCGATCGGGCCAGTGCGAAGAATTGCTCGACGCTGCCGGCGCATCAAATGAGGTGATCTCAAGCTCATCTCTATAATTCCGAGCTTCCCGTTGGTCGTTTTAGGCCGGGTAAAGACGAGCCATGTATTATTGAGTATCTTAATCGTATTCAAAATGTTCCTCGCCGTTCCGGGCTTGCAATCGATGTGAGCGAAAGGAATTACAAGTGTGGTCACAATTGTCACACTGACACAGTGATGACAGTGTGATGGCCGGACCGGCAATTCATCTTGTGCTCCTTGAGTCGCATCGACACTCACAGAAGAAAGAATATAAGTTCAAATTAGATACATTACATGTATTCATGACATGTGGGAGGTGCTAGATCCAAGTGGAAAGGCCCTGGGGCCATTGGTAGGTAGATAAATATATACAGTAGCTGTGATGTATAATGTGAATCTCAAGTCCAATGGGAACTAGACGCGTATGCATGAGGTGGGAGAGAAAGTCGAAAGGAGATTTGAAACCAATCCATGAGGCAACATAGCTGCTGGGGAACCCTGTCAATCAACGCATTTGATGCGCGGAGCTTGAAATGTCACGCTTTGGCTGATCACCCTTGGCTCACACACATCGCAAGCCCGGAACGGCGAGGAACATTTTGAATACGATTAAGATACTCAATAATACATGGCTCGTCTTTACCCGGCCTAAAACGACCAACGGGAAGCTCGGAATTATAGAGATGAGCTTGAGATCACCTCATTTGATGCGCCGGCAGCGTCGAGCAATTCTTCGCACTGGCCCGATCGCTCTCGTACTTTGCACAGATATTTCAGAGTATATAAGGATTCATTCTGAAAAAAACCGAAGGCGATACATGCATTGGCTGGCTCTACAGACCGAAAACACCTCTATGGTGCAGAAACACCTGTCAGTTGCGAACAATAGTATCAGTCTCAAATCCACAGTTTCAAGTCAAACTCATCAATCCATCATTGATCCAATCATATCTTTCCTTTTCACCCTTGGCTTGCATCCATGCCTTGGCCATGTTCGGCCAAACCGTATTATGGACGCTCATAGCATCTCTGGCAACTCGACCCAATCTTGAAGCCCCATCATCTATACCGTGCCTCGAAACCTCCAACAACTTCACGGCGCTCATCGACTGCTTCGACGCATACACCGTCCCCGCACAGTTCTACACGACCGAGAGCCACGCCGCCGCCCAGCCGTCGCGCGATGAGCTCGCGGCGTGGGTTCAAGTCGTGCACGCCATGCTCGACTCGTCCATCTCCGTCTCCGTCTCCGCGCCGCACACGCACCCCGCGATCCCCGCCGCACTCGCCCCCTCGTACCACCTCGCGACGTTCACCGACGGGCCCACGAATCGCTCGTACACGGTGCTCTCCGAGCGGTACGCAGTGCGCGGATACTACGCGCGGGGCTGGGGCCTGTTCGTCGTGCCCACTCCCACGACCGCACCACGGCGCAGGGCGAACGCATACCTCTCCGCTCCGCACGCGGGGTACGATCTGTACACCCCGCAGCAGGCCGGGGCGCTTTTCCATCTGGCGCAGGCGCGCAGCGTCCTAATCGCGGGGCGCGCGCGGCAGGCACTGCACCGTGTGTCCGCGTGCCAGCCGGCGCGGGGGTACTGGGCGACGGATCCGGCACACGATGTCGTGCGTGGGCGTTTCCGCTCCGTCATTGAGCGCTGACCCTGTGTGTGCGTGCTAGGCCGAGCCGTTCTTCGCTGCGAGCAAGGCCATCTTCGACTGGGATCGCGCACAGGATGTGCGGGCGACGTTTGTGCAGATGCACGGCAAGGCGCGCTCGTCGTGTCCTAGCGACATGGCGTTCATATCCGCAGGCGTCGGTGGGTCGTTTCTCATGTTTGCTGCATTCTCAGCTGCTTACCTGCCCTCCGGAGGCCCGAGCGTATTCTACGACACCCCCCTGGCAGCGCCCATCCACCGGCTCACCGCCGCGCTGATCAGCCGCTTTCCCGCATGGCGCGTGTCCACCCCGAACACCTCACCGTGCTCCCTGCTCGCGACGGACAACGTGTTTGGGCGTCTTGTCAACGGGGTCGCGGAGGGGGACGTCTGCGAGACGGTGGCTGCGGAGGGGGACGTGACGGGGAGGTTCGTGCATATCGAGCAGGCGATCGGGGCGCGCATGGCGGGGGACGGGCAGGCTGTTTGGCAGGGTTGGGCGGAGGCGATGTTGGATGCATGGGGGGAGTAGATTGGAGGTTGGGATGAAGACCCTGTTGTGCGACACTATCACCGCAGTCTTGGGTTACTGAGTGCTTCCATCTGGCCTGCACCTGAACGAAAGCGTTCTTGCGGATATTCCTGGAATACATGCGACCCATCAAGATGCCGCTGTATGGTACATCCCGATCACGCCTACGACTTACACGGACTAAAATTAGTACACTACTTTGTTGTTTGATCCCGACTGGCGCCAATCCCTGTGCCCCTACTCCACCATGACGACCATTTTGCCAGTATTCGTGCCCTTCATGACACTGAGCATGACCTCGCCCACCTTGTCCAGCCCGACGTTGATATCCTCCAGCTGCTTCAGCTCCCCGCGCGCGAGCTGCGGGATGATCTCCTTCTCGAACAGGCTGACCCACTTGGCGCGCAGGTCCGCGACGAGGAAGCCGAAGAACGAGAGCGACTTGGGTACGATGTGGCCGGGGTTCTGCGAAGGAGGAAAGCGGGGGTTGTTGGGGTCAGGTGCACGCGATGATGGACGCGGATGGGAGCTCGGAACGGACCTTGATCGGGAGGGGCGCGCCGTTGTAATCTGGGGCACGCGGCTAGGGTGAGCATTGGGATTCGCACGGGCAATCCGGCGCTGATGAGGGGTCACGTACTCGCGATCATGCCGCACTCCTGTGTCTCTCCGCATCAATGTGCAGCTCTGCGGAGAAGAGGAGGACGCACGATGAATATGGCGTGGCTGCGCGCGTACTCCATCGCAGCGTCCAGCGAGTCTCCGCCGACGTTGTCCCAGTATCTGCATGTCAAAAAATGCGCGTAAGCGGCATTCACAACGCGGCGGCGGGCGCACATATCGATCGGGCCCTCTTTCTTGAGGACCTCCCATGTGTCCGTCGTCTTGTAGTTGAACGCGACGTCGGCGCCGAGCGACTGCATGAACGCGACCTTCTCGTCCGAACCCGCCGACGCGATCACCTTGAGGCCGTCCTGTTTTGCGAGCTGGATGACCATCCTGCGGAAGACGCGGGTGAGCCAGGACTGAGACCACCAGAAGGGAGAGGGGACGCACGAGCCGACGGGTCCAGCACCGGTGGTGACGAACACGACTTCGCCCTGCACAAGCGAGAGCCGTCAGCGTCCTCATCGCCGATTGCACCGAGTCGCAGTCGCACCGACCTTCTTCGCCCTGGAATACTCACGCCACCCATATACCGCGGTCTCACCTACGTTCGTGCCGCTCAGCCCACACAGTTCGTTTCCCAGCAGGACTAGGGAAGCATGCAAGCAACGGACGACGCACCTGGCATGCCGGCCGCGCCGAGATAGGACGACCACGAGACGCCTGGGAACCGCTCGATCGGCACGAGCGCGTAGATGGTTGTGTCGATGCGGAGCCCGGGGAGGACCGCGTACTGTTGGTGTGCTGCACGGGGGCGGATGTCAGCAGAAGCGTGTGAAGACCGGGGCGGGGGCGGGGGAGACGCACGGAGGTAGCCGAGGAGGTGGGTGCCGGCGGGCGCGGCGTCGACTTCCGAGCGCAGGACGACGGCGACGCCGCCGCTCCAGAGCCTTGCATGGTGTCGGATTTCAGCACCAGCACGAGAGAGAGAGTGGAAAAGAGAGACGCACGATTCGCCGATCTCGAACGCTGGCTGTGGAGGAGGCGAGTGGGATGAGGCAAGGGGAGGTGAGGTGTGTGGAGGGACGTACCATGAAAGACTCGATCGCAGGGTCCCGCATGCGTCCGCGCAGGTACGGATCGACAGACACCGCGAGCATCTTCACCAGCATCCCGCCGTGCAGCGGCACCGTGTCGAGGTCGATTTTCTGCGTTGTGTCGTACACGATCGTCTTCCCCGGGATCGGATAGTCTGGAGGGCCGGTCAGCGTGACTGGTGAGTGCGCGCGAGAGCGGTATCTGATTGACCTGTGGGGATCTCGTTGAACAAAACGCGTCCGTTGGTGACGGGTGCCATGTTGGATAAATCGGGACGAGGAATAGTATGGTAGCTATATTATTGCAACTCAGTCAGATGACGGCGTTATTATGGAGGCTCGGAAGGCCCTGCTCATAAACGAGACAGGTGACAGTGATGGGTGATGGGAGACCCCGTACACTTGGGTAGCCGTCAGAAATGGCCTCGGATGACGGGCACAAGAGTCAAGAATGAGTAACAGAGTGAAATGCCTACGGAGCGTATGAGCGCGCAGCCTCACGGGGAGAGGTAAGGGACTAGTCGGCGGTCGGGGGGTGAGCGAGTTTGATCCCAGTCCGAGGCATCCGCTGCACGTGAAACAACCTTGATGAGCTCGCTGACAAATCCATACAATTTTTTGGTGCACGTGATTGACAACAGCGATATGATGACGGGAACAGAGATTGTATGAGAGGCCTATGACAGGTATGACTTGAGTGGAATACATCACGGTAACAGCTTCAATCCAAAGAATTGACAATATGCCGAGCACTGGTGCTTTTTGGGGAAGTCCTCGAAGAGCTGAGCAACATTTCCACCCCCAAACATGCTCCCGTCGTTGCCAATGTCCCTGTTATTGATAATTCATCTAGCACTGTGAATCAGGACAGGAACGGACTCACGGTGAAGTCATGATCTGCGGATCCGACAACACCTCCTTTGAGCCTGTGATAGATTCGATGAGACTCAGAGACTCAGAGAAAGGATTCGAGAATATTCTCGATGAAGGCGTGACTAATGGCTGGTATGACCCCGGTGTGCTCTTACAAGTGTGCGTCTCTCTCTTTCACATTCAATGTTCACTGACCACAAGTATTAGGCTTGTGTGTTGCTGGGTTTTCATCCCATGGCTGCAGGCAGAGCTTGACGCATACCGTCAACGAATCAACATGACTGCGAAACGTCGAGACCGCAATAAGATTCTGCCTCATGGTGTTCCGCAGCACATGCTTGAGTTTCCGGATGAGTATGCAATTCTCGATTTCAAGGTACGTCTCAGGCTCTATTCTATTGCTTCTTGTTGCCATTGTTTTTCAGATCAAAGTGAAACAAGAGCATATAAATACGGTTCGCCAACAGTATGCTGATCCCAGCCACGATATATTTCAACTGGTGCCGCCGGACTTCGCACAATTAATTCAATCATTCTATGTCGACCTTGGCGAGCCATCAATTACTCGGGAGACGTGCTGGGAGATCTACAGACAGCTACTTCGCTGCTTCGAGCACCTCGACGAGGTTCACAACATTGACAGTAGTGTTGATGACATGTGGGGTTTTGCACTCACTCAGGCTGAAAACGAGTATCGCAACAAGATGCAGCCCCTCCCAAACCTTCATCCACTCCATGGTGGGGAGGATATTGTGGGTCAGGATGGCGGATATTACATGGGTGGTGTAAACGGCGGCAATGGACTTGGTGAGTCCCTCTCATTCAAACTGATGTGTTGTGGCTCATTTCTACATAGATGATGCTCAGCACGCTCAGCTCCGACGTCTGATTGACGAAGTGGAGCCTAACGTTGCTGGTGAGACTGACTTTGAAGGGGAGGACGACATTTGTGCTTGGTTTTCGGACGAAGAGGGCCCCGATGAGCTGGCGGCTGCGGATGAATGGTAGACTATGTCCTTACATTTTATGTGTTCCTTTTTTACATATTCTATCGCTGTTTTACTCATTCTTGTATCGCTGTTGTCAATCACGTGCACCAAAAGATTGTATGGATTTGTCAGCGAGCTCATCAAGGTTGTTTCACGTGCAGCGGATGCCTCGGACTGGGATCAAACTCGCTCGCCCCCCGACCGCCGACTAGTCCCTTACCTCTCCCCGTGAGGCTGCGCGCTCATACGCTCCGTAGGCATTTCACTCTGTTACTCATTCTTGACTCTTGTGCCCGTCATCCGAGGCCATTTCTGACGGCTACCCAAGTGTACGGGGTCTCCCATCACCCATCACTGTCACCTGTCTCGTTTATGAGCAGGGCCTTCCGAGCCTCCATACGTTATATATATAGAAGGAGGCCTTTGCTGAGTCTTGGTAAACTATTACCAATGGCTGCTTCCTTGGATACGAAACCGCACAGCCACAATTACTCACTTCACAGCCACGATTACTCAGTGCAACTGATCATCAGACCCCGGGTCCCGTTCCTCCTCCTCCTGGATTCCGCATCCGCTCATCGATCGCGCGATGTATTTTGGGAAATGAGCAGGTGGCGAGCAAATGGACGGCTGCCGGGTCGACGAGTTTCATCCTCGAGAAATGATCGATATAAGTATGGCGCCGAAACTCACGCGCGCAGGCAAGGTGAGATAAGCCGGTTTCTACCGTTGACCACTATGGACATGGTCTATTATCACGATCGGATCTGACTTGTGCACGGGGTCCTGGCACTCCGTGACTCCGAACACGCATTGTTACTGAGTATGAGACACGTGACTTCCTTGATTCAGTACATTTGGCTGGTCGCAGCGCTGCCATCAACAGCGATCAAGAGTTGTCGGGGACGCCTCACACTTTTTTCCAATCATGTACTGTGATCGGACAAAAGTGTGAGGCGTCCCCGAGGACTAGAATTCTAATTATCTTCATTCCTGTCCATTTTTTTCTCACTCTTCTGCAAACAATATAACTTACCATACTCGATGCTTGTCAAGGACTTTTTCTCGCCATGGCTGATCGCTGTTGTCCACAGCGATCAAGATCTTAGTCAGACACAGCCTCGTGATGGCTTGGGTTAAGATAGTGAACGCGTCTCTCCTCTCTCTCCCCACCTTACTCCATGGCACTCTTGCAGGGATGTCGAGACGCGGCCTGCAGATACAAGTGAGCGCTAGTGAAGTCTTGTATGTACCAATAATTGCCTTGCTTGTCAAGGCTTCACCCTCATAATTGGCTCGATTTTTTCGGACCCGGATTCCCCCGCTGTTCCGTTCCTCTCCGTGCTCTTCCTGTCGGTCTCGAGTTCGACCCGTCGTAGTTGCCCGTATCAAAGAAAAAATTAGAATTAATTTTGATATCAAATAGCAAGGCAGAATGTCGGCGGAGCCAACGCTTTCTAGTAAAATTGACGTGCTCACTCATATTCTGGTTCACTGCATATGCTAAATTTATCATCATAAAGGAGGAATTATGTGAGGGCGTTTGGTCTTGGTACGTTCCCGTGATGACTACCAATCGGCGGCCCGATCAGGTCACACAGTGACGGGCGGACCCCACCATCGGATCATGATCGCTCTTGCCAAATCAGTCCATGTCCATAGCGGTGAACCCTACGGTTTCCCAGTTTGAACCGAGGGGGGGGGCACGTCTGCGTCTCAGTCGCGGTGTCACAGCCTGATGCCGACCCGCATCGCGTTCTTCCCCCCTTCTTCCGCGAAAGCGAGTCTGCTATGTAGAGTCTCGCGGATCAAGCCTGCGAGAGTAGAACTTGCGTGGGACGGTGTGGGTTGCGAACCCGTCGCAGAAGCAGGTGTGATGTCCCATTGTATTTGATGTTATTTTTGGACGTCTCTCATGTCAAGGAATTTCGGAAAGAGCGAGCTGTTCGGGAGAAATGACGGGGATGCGATCACGCCCAGGCGAAAGTCGCGTCGAGGGATTTGTTGTTTCTACAGACTTGGACGCGGCAGAACGCGGCCAGTCTCTTCACATTACGGGAGGTTGAGTCCAACCACGGCCGCCGTCGCCGTCACTCTCCCGTAGATCAGAGACCTTGGCCGTCAGTACTTACGCGTTCGGTTCATTGTCGAAGATCTTTTTCTCACATCCAGGTCCTGCCAAGCCCAGCCTGGACACGCGTGTATATCTCCGCCATCCACCCTCCACCCTCCCTACTACTAGATACAGCAAAAAAAAACATCAACCACACCAACAACCACGCTACCACGCCCGCGCCGCACCCGCCCCCTCCCAACCCAACTCCGCACACATATCACGTGCCTCGCGCTCCATCCGCCGCAGATTCTTCTCGGAGCGCAGCCGCGTGTGGTGCCCGCGCAGCGACACGGTCGGGTACTCGCAGCGCTGTCCGCGCTTCGCGCACTGCCTGGATCGGTCGCGTCAGTCAGTATCCCAGCCCGTCACGCAACGCAACGCAACGCAACACGCACTGGCAGGTCTGGTCCGGCGCGTCCTCGGGCGGGCGGCGGCACCCGATCTTGCGGTGGCGGCAGAAGAGGCACGCCATCGCCTGCAGCTTCGTCCCCCGGCGCGACAGGCGCGCTTCGTACTCGGCGGCGGCGGTAGGGGAGTCGGCGAAGGTGCTCGGCCAGGACGTGCGCGGAAGGATCGTCCGCGGGTGGGGCAGCGTCGGGAGCGAGTGGCGGAGGGGTGCTATCGTCGGGAGCGGGAAGTCGGCTGGGGCGTCGCTGTCCCACGGCGGCGCGTATGGGGCGGGGGTGTACTGGTCCGCTGCGGTGGATGCACTGAGGGGGTGTTGTCCCGGATACGCAAATTCGAGCCCGCGACCCATAGGCTCCTGGGATGCCGGGTATACGTCGTGCGGAAAGTCGAAGCCTCCCGCCGGGTAGGTGTGAAGGGATGCATCCTGCTGGATCCACGGCCACGGCTTTGCGGTCGATGATGGGGAGGATCTGGCGCTGAGGCTGCTGGGGTGGAAAAACGGCTGGGCGAGTGGTCAGCGGAATGGTGCGAACCAAGGATGTACGGGACCCACATAGGGCTGGACATGGCGTTCCTCCCCGTCGTTCGGCTCGGGCAGCGTCCACAGATCGAGATCCACACTGTACTCCGAGCCAGTCGAGCTCGACGGCGGGCGCGGCGACGGCGGAGGGGGCTGCAGGCCCCGCGCGTATCTGGACACATGGGCCACACTCTCCGGCGCGATCTCGTGCGCCGACGACCGCGTGTGTGCAAGTTGCCACGCGAGCGGATCTGCAAAAGGCCGCGTCGAGGCGTCTGTGTTCGGCATCTTGTCGGAAAGGCTGCGGCGGCGACTGGGGGAAGCAGAAGAACAAGAAGACCAAGACGACGATGGCGGACGTTGAGAAAATGTTCAAAAGTGCCCGGACCAACACCGATCAGGGCCTCTCCTCCATCCTCAAGCTTAAATGGCCTCCTGGGTCTGATATGCTGCCGCGCCGGCGCCGGCTGTGTGATTCTCTGTGTGCGCCTTCTTTTCGAGCGAATCACTATCCGATGACATGGGAGATCCTGGCGTGGAACAGCGGGCCGGCAAATCCGAGGATCTAAATGTTGACGAACCAGAATGCAATGGAGAGCGAGAGAGAGATAACCCCCAGGCCGGTCTGAATATACGAAACTGTAGCTCCCCAGTGCGTGGGCGACTTGGGGCGTCGGTTCCGGCGCGTGGAGCCGTCCCCAGTAAGTACGTTGTGGCCCCGCGGTGCGTGTGCGCTCGAGTACAGTGCGGCTGCGCCGGGCCAGAAATTAGGTTTCGGGCTGACTGAGCCGCCGGGCTCGCTGTCCATACCCAAACCCGAGACAGCCAGACAGCCAGACAGCCTCCACGATCCATGGAGGGAGTGTGTCTGTGAGTGAATGTGTGCGCGCCCATTGTCTGGATCACGCCTGCGAAGCGCGTTTCAACCTGACACACGGGTGTTCGCAACGCGGGGACGCAGTGCTCCGACGACCATGGAACGCAGCGTCGCACCACGGCGCGTCGCGTGGCGAGGCTGGGACCATCGTCGATCCGCGTGCGTTCTCACATGCGGCAGTGCGCGCTGGGAAAAACGGAATTCGGAATCCAGCCGGAAGGCCGGAAAGGCGGAAAACATACGACGCACACGACGCGGGGTGTGTGTCATCCCTCATTCCTCATCCCTCATGGAAGGGTGCCCGGAACAATGGCTTCCATCTCTGTTTCGTTTTGTTCTGTTCTGTTCCCAGGCCCCAGCCCGAATCAGATATTCGCGAAGTACACCGCCACAGCCCTACTCCCAACCCTGGATGCTGTTCAGGGAAGTTGCATAGCCGGTCTGGCCAACGGCTGTGCGCAGAGCACGAGTGCATACGTACATGCGTGCGTAATCTAGGGTCGGCTTGCTGCACCTCTGCGATGGGGGCACGCATCTCGAGCGTCGCGGGGAGTAAGTAAGTAAGTATGTATACGTATCAGTCAGGGAACATCAACTAAGTAACTCTATTCCTCGCGCGGAATAAACACCCCGGGCTCGAGTATTCTAGTATTCCCTTTGGGGAGGGAACTCAATCGCAGGGGGGTTCTGAAACGATAAATACCAGCCGTGGGGTTCGACCGACCGACGAACCCGTGTTCATCTGTTGGATGGATAGATTCCAAGTACCCTCGGGCTGGAGCAGTCAGCGCCGAGGGGTCCTCCTGTCCTGATGATTGCCACGTGGGAGCATGTGTGTATGCGAGGGCTTGTCACATCAGCGGTCACGTTTCATCATCCGTGGATTCCCATTTCCTTCACGACACCCATTGCGCGAGGGAATGAAAGGCTGCTCGAGCACTCGACAACGCGCGAAGACTCGAAAAAACACGCGTGCACTCCCCCCCCAAGCGTCGATCGATATCCATCCGTTTTTCATCCACCGCCCTGGAGTTGTCTTTCTGTTTTTTTTTCGAAGCAGGGAGCTATGTAAATTAACGCGGGTGGAGACGGCGGCCCCTCTCCCGAAGTTCAAGCGCTCCTCTCTCTCTCTCTCCTACGTGCGGTGGGCAGCAGAAGAAGCCCCTGAAGTGCCCATCGCTGATAAGGAGGCCCGGGACCGCTTTGAACCGTCGCACTCCGTCCATTTCGTTTCGTCGCTCAGACCAACGACCTCCACGCACTGAAACTCCGGCAGCGCACCCTCGCGTGCCACACGGACATAGTGTAAGAACGCGAAGGGATGAATGAACGACACAGCGGAGAAGCCCCCGACAAGTGTCTGGCAGGGTTATCATCAATCCACTCCACGCTGAAATGAATGCCTGTCAGGTTTGTTTTTCTTTTTACCCTGTGATCGGGAGGGGCGGGAGTTGTCGTCGTCGTAGGTTTATGGATAAAGCCTGGGCCGAGCCAAGGTTGTGCCGTCGCCACTGAGCCCTTCTGTCTGTCTTTACTACTAACTCGAGCCCCGCGCGATGTCCGTCGGCAACACTGTCGGCTCGATGCTCCTCGGTGCGCTCGTCGCGGCCATGTGCGTCACCGGCGTAACAGAATCGATGGGGACACACCGCTGACGAGTCCTCCGCGTGCGCAGGCTGAGCGGCGTCGTGCACCTGCTGACCTTCTTCTACTTCCGCACGTACGCAGCGGACCCGCTGCACTTCAAGCTCCTCGTGAGTCGCGTCTATCCTGTGCATCCGAAATCCTCACTCGGCTGGACGACCAGGTCGCCGGTGTCTGGTGCGCGATTCCCACTCCCCCCTCGTAAAACCCGGATGATGACGATGGGCGCGCCGCGCAGGCTGATGGACACGCTGCACTCGGCGTTCATTCTCGAGGGCATCTGGAACTACGTCATCCCGCAGATCGGCAGCCCTGCCATCCATCTCGACCGCATCCCCGGTGGCGTCCCGGTGAGTGTGTGCGCATGTGGGCGGATGTGGAGGCTGACGGGGCGGCGGCCAGATATCGGTGCTGCTGACGGCGATCGTGACGTTCCTCGTGCACGGGTTCTTCGCGCACCGCATCTTCCTGCTGAGCAAGCGCAGCTGGGCCATGGCCGCGCCCGTCGTGGCGCTCGCGGTGCTCCGGCTCGCCGCGGCGGCGGTGTCCACGTGGGAGATGTGCGTCCCGTTGTCGTCTGTTCTCAGGAAGTCTTACTCACGGAGAGCCTCTTTCTGCGCCAGGTTCCATTACCAGAGTTTCGCGGGTTTCAAGGATCACGCGGACGTGCGTTTGAGTGTGCGCTGCGCTTCGTCTCCGCCGTGGCTCATACCAGGAAACAGTGGATCTTCACGCTTGGCCTTTCCGTATCGTCGGTCGTCGACGTCTACATCACCGCGTGCCTCTTCTACCTCTTCCGCTCCAGCCGCTCCGCGACCTCGCCGTGCGTCCTCTCCCCTCCCCACGCCGCTCGCATCGAGCCCCGAGTTGACATGGAGTTGACCGTGGCGCAGATTCAACCAAGTCATCGACCAGCTGATTCTCTACGCGTTTGAGGCGGGCAGTCTCACAGCGGTGGGCACGATCGTCACCATGATCTGCGTGAGTTTGGCGCCCGGTCGTACATCGCCCAGAAGAAATGAATTGACTAGCGCGTCAGTGGGTGGCCATGTCCCGGAACCTCGTCTTCCTCGGGATCCACTTCGTCATCGGAAAACGTGCGTCTCACGTCCATCTCCCCAGGTTAGCACTCACATATCTACGACTTTGCAGTATACGCGAGCTCTTTCCTCATCACGTGTGTCCCCCACCTGTCTCTTCGACACCCTGCCAGGATACTGACGTAACACGCTCTCGTCGATAGCCTGAGCACGCGCGAAACCATCCGCCGGACGCGCGCCAACACCTCGTCCGGCGACAGAGAGCGCGGCGGGCAGGTGCTCTTTCTCGAGACGCGCTCGGGCCCCGGCGGGCCCGCCAAGTCCACGCCGACGACGGCGACGATTCCCTACTTTGTGCGTCTTCTGTCCCTGTCCCTAGCCGTGTGTAATTCTGCCACCTAATCTCTCTCTCCACCAGACGCGCTCTGCGCACGCCCATCCGTCCGCGGTGAGTGCCTCTGGCTTGTTTATTGATGTGGATTGTGCTGATGAACCAATCACGTGCCAGGATCTGCGGATAAACGTGCAGACGAGTGTGCAGTTCGACGGGGACGGGGCGTCCTCCATCGATGCCAAATAGATACAAGCCTGTATTCGTATCCGTATATATACCACACCACACCACACACGGAGGGCCGGTGGCTAGTGAGTCCAATTCGGGTTACAGGAGATTGCGACTGATTGGGCAGTTTCCAATCCCCGTGGAGTAGCTACATATATTTTTTTGGCTTGAGTTGCCCGGAGTCACTAAGCAACCGTCAGCGACAAGAAACGAGCAGCCCTATTCCATTACAGACTGCCCAATCAAAATCAATTGAAATTACCGTGCCACGTGACCGTCAACTTCGTGTGATTGCGGAACATCACCGGAGCTTCCCATAGGATAAGGCCATCCCCCGTGTTCACAGGGGCCACTCAGTGATTGTATGTGAGAACACAGTCCACGATTTTTATCTATACGGTTGATTTAGATACTGAGGACGGCCCGTGAAATCTTGATACATAGCATCATGGTCTGCACCGAGTTCACCCGGGGGTTCACATTCACAATCAATTCCGTGCATATTCACTCACGGCGTACATACCGCGGAAGCAAAACAAAAAAATCACTGAAATGAACCGAGTTGGTTTCTGTTCGTTTCCACCATCTCAGCTGTGGAAATCGATAAACGAATTCGAGAGCTCTTTTCTTTCTCTTTTTTTGGCATCAGCATAGGTATCCTTGTTGTGCGCTCTTACCCTCGTTCAACCCCGGCGATCTGACCACCGTTGCGCCCTCTTCACATGTCTGTGACCGCGTGATTTTTCCGTGGCTTGCAATGTTGTCACGGAGTGTGCATGCAAGCAGCTTGAGGGTGTATTCGCAGCGTGGGACGGGTGGGGCTTGGACAGAGAGAGTGCCTGGCTTCTGTGCGACTGTCTATCTTTTTATCTTTATTCTTTATTTTTTTTTCCGCCAGAGGCCTTGAACTGGTGACATGTGGCCCCGCATTGGAAGAACAGAGCAATGAGATGTGAATTGGATAGATTAGCTACATAGACGTCGCTCCACAGGTAATACGGATAGAGAACCCTGTTCAGCCACATAGCTACCGATGAAACTTCCTTGACCAATCCACTTGGAGTGTTGGAGTTTGCATTTAGATACTTATCAATGCCACACACTGTGTCTTACGGTATATTGAAGTGGCCGTGAACTTCGCATGTCTCACCGATGATCTCCCAGATACATCGCCGAAGCTTCCGTCCACGCGCGTTCTAAGGCTAGGGTGGAGTAGATAAAACTCACCAGTCCTCGCCTCAGACACAGTTGACACATAAACACGCTGAATAGCCCAAGAACGTTCCTGGCATCTTATCCTTGAAATGATCTCTGCGGCAGCACCTCTGCCACGTTCCTGTTCCCATTCGATTAGATTATGGAGAGGAGCTTGCACTGCGGCAGCTACTCGCACGGGGTATCGCACCAGCGCAAAAAAAAAATCAACCGAGTTGGATTCTGGTCGTTTCCACAATCTGAGCCGTGGAAATCGCAACGGTCCCCCGCATCAACTGCGCCCGCTGCTGACACGAGCGAGCGAGCGAGACGCAATGGCAAAAATAACGCCAGATTATGCAACTACGTTCCTAGAACAAACACAAACAATAAACGCGACGGGCTCGTCCCGTCCAGGGCCCGAAAGCCAACGAAGATACGAAGATATGACATGACACACCAACACAGCGAAGAGACACGGCGCCGCTCACTCGTCGTACACCCACCTACGGACCTTGCGCAGTTGGCTCCAGGTGCGCTTGCCCGGGAGCGGCTCCTTCCCTGGCCGTCAGCGTCCGCGGATCTGCGCACGGGTAGATAGACAAAAAGGCGGCTCACATCGGGGTTGGAGTAGAACCAGCCTTGGCACATGACGCCCTCGACGAGCACCATGCGCCGCCCGTCGGGCGTGTACTGCTCGTCCACGTTGAGGGGCGGCGGCGGCAGCGGCAGAGTCGCTGCAGAGGCGGCACGCGCCTCGTCCGCGTCCGCGTCCTGATCCCGCCGCGCCAGCGTCGCCGCCTCCGGCTTCTCGGGCTCGTTCGGCCGGGCTCTCACGAGCCGCGATTTGGTGGTGCACCGATCAGCCACCGACGGATCCAACAAATCCAAATCCAAATCCAAATCCACACCCGAATCCGAATCAGCCCCGAGCGCAGCATCAACCGCCCTGCGCTTGCGTTTCCGGCCGCGGCTGGGGCCGGGCACGGCGCACACCCGCGCCGCCCGCGCGTCCCCGCGCTCATCGTCGTCCGAGTCGAGGACCACTTTGCCCTTCAGCACGCGCACGGCGGACGTCCGAGCCGCCGCTTTCGCCGTCGGAGGATCGCGTTCCCGTTCCCGTTCCCGTTCTCGTTCCGGCGCCGGTGCGGACCCCGCGGCCGTCGCCGGGGGAGGATCGGCTGCGACGATCGGGCTTGCGCCAAGCTCCGCGTCTGCGTCCGGGGCTGGGGCTGGGGCCGCGGCTGGGACTGTAGAAGCCGACTGTCCGACAGCCGCGTCTTCGCGGGGGCCCGCCACAACCGGGCCCGCCACCGCCATCGTCGAGCGCGGGGACGTGGACGGCGCTGGGTCGAGCGAGGTCGCCCGTTCCGGTTCCGGTTCCGGTTCCATGACCGGTGCGGCTGGTTCGGTGCAGACGAGGCGCGGTGGCGTCGGCGTCGGCAGGCCGGGGAAGAACACCCGCGCGGTCGACGAGGGCGGGGGGTGCGAGGCGTGCAAACCCACGCGCGCGGCCGGCGATGACGCAGCCGCAGAGGGACGCGTCGGCTTGAGCGTGGGCTTTGATTTGGGCTGGGGCTTGTACCTGCGAGGCGCGGGTTTGCTTGAGCTGAGCTTACCCGTTCGCAGACAGGACGAGGGAGAAGCAGAAGAGCCAGCAGACGAGGGTGCCTGCAGCGCACAAAGAGCGTTGTCGCTGTCCATGAGTTCATCTCGTGGCGCAGCGTTTGAAACTAATCCTGGGATGACTGAAACGGGGAGCCGTTAGCGATCACGCCATCATTGGAAGGGGTGCTACTCCTACTACCCGACGAGCCGCGATCAGACGCGCCGCAGTCTTCGTCCATACTGGATGCGGGTGGGTGGGTGGTGGTGGTGGTTAATGATAAGAGAGCGAGCGAGTCACATATCTGTGACTTCGAATGAGTACAATGGCCCTTGCCACACAGGTCACGTGCGTTGGAGTGGGTCCGAGAACTGGGTGATGGGCCCCCGTTCGAGAACGCCGATTGCACGCTGCACATAGGCACCGAATGTTCCATAGTCCGCGACAGGAAATCGAGGATGTCAACGCCAGGTGGGGCTCGAGTCAAATGACTGGCTGACGGACTTTCAATGCTGCCTGCCTGCAGCCAAACTTTGCAGCCTTCTAACGTTTATTAATAGATTCTATCAACATGGCGCAAGCGAACATGGACCCAAAAAAAAAACACGCTACATACAATTTCTCCGAGGTAGCGGAGTACCTGCGATCCAATTCGCTGCCGCCTCCGGTCATACACCGCCCAATTTTTTTTCTTTCGATTTACACACCAAACTCAAAACGGCGTCGGATGGCGCGCGGCCATCTCGACGCTGTGCCCCGTCGCAACCGTGCCCGCACCCGTGGCCGTGCTGGGCGACCCGGGCAGCGGCGCAAGGCCCATACTCCCCAGGACCTCCTCCATGCTCGCCACGCTCGCCACGCTGCGCGACAGCCGCGCGGACTCGACACTGAGCTTGTCCCGGCGGTGGCCGGGCGACGCCGACGACGACGGAGGCGGTAGGGGGATCGGCTCGGCGGGCTCGGGCGACGCGCTGTACGCGGGCGGGTTGATGCGCTGCCGGCGATCGAAGTATCCGCCGTCCTCCGCGACCTCGGGGATTGCCGGCGGCGGCGGGGAGCTGGGGACCGACACGGGACGCTGCGGCGTGCTGAGCGTCGACTCGGATGTCTTGCGCGGAATCGGAGGCGGGACGGCTGTGTGCGGGAAAGGGTCGATCGTGTGTAGCGCAACTGGCAGCGGGGACAGCGTCCGTGGCGGGGAGGCACTCGTCTCTGACATGTAGGACACCGAGGTGATGCTGTCCTGCGGCGTATGCCCTGTTGTTGTCGTGTACATGGTGGTGGGGCGCGCCGAGGCAGACCCGCCAAGTGACACCGACGGAATGAGCCCCGCCCCCGACTTTGTAGAAAGGTCAGAGCGTGATCGCGTATGGTACAGAGGCCGCGGGCCGCTCCTAGCGCGCAAAGTCGCTTGGCGCTTGGTCCAGAGCCAATAAACGAGGTACGCGCCCAGCAGCAGCACGACCACGCCGCCAACGACTCCCCCGGCAATAGCCCCCGTCGGTACTTTGCTCCCGCTCACGGGCACTTGACCGGATCCGGGGACGAGGTCAGGGTTGTCTGTGGGCTGCATTAGGGAAACAGCTGCGGACATCACCCGGGATACGCACTCTCGTCATGCAGCGCCTGCGCCTGTGCGGTATCGAAGCGGCCATTGTCCCACGTCGTAGCTAGCAGTCAGCCGTCAGCAAGCATCGCCGCTAGACAGGACACCACGGCACGCACGATCGACACCAGCCCAGGACGGAATCACCGTCCCGGCAGGCAACGTCACATTCTGCGGGTAGTACGTGTCGGACACCAGCCCGCCGCAGCTCGCGTCGTACGCGGCCCAGTTGTCGATCGCCGAGTCGAAGCCCTGGCACGCCGTGCACGCGCTGAGCAGGTTGTACGCCGTCCACGAGCTGCGCGCCGTCGTCAGCCAGCTGCCGCCGTCCCCCACACAGGAAGACGCACCAGGTGCACAAGTTCGCCGTGGTCGCGTTCGGCGCGGTGTAGCCCTGTCCCGGGCCCAGACTCGGCACATTCCAGTCTACAACCAATGCATGTCAGCACTCGGGAAAACGGGAGCGGGCCAGGAGGAGACGGGCGACGCACTGCCCGTAAAGCACGCGCCGAGGATGACGGACGATAAGAGGCACGGCGACAGCTTGTGCGAGCTGGACATCCAGTCGTACGTCGGCGAGAGACACAGCGCGGTCGATTGCGCCGTGCGCTTGTTGAGCGGCGCATCAGGGGTCGGCGACCCGGCTGCCAGATGCGCTATGCTGATCAGCACACCCGCCGCAGCAGCAAGTACGTCAAGTTGCGTCATGTTCGTGCAAAGAGGCGGCAGAGAGGTGCGGGTCACTCGCGGGGCAGGAGGAGGAGGAGGAGGAGGAGGAGGAGGACAGGGAGGGAAGACACTGATACGAAGAACGAAGCCCCGTCCCAGGACCTATCGGATTCAAGTACCCTCGGCTTCGGCGGTGCGAGGCACGACCTGCCAGGCCCGGTCGGCTGACCCATGTGCGCGGCAGTGTGAGAGAGTGTCCGCGGGGATCAGAAAACACAAGGGCACTTGGGCGCTTGCGCACCGCGGCCGGACAGCTGGAATGCGGCACTGGTACTCGCAGGGGACGCCGCCGGTCGAGGCGGGTCTCCGACGCGGCCGCGCAGACGACGACATGGGTCCGCAGAGCATCCCCCCGACTGTGCGTTTCAGAAGAGAGTCTATTTCTGGTGTACAATAGACGCCCACAGACCAAGAAGACCGGTTTAGGCCCTCAAACATCTCGCCCTTGCTGCCACTCGAAGACATGCTTGGACGACGGTCCACATGCAGAGACACGTCATGATGTACGGACGAATGCGAGCGTGCTACCGTACATTGGCTGGGATTCCTGCGAGTGAGTGTCCAAGGGTCCTGGTCCGGACCTCATGATGATGATGGTGAGATGCAGTGCGGAAGTACGGTGCGGGGGGGCTGTGTCGGTGCCTAGACCGCGGTCTATGATTCCACGCGAACAACGACAGTTTGGGTTGGACTGGAACCAAACTGAAACCATCTACCTGAGCCCTTGACGATAAAAGCGGCAGGCTACATATTTCGACCTGGGACCGATGAAACGTGCTGAATGTCTGATCTCGAAAACTGGTAGCGCCACAATGAAGGGAATGACACAACGTGTGCTCGGGACGGCTTGAAGTCGGAGAGAAGGGAAAGGCGGAGCACATAAGTCAATCCACAGCAAATCAAGCGCATTACATGAATCGTTGATAACGAAATTGCCTTGCTTGTCAAGGATTCTCCACCCTCATAATTGGCTCGATTTCGTCGGACCCGGCTTCCCCCGCTGTTCCGTTCCTCTCCGTGTTTTTCCTGTCGGTCTCGAGTTCGACCCGTCGTAGTTGCCCGTATTAAAGAAAAAATTAGAATTAATTTTGATATCAAATAGCAAGGCAGAATGTCGGCGGAGCCGACGCTTTCTAGTATCCGAATCCACGCACTATAATTGCCGTGTGATGCCTGAAACCAAGATGGCTTTCATAGCTAACAATTGATTCCTCTGGTAGCTATTGAAAAACCAAATTCACTAGACTGATTGTCAGAAGCTCTTTCCCGCCAACCAGCGCTGCAACATATCGAGCGACTCCTCCGGCTTGTCATACGGAACCATATGCCCCGCACCCTCGACGGTCAAGAACGTCAGCCCCCGCGCCTCCCTCACCAGCCCCGCCCGCTTCCCGCCACTGCTCCACGGCCGCAGCGCCCGCCCCGCAAACGCCTCCCGCCCGCTCCACTCGAGCCCGCGCGTCCAGCGCTCGTTGCCGACCCAGTTGCAGCTCCAGTCGTACGTGCCGACGTAGATCAGCACGCGCACGCCGCGCTCGAGCAGCCCCGCGACGTGCGCCGCGGAGGAGCGCGTGCCGTCGAGCGCGGCGCGGAACAGCGCCGACACAGTGGGGTCGCACGAGGAGAAGTTGGCCGGCAGCGACGCGTCGACGCCGAGCGTCTTGCGCACGTCTGGCCTCGAGAGGAAGTTGCGGATGTGCCTGGGGAGGGTTTGCATCCAGTTCCGTTCGGCTCGGCATGGGAATTGGGTGTGGCTACTCACGCGGTCAAGGGGTAGCAGAGGTTCTCTGCGCGATTGGTCGCGTTGCATTCTTTCGAGATGTCGTACGGGTTGCGGTCGGCCTTGTAGAACGGCTGTTTGATGTACTGGCTGCAGAACGAGTTGGCCTCGGCGCAGTCGGTGTAGTCGTACGCGTCCACGCAGGACTTTTTGAGCCGCGCCTCGCAACGCGGAATCTGCAGCACCGTCAGCGTGACCAGGCTTTTGTGCGATGGCTTGACTTGCCATCTGCTTCATCAGCACGCAATCTCTGGACGAGCCTCAGTGGAGTAGACACCCGTGGGAAAGAACCCACGATATGCTCAGCAAGGGCGGCAGCGAAGCGGGTGTGCACATCATATCGAAGGACGACGACATCTGCGTGTAAAAGTCCGTGATCCCGTTCCCTGAGGAAAGATTCAGCGCTGAATTAAACCCCAAAGCATAAGTGCCCGCACCGATCATGACCGAAGTCAAGTTAATCGGCGTGTACCCATCCTCCAGCAAGCGCGCGTTCTGGTCGTACACCTCCGCAGCAAACACCGGCACGTATCTTCCCTATCGGTAATCAAACACCCGTCCTCCCGTCACCGCAACCAACTCACCCCGTAGGACTCGCCGGTCATGTGGAACGGCCGGCCCTTGAACTGGCTAAAGTGCTCGAAGAACACGAACACGAACTTGGCCATGTCCTTCGCGCCGTCCTCCGTCGTGCCCACCGCCTCGCCGTAGTCCGCGTACGAGAAGCCGACGCCGATGGGCTGGTCGACGAAGAACAGGTTCGCGTTGGCGTTCCAGCTCTGCGGGTGGAACTTGGGGCCGTCGGCGTCGAGCACGCGGCAGGGGCCTGCCATCCCACGTTACGTGTTTGAGCGACACGGATACCACGGCGCCGACACAAAAACACGCACCGAGCTCCATGAACAGCCCGAGACTCGAGCTGCACCCCGGCCCGCCATTCGTCCAGAAGACGACGTCATCCGCCGCGGGGTCGCTGCGGCTCTCGAAGAAGTAGAAGAAGATGTGCCGCGCCTCGATGTCGATGTACCCGGTGTACGAGCTGCACATCGGCCGGGGTTAGCAAGCAAGCAAGCAAGGGGCGCAGACGACGGGTGGCGCTGCGCACCTGACGGTGTTGTCGCAGAACCCGCCGCTCTTCTTGATCCGCACGCTGACGCCGGGGAAGACGGGGTGCGAGAGCGTCGTGAAGGAGTCCGCCGAGAGCGCGCCCAGCGAGCCGTACGGGGTGAACAGGCCCGCGTCGTACGCGTCTCTGCGCCTCTCCCGTGAGCCTCGCGCGGGCGGACCCCCAAGGAGCAAGGGGCGGCGGCGCACCTGGACGCTTGTCCAAGGACAGTCTGCCCGCGTTGATCGTGTGCATATGCGTGTGTCGTGGCAAAGGGCAGCGCGAGCAGGAAGAGGGACCAGGCGCGCATGGTGGGGGATGGGGATGGATGTAGAGCGCGAGAGGCCGCGAAGTGTTGGGTCGCCCTCGTTCGCCGGGGCGAAATCGCTCCCGACAGATAACGTTCGGCGATCTCCGTGACACGCGAAGAAAAGTTCCCAAAACAGACAAGGACTTTTGACCAGATGTTTCGTCGGCAGAAGCTATATATAATCCGACTGGTAGATATTCTCGTGCCGCTGACCCAGGAAAGTCAAAGAGAAATTCAAACGCGGGCGCCGAATCTGGCCGTGACCTCTTTCTCCAGGAACTGCTGAACCATCCCCAGTTCAACTCCCAACCGCACCAAGTCCGGGTTTGCAATTACGCAATCTGGATAGAGACCGGAGGTCTCAACGCCAGCAGAGAACTGGGTAACTGGGCAGATGAATTGCATCACCCACCACGGCTTTGTACTGTACCAATTCAATCAATGCAACACTGGGGCCCGAATTTTTGCCCAAAAAAAATCCCAAAGAAATCTGAAAAATCGAGAAAGAATTAAATCCGGGGTCTAATTTTTGGGGTGTGATGCGTGACTGTTGATTTGATTAGATTGGTACAGTATGTCATTCTCAGGATGACTCACCACCTGGTCAACCGCAGCCAGCCCGCTCTCTGGTGCAGTCTCAAATGCCACAGGCACGCCAAGCACAAGCACTGTCAGCTCACGGGTTAGCACACCACACTCCTCCTCCTCCTCCTCCTCCTCCTTCAATGCTGCTGGGACACCAACCTGCAGTGGTCATCTCCACCAGCTGCCCAAATGAGATGCACATGTTCAGAATGGGGAAGGTCTGACCCATGACCACCATGTTGTTGGGGTCCGTGTGGTGCTTGAACATGTTGGCACAGCATTGTGGCTGTGACTGTCAAGGAGTCAAGCTTGAAGATACTGAGGACTTACCACAGCCACATCAAATCTGATAGATGGCATCATGGGACATATCATATGACTACATTCTGTATCATATAAAAGGAGGGCTCTATTACACTTTGATACAAGTCTCTTGACTACTCCCGCATAGTGCCCACACTAAGCTCTCACTTACACAGGTGGGTTGCTAGACGCTCTCCCCAGTGCTCAACAGGGAATACAACACAATAGCTACTGTATTTATACTAAGTCCAGTCTAAGTTATATCTACATCAAACAGTGGGTTATCTTGTCATGGAGTATGGCACCACACAGTGTTGAGCCTGATCAGCAGCTGTACATGGACACTGCCACCCATCATCAGTGGCTGCGGCACATCCACTAACATCAGGATTAAGCTCAGTGGCCAGGGTTTTTCTGGCGATTTCTCCAACATTTCACACTACTTACAGAAAGCTCCAGAGCTATCGGTTACTAGGGTGTATAAGTCCAGAATATTATCACCCTCTTCATAGCTCATTGTGCAGCATCCCTGACCCTGGCCTCACATTCTTTACAGCATCAACCCAGTAGTCTGTGGCCCAGCCAGACACTGCAGGAGTCCATCCACTTGTTTCTACGCAATCCTGGCTCCTCTGAACCTTGGTAAGGCACCTCGCCTCATCACATCAATACACGGGACATTTGGCATGGGGCCTGCCCATTCACCCTCTCATTTATGTTCCTTTGTCCTTGGGCCATTGCTTAGACAATGCCCATGCACATCAACAGTCTGGGTTAGGGGCTCAGGAAGATCATCTCTATTGATCCAAGGCTGTGCAACACATGCTTCAGAAGGTTCAACTACAACCTATAACCAGTGTTCCACGTGACACATAGTCTCATGACTCATTTGGTGTAGATATGACTCAGACTGGATTTGGGTATAAATACTGTAGCTACTTTCTTGTATTCTCCAGTCTTCAATATGCCTTCTCTTTTTGACATAATTCTTTGTTGATTGTCACATTGAAGTGTTAATAGATACTGAGTTCAATCATCTCATTCCAGAAAGCTAGAGGAGCGAGATAGGAAGACTACAAACAGTGAGAATGGCAAACACAAATAAAACACAACTCACCCACTCAAGAGGTTCAACCATTCCATACCAGAAAGCCAGGGGAGGCAGATAGGATTTAAAATCATCAACATGGATCCAACTACAAGTAGTGAGTATAGCAGACACAAATAAAGAAGAACTTACGTCTTATCATCATTTGCCCAGTGCATATAGAAATACTACAGAGATAAGTAACAGAAAGTGTAGGAAAGAATCACATACCACTTGCTCAGCCTTGATCTTCATAGCGATGATTTCCTTGACGTCCCACGAGCCATCTGGATTCTGTCCAATCGAGGAACGAGCCATAGACTGGTACCGCTTGTTGTCCTTGTACACCTTCAAGAGGTGCTCAGGGATAGGACCCAGAGGAAAGGCATTGTTGCTAAAGGCTAGGAAAAGTCAGAACAGATCAACAAGATAGAAGAGACACTCACCAGAATGCCATACAGTCTGACCCTCCTTAGGATTTTGAGGATCCCAGTTTTTAGGTGTGATGATCGAATTCAAGAAAGCAAGAGGAGAAAGATAGGAAGTCAAATCATCAATGTGAACCCAGCTACAAATAGTGAGAATGGCAATCACAAATAAAAAAAAGACAACTCACCCCTCATCTGAATTGCTCCAGAGCAAGAAGAAGTACTACAGAGATGAGCAATAGCAAGAGCAAGAAAAAATCACATACCAGTTGATTGCCTTGAAACCTCATGGCAGCCACTGCCTTCACATCCCAAGTGCCATCTTCATTCTGTTCAACAGCAGAACCAGCAAGATAGGAGCAGAGATAAACAGCCAGAGAGAGAGCCAAGACAAGCAGAAGCAGAAGAACCAGAGAGCCAGAGAGAAGACAGACAAGACCACAAGAAAGAGCAAAAAAAAATGAGTCAGAAAAGTATATGGAGTGATGTGTGACATGTTACATACCTGTGACATGTTGATGGTGTGATGATCAAGTGATGTGTTTGGTGAATGATGGAAGTGTTTGGTTCTGATGTTGTTGGTCAGCTGATGATGTTGATGGATTGGTAATGATGAAGACTTACTAAGCAGAGAGGTGTGGCTGTGAGGGTGTGAGAATTGAGAGACTGTGGTAGTCATGAGCAAGAGGGGGGATCAGAAAATCATGATGGATCTGCCCTTATATATGGCTCATAGTGGCAGTGCTCTCCCCATCAAAACAAGTGCAACTCACCTCATGCTCTGTAACACAACTAATTTTAGCTCAACTCAAAAAAGGCTGGCAGGTACCCTAGGGTTTTTAGGCCTGGAAATCTGAAAATGATGTCAGAATTTTTATTGGATCAAACATGCCGGCTGTGGAGCAAAATCTTTGCTGAATTTGCTGTATTTGGTCAATCTAAGAGACAGGACAAAATAGAATGGGTCCAAGATTGACATGGTATGTGAAGGTAAATGCACAGTGAAGTGTAACAATCACCAGTTACCTGTGTTATACCTGTATCCTTTGGATAACAGTAGAACTGTAATACCAAGACTTATATCTCTATAGATACACTTCAAATGTCTAAGTTTTCTCCTCCAGAATGAGATTCAGCTCCAATGACACTAATAGGATTCCCTTTTACTAATTTCAGTAGTCAGCATAGAAGCTGGCAGAGGAGATCCCAATACAAGTTGTTCTTTACTGCAGTCTTATAGAGGCCTGGAACTATATGCTGATACCTGGGCCAGTGTATCACTGATGACTTGATACAGCATCTTGATGTCTGATTGAGCGGTCTTGGGGACCCCATGAGACTCAAATATGGCCTGACTTGGATTAGTTAGAGTACCTAATGATCCAGAATGTGGATATTGTGTGGAACAAAATTCACTAGATTCAGGAAATCATATGTTGCAAAACACAATAAACAAGTGGACTCATGCACCACCTAAATTGGTGCTTATTGATCAGAATTCTTGGAGGACGTAACAAAAATCCTCTTTGTCCTCTCCTACCTTTGTAATGAGGCAAGCACAAGCTGCGCCACTTCAAGATGGGCAATGAACTGGAAGCAGCACAACTTTGAGGGCTTCCAGGGGCTGAAGGCAGGAGTCACCACCAAGGACTTCTTAGAGGAGCTTCAAAGGGCTATTGGGGACTGCACCAAAACAAGCAGTCCTTTGCAGACTATATCTCTGATTTTGAAATGTTAGCTGCGGACATGGGATACAATGTTGTCACCAATACCAATGATAAGGAGGAATACAAGAAAGGGGACCAAGACAATATCCTCGTTGAGTTCCTCAAGCATGGACTCAGCAGCAAGATCACCAGCTGCCTTTACAACACCAGTGTCCCTCTGCCCAGGTGTATGGTGCCTTCAAGGACTGGTGCATCAACATTGAGGCAAACACTCTGTGTGACCAACTGTGCAAGGCATTGTACGGACATGCCACACCACAACCACCCCCACAATTCCGTCCCCAGGCTGCGACAGCAGCATCTGCACCTGCTCCAGCCCACCCGGCTGCCAACAAACCAGTTCCAATGGAAATTGATTGCACCAACGCCTGTGGCTGCAACATCATCTGCTACAACTGTCAGCAGCCAGGGCATATTGCACAGAACTGCCCAGAGCCAAGAAAGAACTGCACATTCTTCAATTGGGCTACAATGCTTCAAGAAATTGAGAACAGCAACAAGGACAACAAGTTCCTGAAGGAGATTGCCAAGAAGCTGCACAAGAAGGGTTTTTGAAGCGCTCCACTCCTCTAGCCAAGGAGTTGGAGTGTCCGCACCATGGACAATTTTCTGTACTTGTTTCAATTAAAGATATGAACAATATTCCTCATACATACATGATCTCAGACTCACTATGTACCAATATTCATGATTTTCTTGTTGCTGATATGGAGAAAGAATGTCAGATCAAAATAGCATTAAAAAGGAAGCATATACGAGATGGGGAGGATCAAAAAACAAAGGTGTATACTGACCAAATGGGTTTTCGAGATGCTGACCCTCCCAAGTCACTACTGTCACAGTGCCTGTCATGCGCTCAGAGATCTGGGCGCCTTGACAAAGCCAGGTGAACAGGATGCACAATGTAGCATTTCATGGAGTTGGGGATCAATAGAATTCTTTTGAGAATCTGGTGAGGCCGCTTACATCTTCCATGATGTCACGAGTCAGCCATTGGTCAGATCTTGGGATCCTGAGAGGTGCAATTCTTGCCTGAGGGCAATCCTATTTGACATTCAATGAGTAAGTATGGAGTGAATTCATTTACTAGTCTTGCAATATATGAGTGAAGATCCTTATGAGACCGTCTGGCTTGCTGTTCACATTGCATTAATCAATCGAGTGCATTCATGCCAGCCCGGCCATCACAGCGGCATGATGCCGAATGCTGCTGCGTCACGTTTGACTTCGCCATCATTCTCCCGCGGTACTTACCATCTCGTTTCATGTCGAGACGGGAGGGTAAAAGAGCCTATGTTATGAATGCTCCAGCAAGGTCACACGTCATGAGAATTAGATTTGTGCTCGGAAGAAATAGACACAATATTAGTTATCCTAGTGAACAGGCTTCCGTCGAAAACCATCATCAGACCCGGTGGGTCGCGTCGAACGCGCACAGAATGTCGTTCACCGTCGATGCCCCCGGTGTCAGTCCCAGAGCAGCCACGGTCGTCTCGCACGCAAAGAAATCCACGCCCGTGATATACCCCGCGAGCACCGCGACCAGCGTGAACGCCGGCACCTCAACGCCCGCAATTTTCGCGAGTTTGATCAGCGGCACTATGCCATGCTGGATGTCCGACGCGATGAAGCGGTGGCGGAGCGACGTCGGTGCGAACGGGTGCATGTTATGCGTGCGCGACTCCCGCGCGAACGTCTCGAAATCGGGATGCTCCGTGGCGTATATGCGGTTGAACCAGGGGATGAAGTCTTCCGCGGGGTACCCGAGCGCCTCCACAACCCGTCGCTTCTCCTCGTCGAGCTTGAGAACGAGTTTCACGCCCGCCGCGGACCCGATCGCGTCTTTGTAGAACCTGAAATCCGGGCCCAGCCGCCCGATGCTCCCGGATATGAGCAGACTCGGGCCGGCGTGAACGACGTCGTTTTTAGCGGAGAGCGCGCAGTGCAGCGCGTCCATGCACCATTCGAGGCGCGGAAGGAACAGAGATGCGACCTCCTCCTGTGTCCTGGCTGGAATCGGCGAACCACCGATTTGCAAGACTGCCTTTTCGAAGAAGATGTTCACCGCTGATCCCTCCATCCGCGTCCCGAAAGGGAGGGAGTTCGCCATTAGGACGCGGGCGCCTGCGAAGAGGTCCCGCAGTATCGGATACAGGTAAAAGCAGTCGATGAGAATGACGATCTTGTCACCCCAGTCCAAACGAGAGAACGTGTCGATCAATGAGAAGACACCTTCGGCGGGAATGGTGACAATGATATACTTTGCGTCGGTGACTGCATCGGTGAGATCATCGCAGAATATGGGCGAGACCTCCGAATTGTAGATTCCGACCGATTTGATACGTCCGGCGGCCTTGAATGTGTTGTAGTCTTTACGGTGGTCGGGTGCAGCCCAAATCTTAATCTGAGGCTTGATTGGGGCATACGCCATCGAATAGGTGACACATGAGCTCGTACCCGGGCCACAGCCCAGATAAGCGACGCGCAATTTTGCTAGGAGTACATTTTAGCGTCAGGGTACTCGAGGGATGGTTCTGAGACCAACTCACCAGCATCATCTGTACGGACAACTGTAGACATTGGAGGAAGATGTCTCGGCGCGGATGGGAGATGCAAGTAAACAGTTGCGATGCTCCGAGGAACGCTTGTATGAAGAGGCAGAGCGTGTTGGAGTTGGAGCGGCGGCTGCCTTGAGTATTTATTGAGAGAGGAGCCCGCGATCGGTCGACCGCTTTTTGCACACGTCTGCACGACGCATGACATTGAACAGCGGTCGCGAGGTGACTTTACCCTGGAGTTCGGCTAGCTGACTGCTCGGCTTGTCGACAATGCAGTAATCTTGTGTCGCTTCGCTCTGGGTTGGCACTTGATGCGAGTGGATTTGTTTCGAAGTTGAGTGACGGCGAAAGTTGAGTGACGGTGGGAAGAGAACGAGAGAGATGCATACAGCGGCCTTCACCCTACATCTCCACTACAATGCCATGTTCCGCTCTGCCCCACTCGACTGTCACTTCCAAGAGCCCGCGTGTCGGTCGCCCGCGCGTCGGGTCCACATCTACCATGTTTCACAACATGTGCTCGAGCCGGCGAGGCTGTTCTCTTCCATTCTAGCCTCGCGCCTTCCGTTGTTTCAGGCTGTTCCGTTAGCGGCTGCCTCGTCAAAATCCGCCGCACTCTAGAGTTCCACTCATGTGTTGGAAACATCAGTTATATCATGTGTTATTTATGCTACGCTTTACTTTACATGTTGATAATATGGGGCGTCGGGGGGCCGGGTTACAGACCCAATGTAAAAATATGAAAAGAAATCGATCCTGTATGATTTATTTTTTCTCATAAAGATTAATTTCTGTGCTACTTTGCACTTCTGTTTGCCTTGCCGATCACGGGCCAAAAAAAGTTATTTTGAGTTTAGCCTCGACCCGAAAGAATGCTTAACATGTGTTAAAATACCTGTTGGGGAAGCTGTCGTGTTAATTATTCCGGGTGATCCGGCCGAGAGTTCTCAACGGAACGGGTCCCCGGTCACTAAATATCTCCGTCCGTGGCCTGACTGAAATTTTCAGATTCGATGGCGTTCCGGGGCAATTGCTCACTGGAAACTAAATTTACTCTATTTTCGGAGCGACTCAGAGGTTCTCCACCATCTTGTACTCTATTCTGCCGAGGGCAAAACGGTGTCATCTTCTACTGAATTCATTGGGGACATAATGCCTCAGTGACCGGGGACCTACCGGAACCCTGCCCCACTCGCGTGTGATCGCACGATTCCCGAGCCCCCTATGGTCAAATTATGTGTTGAGTATCAGGGCAAATGCAGGACGCACATAACGAAATGTCGCGCCTCATTGCGCGCATGGCATGTTAGTGACGGCTCTAGACTACGAATCGCTGCAGAAGACGAGCGGCCCATCGGCCTCCCGTGCCCCTCGCGTTTGCATCGATATTTCGGAGGATATAAATATCAGATCGCAGGGGCTCAAGAGGCACACATTACACTCTCCAGGTTGACCATCTTCTCTGTGGGCTCTTAACACTACCTGGCTTATCTGAACTTATCTTTCTTCCAGGCGGTCACTTTCACATGGCTACCGCGTCTACAGATAACGATACTCTCGAGCTGGCAGAGGCTTACAGCACGATGAACGAGCCCCAGTTCAAGTTCGGCCTCAAGATGCTCGAACAGCTAGACATTCAAAGCGGGATGGTGGTGGTAGACGTCGGCTGCGGCACGGGCGAACTCGCACTCCACGTCGCCGAGCGCTTCGGGTGCAAAGTCATTGGCGTCGATCCCGAGGACAAGCGCATCGAGATCGCGAAAAAACGCGCGCAGGAGAAGGGCTGCGCCAACGTCGATTTCCACGTGTGCAGCGCCGAGGACCTTGACGGCCTGTTAGAAGGCGAGGTCGACGTCTTCTTGTTGAGCTCTGTCCTCCACTGGCTCAGCGACCCGGTTGTTGTGCTCGAGGCCATGCGCAAACGCTTGCGCGTCGGGGGGCGGGTCGGGATCACCACCACAGTCGCCGGAGCGAGCGTGTCGTCGCCGAAGGCCGACGCGCTCTCCGTGCCGCCTTTCAATGCGTTCACTCCGGCCTACTTATCCACGTCGTTCTCGGAGGATCGACTTCGCGAGATCTTCGATAAGGCCGGGTTCGCTCACCCCTCCATTACCCTGTTGCGCATGCATCTGGCATTTGACAACGTAGACGCCTTGCTGTCCTGGATCAGCGCTAGTTCGTTTGGAAACTTCTGGCGCCTCGATCACATACCGGAATCCCTCCACGAAGAAGCCAAGAAGGCGATCGTGAATGAATTCACGTCTAGATACGGGGATAGTTTTGGTCGGATATCCTGTACTGCGGGCGTTCACGCCACAGTTCTCATCAAGTAGCTATTGTGTATTTTTTAAATACTATTTGTTCTCGGTGCGGTGGCGTGGCTCAATGAAAATTTCTATAAATCCCGACTTTTTTCTGACACTGATGTGTGAAGTTGGGATGAAGCTTGAGCCTCCATGGTGGAATGGAGCCCCCCATGTCTCACCTGAATTGTAGGACTTGGATTTGACTAAGATTTGGGGGACGCAATTCTTCCTCAGGGGCGATTTTTATGTGTGAGAAAAGGTGTTGAAACTTTTGCGGTGTATCATATCAAACTGGGTAAGGCTCCGCCTTGTGCTTCTTGTACATGAAGTTGCAGTGCTTTGCTCTCTTAATTGACCGGGTACATGTCATATGTGAACTGGAAACCAATTTGAGCACTCCTCTCTGCTGATATAGATTTTTCGGTGCCTTTGCTGATCCTTCCTCCGGCCTGCCGGCCGAGTCCATCAGATGTGCACTGCTTTCCTACGCTCGTCACTCGTGACTGTTGACCTTGCCATCATTCTCCCACCCATGTCGGGCCCTCTCCAGTGTAATGAGCGAATTTCGCTGCTCGTTTCCCGTGGCATATATCGAGAACGGCGGCGATGAGCGCCAGAACGTGAGTGGAAACCCGCTCCCCCTTCGGCCTGTGCGAGTCAACCGGCTCCAGTGTGGAAGCAGATCTCCAAGAGTCCGGCGACCTGCTGATATCCAGGCGCGTCACTCGCGCGTCTTTATATCCTGGTGCAGTTCCTGATCTCGTTTGTAGAGACATTCTCGTCAGGCTGTCAGGGATTCTGGAGGATCAGGTTGCCATTCTGCGGCGCATCGACGAGCGCCAAAATGCTTCAGGTACCCACCCATTACCTGTGCTCCCGCCCCCTCCTACTCACCCAGCCTAATAGACGCGTCGAGGCAGCACCCCATTACGGAGGTCCTCGCCACGATCGGCAGTGCCTGGAATGCGCTCCTCCGATCGACGCTCACGGAGACGATCCAGCCCAAGGTGGAACGGTGGAGGAGCGGGCTGGATGCGCTGTTAGTCTTTGTGCGTGCCGCTCTTGCATGATACGGCCGTCGGCTCACATCTGCTACACTAGATGGGTCTGTTTTCAGGCATCGTCACATCGTTCTTCGTGCCATCTCTGTCGTCGCTGCAGGAGGACCCGGCCGTGCGTATGAATGCGCTCCTGGCCAACCTGACCGACGTCGTCGTCGCTCTGAACGGCGTCCCGCCCGCCTCTCTGACGCTGGCTCATCCGCACCCGTTCAAACTCGACCCAACAGCTGTGCGGCTCAATTCGTATTGGTCGTTCTCGCTGATTCTCAGCGTGCGTGATTCCGTCTTTTCGTGCGCGAGTGTCGATCCGACCGTCCGATCAGCTCTCTATCGCAGCGCTCGCGGTCGCCTGCCGCGGCCTGCTCAACACGACGTCGTACACCCACTTCAGCAACCCCGCCGAGAAGTTGATCGACATTCGCACGCGCTGGGCGTCCTCGGAGCGGTTTCTCGCGCCGACGATCGAGCTGCTGCCGCAGATCCTCGTCCTCCCGGTGCTGCTCTTCATCGCCGGGCCGCTCGACACGCTCTTCTCCAACGTGCTGCAGCTCTCTCCCGTTGCCATCCCCATCCTCTTCACATCGGGCGCCGCGCTGCTGTTCACCGCCTGCGTCGCCTTGCTCCTGCTGTAGACCCTCGCTCGGCGCAGCCTCAATCCAGCCGGGCCCCTCGGCCTGCGGCGTTGTGCCACGGCGGCAGAGTTGCTCTCGGACCGAGCGCCAGCGGTGTACCACGCCGCCGTGCAGGCGACGCACGACGATGCGGCGCTTGCAACGCATCCGCCGCGCTGTACCAGATCATGCAGACCAGCGCGCCGTCGTGGTCGCGCTACGGGCGGGGGCTGGCCGGCGAGGAGCGGCACACCCTGCTGCATCTGTTGTCGCCCGAGGCGAGTGTGCGGAGTAGCCGAGCCGCGGTGCAGATCATCATCTCCCGGGTCCACGACGGTGCGTGCCGTGTCTGTCCCCTTGGCTTTGCCTCGAGCTTCTGCTGACGATGTCGTTGCGAGCGAGCCGGCTGCAGTACTCTGCTGCAGCCATGTGTGCGCTTGTTCCCGCCTTCATCGACGCGGCCCGGCGGGAGCCGCGGGCCGACTTGTGGTCTCCGCCGTTCACTCGTGCCATGGCGATCGTCGCGAATGCAGGAAGCGTCGTAGACGCCTATCCCCCGGTTCTGTGCATCATGACGTCCGAGTACATCGACGTCAGCCAGCTGCCGACCAATAGCAATCCGTCATAGAACTTCGCCGCGCGCAGCAAGACCATTACGCTACTGGTGGAGGTGCTGTTCGAGAAAGTCGTCGAGAACGGTGACGCGGCTCTGGCTTTCCACGTAGCCGGTCTCTCGGTCGGCAAGGCAAATACCGGGCCCATCAATCCCACTCGCATCTGTACTTTCTGCACAAGAATATTCCGGCACTCGAGACGCTCCTGCGGTGGCTCCTCTCGTGCACGGGCCCCACAGCGGCCATCCGTGCCGTGCAGACGCTTGTAGGAGTGCGGATGTGTGGATGGTCGTGCTGTTCCACGTCGTCTGCACGCTCGGCAGGGTGTGTCTCAGTCTCCCGCCCGGTGACCAGGAGACACACGCGCACGTGGCGCAGCTGTGCGCCTCGGCGCTGCGCAAAGATAGCGCTCCAGCACCAGTTCCATCCGCAGATCCCGGCCCCCGTTCGGCCTCGTGGCACAAGCGGTGGATGCCCTCGGCGTCCTCAGCACGGGAGTTGAAAGCGAGCTTCCTTTTGGGGCTTCTCTCCGAACGCTGTGGTCGGGATCGGTTCCCGCGCGTCATCCTCGTGGGCGGTGGACTCAAAATGACTCTAACTGACATGTTCACACTCATACTGGCTCATAGTTACTCATACTCATACCGCCTCAGTCTCAATCATATACTTATGCATGTGTGTGTGCTTCGAATGGACTGGATGCAGGCGATCCAATTGTTGTTCTGTCTCGATTGCAACTATGGAACTTGGCATGTCCATGACCCGGATTTTTCCTGCTCGCTCTCGCCTTGTGCGTCACACAAAAAAACTCGCTTTTCGATGGTAGGCATGTTCAGTGTTCTCTACTCCCTTCTCACCTTCTCCATGCCTGATGACCAGGACCGGTTTATGAGATGCAGGACTAGTGGAGCACTCGGGCCGCCGTCGCGTGACATTGATATATCTTCTTGCCTTCTGCCCCCTGCGTGCTCCATGTCAGACCGCTCGGCATCCCCACCAGCCCTTGCATCTTTTACGCTAGCCTAATACGAATTTCTCATCGTCTATGTGTGGCTGGGAATAAATCGCCAGAAATACTCAACAGAAGAAAGAAGACATGTCCAGTAGTGAACGTTTGCGGGATATAGAGGGGCCGTCTATCAAAGATGGCTGGTTCAAATTGCTTGTCCATCCCTCACGCTCGAGTCGGTTTATCAGCAACCTCCTCGGCCGTCACAATGTCCCATATTTTTAAGACTACACGCCATAATTTTGTTGCGCACGGAGGGCTTCCCGAATTGCGCCTGCCTGAATGGGCCTCCATGAGAGTGCCCATACATATACGTACTGATTTAAATAAGAACGAAGCGATCCTCATCACAACTTGCTCCGAACCAAGTCCCCATTCGACGCCAACGTCGCATGGATCGCCTCGCCCAGCCTATCCGGAACCTCCTGCACAATCTGCAGCGCGTTAGAAAGTCACCCACGACAAGCAGGGTGTGGGCTGGCGACACACCAGATGCCCCGCGCCTTCGAGAACCTCGATCGAAGCCCAGGCGACGTCTTCCCTGATCGCTGCATGGACGCGTTTCGGGCTGTCAAATCGGTCAGGTCAAAGCGCGTTCGTTTTGGGGGTGCGGGGGGACCACATGCATGAAGTCGGCCACGTCACCGAGAATGAGGTGCACCGGGTACTCGCGGCAGATGCGTTTCAGCGTCGGCATAGGCTTCGTCGCCCCGTCTGGATCCCGATACATGGCCTGCACCCCAAAATTAGGCTACAGGGCGAAACAAAACACAGATCCCAAGAACTGCGCACCGCTTCCTGGTCACGCTGGCACGCCAGCGTCACGCCCGGATACCGTCCCTCCGCATACTTCGCCCCGGCTGAGAATCACGTTATGTATCCCATTAATGCACTAGTGACGATGCCATCGCGACGGCGACACTCACGGTGCTCCAGGATGCCGTATTGCTGCGAAGAGAGGGTTGATATGGGGCATGCCGGTCAGCGGAGAGAAGGGAAGCACGCACGACGAAGTTCTCCAGGATTCTCGGGTCCCACTTCTTCGTGCGGTCGCGGCGCTTGAGCGCGGCCATGGCCTGCTGCCGGTCCGGCCACACGTCCCGGCGCTCGTATGCGCCCTTGACGAGGATCTCGCGCAGCTTGCGCAGGTGGTGGCTGCCGTGCGGGCTGATGAGAGGCTCGATGAGGATGATCGAGGAGAAGGGGAAGACGGGTGTGATCGCTTGTAGCATAGTTCTACGGAGTTAGGCCAGTGTCAGGATGCGCGGGAAGGGAAGACGGAGAAGCGCACAGGGTGCACCCGCCCAGACTGTGCCCGATCCCCACCAAGTTCCTGCTCTGGAAGTCGATCCCGAACGGCTTGAGGGAGAGGAAATGATGCACCGCCTGCGCGTATCGCTCACACGAAACTGCCGAGATTCAGTGAGAACCCCCGCACATCAAGTCCAGCGGAGCGCAATCCGCACGCACAGTTGAGGAAGAACTCGGGCTGCAGCAGCACGACCGCGTTCATCTGGCCCGACTCGCCGTGGTTCGGGCAGTCCAAGCAGATCGCCTCCCTGATCTTCACCGGGCTCCCTGGCCGGTCCGCCGCGGCGAAGAGCGCCTCGAGCGTGGGCATCCACGTCTCCTTGTGGAAGCTCGTCGCGTGCAGCAGCAGCAGCGTCAGCGCGCGCGGGTCCGCCGCATGCGCCTCGCAGCTCGGGACCCAGTACCGCTTCGCCGTGAGGTAGAGCGGGTAGCCCCCGCTCGGCGGGAGGGCGGTCGATTCTTCGCTCAGTTGCGGCATGCGTAGTGCTCGTTGTGGTGGTGGTGGTGGTGGTTGTGGCGGAAGAGGAGGAGTAGCAGGAAGGGAGAGAGGGAAGGTTAGCGCGCCTGGAGATCACATGCGTTCCTGACGAAAGAGAAAGGCGTGCATCGTGCTGCGTCCGGCCGCCGCGGAATCAGATGGATGACAGCCAATGACAGGTTATGACACACCGCCCTCGCGGGGCAGTGAGCGGCGCACAGTTCTTGCTTTGTGTGATGTGTGCTTTGGCTCGAGAGCGACCTGAATCCCCTGGAAAGCAAAGGTCAATTCCAAAGCGCCGGCGTTTCACGTATATTATGATGTCAAATCTAACAGTAGCATATCTTCACAAAACCGGCGAAACATCAAGTTGGCGGAGCCTTCGACCAGTGATTATGAGCTCATCAAGAATTTTCTCAAAGCTGTGTCTATTTACAACTGCCTCCGACAAAGATTGGATGCCGACATACACTTTGCCGTGACTCAGATCTGTCTTCGTGGACCCTCAAAGCACGGGGTTGCAGACTCCGCACAAAAACACGTGCACTTGTGAGGGGACCCATTTTCCGAGCAGTGAGCAAAACGACTGAATACTCAGCTTCACTTCAACATCGCAACGAGCATTGCGACGCGAGCGCTGTGATTAGCGAGCCAGGCGTCATTGTGAGTCAAGCGCATCATGCACGCTCGCTTAGAGCCCGGTCGTGTCAGGCCAGCTCTGTCAGACCTTGAGTCAGGTCGAAGCGGCCAAGAGTCGGTATCATCTTGCTCAAGAAGGTCCAGAGCATGGGGTCGGGTGGATTCCGGGTTCTGATCTAGACCAGCGCGTCCCCATCAATGGCTATCGTCCTTTTATCATGGAGCGGTGTCAACTTGGTTGGGACAGCGCTCCTGGGGATTCCAAGCGCATAACAAGCCCACGTAGCTGCTCTATTGATCCCTGCTCACGTCAGGCTTTCGTCATGGAAATACTCTCGCAGCTAGATTGTTGACAACTCTTTGGATTAGAATAGACCATAATATACCCCCCGACGCCCGCGAGATGTTTTGCACCAGATAAGTAGCAGATGTGCGATGAATTCGGGAATCTAGGTGGAAGAATTTCCAAGCGGTCGCTCGATGGCCAGACTCTGTAGATTTGTGTGAGAGACCTCGGTCCAAGATTGGGATGGCTTTGGGATGCCGATGAAAGTCAAGGCTACGGCTACCGCTGACAGTCTGGGCCGAGTCAGGATAGAGAGATGAGAGATCAAACGAGGCTCTTGGCGGCGATTTACTTGTGTGACGGGTAGTCCGTCACTCCGAAGCAAAAGTTCCCTATAAATGGGAAAGATCGAGCCAACTGGTCCATAACTGGCTCCCGACTGCATTCTCCAGAAACTGAATAGACGAAGATTTATGAGGGTAAGAGTGTACGTGGACATGAGAGACAGCATGGTAGATCTCGTCGACGACGTCGAGCCGAAGGTCCACGTGATTACACATGTACCCAGTATCACGTGCGAGAATGCATTCGGCATCTCGGCATGGTCACCTGAACGTCTCAAGCTCTACGACCTATCTCATTCCTCAGTCCGTTCTAGTTCGACGGAAGACGAAAGGCGCATCTGACGGAATCTCTTTCAGTTTGCCGTGAACTCTTTCTCTCATGATCCCCAAGCGCTGAATGAATGCGGTTTTTATGAGGCTGTGCGTGGAACAGCCGCTGAGAGAAGTAAGAGCCTCATGTTACCCATAATGCACCCCGCACAACATCCCCACACTTTTCGTCCACTCCCATGTCGCTTTCAGTCGCTTCTCCCGATGCGTACTGCAAAGAGGGCATCACAACATCTCTCAAAGTCGTTGCTCCAGGCGAATCCGTCGAATTCCTCGAGCTCAGTAGCCCTTTGTGTGGGTTTGGCTGGCGCTTCCTGTGCCGTCTCTTCCGCGGTGTCGAGGACACGTCCTCGAGTGACACCGAGTCCGATGTCGAGGCGCTAATAGGCCTCCGAGTCGCGCTGTACTTCGATCCCCACCTGCTCAAGAACGCGCGCTACGGCTCGCTTTCCTTCGCCATCGTCTCGCAGGGCATAGACGTGATCCAGGTTAACAAAAAAGCTGCGATCTCACTTCCTTCTGACGACGGTCCTGATGGACTCACGACGCCCCTCCTGGCTGAATATCACATGCCGCTCGGGACGTCCGCCGCGATCCAGGTCACGGTCAAGTTCTCCTCTCGCGAGCTGGAGCTTCCGTATCCATCCCGGATGCGACAAGGCGCTCCGCGTCAGCAGGGCACAATGTCAGACCAGATCAAGGAAGTGCTTGCGAGCTCGATTCGCGGACAGGATGTGCCGGATATCAAGTTCTACGCGTACACACGCAAGAGCCGCGCCAGAGAAGTTGTGTTTGGCCTACAGCCAATGTTTGCTAAACGAGAGTGGATGACGGGCAAGGCCGAGGGACTCGATACGTGTGCGCCGCCCTTTTGAGCATCCCAACCATAATCAACTAACCACCAATGGCTCAGTTCTCGACGGCTTGTGTGACGGTGGAGGGCGCGAAGCTCAACTCGTCGACATGAGAGGTCATCGGCCATCCGCTGACGACAGTGAGTTTGGAGAGTACGATTACATGTCGGATAGCGATCTGGAAACGGATGACGAGGGTTCCGAGCGGTATTATATTGCCTGTCTCCGCCCGATCTACAGTTCACTGACTCTCATGGCAGCCCCGGCGAGCCGGATGCGAGCTCCGTCGCCCCCGTCGATCGCTCCTTGTCGGGAGCTGGGTCTGGACATGCAGTCGTCATCAAGGGGCACTCCTTCGACACGTACGGATATTTCGAAACCTAACTCACCCTCTCAATTGACCTCTAGATGGATGTCGATGCTCTACTTCCTCTATACTAATGAGATCAGATTCAAAACTTCCGAAGAGTCCTCGCATTCGGATATTCCCGAGTGCTCTGCCAAGTCTATGTATCGACTGGCTCAAGAGGTGAGAACGTGATCAGCTGTGGCCCTCTGTCTGCAACTGAAATTTCGCAGTTTGATTTACCAGCACTGAGAGAGCTGTGCCAGATATCAATCCGATCTCGCCTCGCTCCAGAGACCATTTTCGCCGATACATTCTCCAGCTTCACATCCCGGTGCGTTCCCTTGAACTCTCCCCTTTGTGATCATTGAACGCCGTGTAGCTATGAAGACATTCAGGATATGCACATCGACTATCTACTCGACCAGGCTTCTGACTCGCCCAGTAGGATCGTTGATGGGCTGAAGGATATGGACGGCGTGAGCCCTGTTTTGGCTAAATTGGTCGCCAAACTCTTAGGGAGAAAAACGGCTGGCTCTCAATCCTCCCCGTGCGGAAAGGGGAAGGGGGCACTTTGGTTTTCATGATCAATGATGGCTGAACAATATATATATAAATTACATGCCCCAGAATTATGGAGAAAAATACAGCCATATCCTCGCAGCAAGTTCAAGAATCAGCCTCGTCCATGTGTCGTTGATGGATATCTGGACAATTGTGTAGGTCCTTCGGAAACATCCTGTGATACTATATGGTCGCTGTGCTACGTAAATTGGTATTGAGGAACTTCACTCTTCCCACTCGTCTGATTCATCTTTCTGCCGCAACCCAAGATCTTTCTTGGGAGCCTGATTGACTTCGTAACCGCGGCATCGCGAAGGTGCCACTGACAGGACCGATCGAAGGTTGTTCTGGAATCCCTACTATCGATCTTCCCAAGCTGTCCAGCGACGCATCAAACCTCCGCCCCGCCTGCTCATTCGGTTTGCCTATCAGGGCGCGATCTTTTGAATCCAACGCTGTACCTAACTGGTGTTTTTGAATAGTCGTCCCCCCTCTTGAATCATGATCAGCAGAATCCCAGTCGTTTTTCCTTCCTTCCCAGTGATCGAACGTCGACTGGGTGCAGTCAATGTAATCGGGAACAATCGCAAGCTGTGTGGGGAGAACCCTCCGACATTCCGTAAGTTTGCATTCCCTCATCCTCGCATCGCACCACGAACAAGATGAACCACGCGTCGCAGTCCCCCTTGGATTCACCGACGAGTCAGACGAAGACTGCTGGCGCCCTGCACCCCAGCGTCGAATATGGGCTCGCGAACATGATCTTAGGGAACGATGGCCCCGAAATCAAGTTCTACGCGTACACGCACAAGAGTAAAGGATCCGTCCGCAGGCTGAAGGCGCTCTTTGCCAAAAAGGAATGGATGATGGGGCACTCGGAGCTGTTGGACGACTGTGAGTTCGCTCGCCCGTACATCGCTGAGTCGATCGGTACCCTAGATGAAGCCGCCCCCACTTTGCAGATCTGGAGGGGATCACTGGAAACAAAGCGGCCACCGGATTCAAGGAGGCACGCATCGTCCCCTTGGAGGACCACACGCCGGATGCGGACGAGAGGGTGTTCACGCAGTATCATTACATGTCCGACAGCGACCTCGAGGAGGAGGAGGAAGAGTCGTGTGAGTCTGATGAGGACGATGGGCGGAGCTTTACTTCGGCGACTGGATCAGTTCAGAGGGAAGAAGCATGGTAAGGAGTGCGACGCCGCTTGCGTAGTGTGCAGACAATTGATTCTGTCCAGCGGCAGCACTACTGAATCGGATGGACAGAATCGAATGGTGTCCGGGGCAGATGACGACGCCAGACTCAGCCAGTATGTTTCTTCCTACCCCTGAGTCGAACACGACCTGCTCATTCAAACCAGAACCAGTGCAGCAGGCTCCTCGCGAGCGGTCCAGGAAAAGGTGCTCGAGCAGAGCAGGCGAATGGGACATGCCGTAATTCTCAAAGGACATGCCTTTCGAACGTACGTCGTCGGGAGCCCAATCCATTTGTTCGAATCTCTCACAGTCGCCTGGTATCCAGCTGGACCGCATTCATCTTTTATCTGTACACGGACCAGATATGCTTCTCCGGCACGAAAGCCCCGGTGAGACGCGCGCGGGTGCCTGCGTGTTCCGCCAAGTCCATGTACCTCCTGGCTGACCAGGTTCGGCGACGGTGAATTACAAGCTTTTCCTGCTGATTTCCGAGCCTCCCCCCCAGTTCGGTCTGCCCGAGCTCAAAAGTCTAGCTTTTGCGACGCTCTGCACCCAGCTATCAACCAAAACGATCGTCAAAGAAGTCTTCTCGCATTTCACATCATGGTGCGCGGAGACAAGCCAAGATTCCCACGCGCGCTGCTAATGTCTGCTGTTCCTCTCTCAAGGCACCCGGAGATCCAGGATATCCAACTTGATTTCCTGTTCGAACATCTCCCCGAGGTGAAGCAGGACATGGATCGGATGCTGCACTCAATCTGCACCACCCCGAGCGCGCACTGCTCAGTCGTCCTGCAGAAGGTCTTTGGGCGGTCGACGTCCGCGGCGGCGAGAACGAAAAAGAGGGAGGGCAAGATCAGCAGCGTCATCACGCCGATGATATCTCCTCCAGCATCTGCAGCCGCTTCTGCAGAAACAACCGCAGCACCAGCACCACAGCCCGCAGTTGCACCCGGGCCGCTGTCCGTTCCGCAACAGGCTAACCAGGTGCCTCGTCCGGCTGACGCTGTGGCTCAGCCTATCACACCGGCACCTCTCCCGGCTGCTATTTTGCCGCTACGAGCCGTCGCAGTGGCTGAGGCGTCTCCGGCGGTGGCGGCAGCACGATCCGAATCATCGGCGAAGGTAGCAAAAGCCCAGTCGTTGAGCTCAAAGAAAACGACTCGAGAAAACGGAACTAAGGCCAAGTTCCAATGGTAGAACGAGGCAGTCCTTGATCTCCCGTATCTTGCTTCCATTACAGGGTGTGGGTCGCCGTCGATGAAGGAGCAGGATGGAAGAGGAGTGCTGTATTCAATAAACTGATCCCGTGTGCACTCGAATCGAAGGCAGTCTCTAGTTTGATTCTGAACCAATAAACAACAAATGAACGTCTATCTCTGTAATATCGAATCACAGCACCAAGAGAAGAAACTGCAGATTGACAGCCGCAAGACCATTTCCGACGACATGAACACGACCTGGACGCGCGCATTGTCCTCGCGGGCCTGGTGCATCGACGCCGCGACTACAAACAACGTTTCCGAATGGCTACCTCCCTACGCGCACCTAACAGTTGAATGACACAGTCTGGCTCGGTTTGCCAGCGTTCTTCTTATCAAGCGCAACGTTGACACCGAGCTTGGTCTGCTGTTCCTGGAGGTGGGCCTGGAGAGGTGTTGGCATGCGCGGGAAGAGCGGCGAGTGGTAAACGGAGCTGGTACGTACCGTCTGGTCCGCAGTGGGCGTGCCACCGTGCTCGTTGATGATGCCCTGCAGTGCGACGATAGTGCCCCAGATCTTGAGCACCTTGTTCTTTGTCAGGCCGACGCTGACCGCGCTCGACTTGCCGGCGGCGATGAACGCCGACTCGGCCAGAACGGCGCAGTGTGCCTCGGTCTGTGTAAATTGAAGGGGGTCAGGATACCTGAGCATGCGGAGGAGGAGGAGCCAGCCGCGGACGTACGTTGAAGTCTTGGACCTGCGTCGCGGAGAGGTTGCCCGCGGGGAACTTGGCCTGGGCCTCGGCCAGCGCATTACCGCCCACCCCATCGGAGATGGTCAGCTGCGCATACGTGCGGGCGGAGCGCTTCTCGACTGAAACTGGCGCGGCGAATGCGGTGGCGGCAAGCGCGAGGACGGTGAAGATCTTGAATTGCATGGCGTGTAGTCGAAAGAGCGTGGAGCGGCAAAGGAATACGATAGAAAAACTTGTAGATGAGGCGCAGCCTAGACGAAGAGTGAACGAAAGATGAAAGCCTCGAAGGTGTTAAGAGCGTGAATTGAGGAAACGAAGGCTCGCGGTGCATTATATTCGGGGTGCGTGCGGTCATCACGTAAGTTGTCGCTTTGGCTTTTGCAGGTGCATCATGTGCTTGGGATGTCCTTGTTGCCTAGGCGCCGACGATGTAAATCGCGCCCGGATTCGTGCCTTGTAATCTGTCATCATTCGACTCAAGTCGCGTCAAGGATAAATCAATGTTGGCGCACGTGGTTACTGATCAGTCAAGTCTGATCATATATAATTAGAAAATCATCAACTAGAGCTGTTCAGCAGTCGTTTCAAACACGATTTTTAGCTAATAGTTTGTAAAATATGAGTGGAGCTTAGGAAAATCTGAGTTACAAACAACACCGGATGAACGCAGGGAACTCCGTCACTATGATCATGTGATGAGCCGAGCCGCCAAACCACCACTTCATTTCCTGTCCTCATCTGAACTCAAACTCCATGGCGGAGGATGCCATCTTTCCTCACCAATGCTGTAAATCGAACCCTCGCGGTTGTTCTCGGTCTTCTCACCAATATGGAGGGCAACGATGCATTCAATCTGCCTACACGTGCAGAATGATCAGATCTGTCTTCGGTGGCATGTTTCCTTTTCGGTCAGAATTTGGCCTCGGTACAATTCCTACGACACTCCACACCTAAGTAATTGGGAAGTAAAGTCTACTCCACAACCAGGAAACTTGTAAAAAACAAATCGATTTTTTGGTTCTGCTGAACAGCTCTACTGTGCTCTCCTCAGTCTTCACTGCATTCAAAACCCCCATAGCCTTGATAGCCGAATATAGCCGACATCTAAGCTACCTGTGGCTATGACATGTGCTACATGTGGTCATGTTTGGCCAAGTTGTCTAGCCAAAGTCAGCAATATAAAGCCTTGGGGTGGCTAGGCGACCTATCCAAATTCTATCCTCGGTTAGCCGAAGCAGTGTAGCTACCTTTGTGTAGGTTTGGCTATCCTGCCTATCAGGTAACTAGCCTTGGTTGACCAGGGCATCAGGAAAACAGAAAGTTTATGGTTGGATCTGGGGCCTATGACACGTCTGGTGAAATATGGATGCATGGCACCATACCAGCTTCTAGTGTCAGTTGTCACCAGATCAGCCAGAACTTATGGCAAGTGGATTGTTGATATCATTCATTTCGACACTATCCTTCAAGGTGCTCACCTCCTACCTGTCTTTGGTGATGAGCCCGTTCCTCAACACTTCAAATTCACGTCTTTGTTGGTCTCTTTCCGTCACTACTACATCAATAAGTATGCTGACCATTATTCACGTGATTGCTTTCTAAATTAAATGTATTTTATATGCACTTGTCATAATTGTTTGGGCAATATAGTGTCTAGAAAAGACATTTTGTGAAAAATCTTCCTATGTTCAAGTTGGTATCAGAATCAGAATTCCGACTAAGCACCTTAGTTGCCACATCCCATCTGAGGAACTCAGCTGCAAAATCCTGTCTAAGAGCATTGAGCGGCAGAAACTTTGGACTATCAGTGACTTCATCACAAAATTCCAGCTACTCAAACTATTATTCCTGTACTCAGGCAGCAAGTACTGCCTAGAAATAGCACATTGCCAAAATCTCAGTGTAATTGAATGACCTGGTCACCCAGGCGGCTTGACCAAATAAAGGACAAACAAAGAAAGCAGGGAGCGTTCAAGAGAAATACTAGCTACTCAAATTATTATTCTTGCACTCAGGCAGTAAGTACTGCCCAGGAATAGCACATTCCCAAAAGCTCAGTGTAATTGAGTGACCTGGTCACCCAAGAGGCTTGACCAAATAAAGGACAAATACAGCTTTCCACCTTTCAAGAGAATTTGTTTCATGTGCAGTTTCAGATATGTAGATTTAAATAGACATTTTTGTAAAAGAAACATCACTTCTTAAGAGCTGGTCAGTAAGGACATAAGAAGCTCTCAATAAGACTTAAGACACCCCCAGTAAGACACAAGATAACTAAGACACCTCACATAAGACATAAGATACCTAAGACAAACTTGTAGTTTTCCTGATGAAGGTCCCATGAATGCCACCAGAATTTGATGCTACTCAGGCTTCTAATAGTAAAATGTATTCTGCACAACTCTTTTGGGTACATACGAATATAACACTTCAAAAAGCTATCTCATTTGCGTGATGATCAGTTTTGCGCTTTTACAGAGTTTACTCTTGAACCACTTGGTGTATTGTGTCACGGTTGACAGTGTTGCGCTCAGTAGGACTTAAGGGTCTACTGCCCAGTCAACAACTGTGGATAGTGTCAACAATAGCAAGGCAGTCAGACCACTACTGTGGAATTGGCCTTATGAGTCTACACCAGGCTCAGGGCTATTCGTGACGGACACTTGGACTGCAACAATTCCCCAAAAGGGATCTTTTGTTGCGGCGACTCCTCAAAAGGGTCATTCTCTGCAGATGGGAACTTGGGCTGAAGGGCTTAGCAATGCGCGACGTTCTCAACATTACAACTACTACTAGACAGGACTTGGCATTACGAGATTGAGCCAATGTTGTTGCGGCAACTCCCGGCTTTGGGTTGGACATTTCCTTAAGATCATGCCACAGCAACGACTTGTCACATGTCATGTTCCACTTGATCACGGGATATTGTGGACATGTCACAGTGACACTTCCAAGTGTCACGGTGATGTGTCACACCCATACCCAAATACATCAAAAGCGACACGGGCTAGATCTGTGAACCGAGCCATGTGAGGAATGTCTGGCGTGCCTAGGGCCATATGGCTTCTTGGGGCACCCATGTTGGACTTACTTGCCAAGACATACCCGTTGGCCAATCCAGCATGTCGTATTCCAAAAGTATGACGCAGTGGGTTGACCCACATCAAAAGTACCATATAGACAATGGGGCGGGGTCCTGATCAGTCAGGACCTGTCCGATTGTTCAACTTTTTCATTACCATAAAAAGCAACTGATCTTAGATAGCATAGCTACTATGCAGTTGTGCAGGACTTTACTAAGCATTGTCGTAGACAGTATAAGTAGCACGTTGTTTCTTTGTATTAGGGAGCTTTCCCCTGGACTGTGAATCATACTCATATCAGATTGTTTTGTGCACTTTGACGTGATTCCGCCTTAAGAAGTTCTGTTACCCCTGCCTGGTCGCGACAAGTTGCTCCCTGAGCACTTGTAGCTACTGTGATTTGAGTTTGAGTTGAGATATCAGAAAGTCGGATTTGCCGCTTCTGGTTTTGTTGCATTTGGGCTTTGTTGAGATTGTTTCCACACCTCTAGCTTGGCAGTGCGTCAACTAGTTGTGCCCGGGTTGTTTTGGTCAGTTGGCAGTGCGTCGACTTGAGAAGTTTGGTTCCACACCTCTTGCTTGGCAGTGCGTTGACAAGTTGTGCTCGGGTTTTGGGCATTTGGATATTGGCTGTTAGTTGGCAGTGCGTCGACGCAGCATTTTGGTTTTACTAGTTGGCAGTGCGTCAACTCAGTACTTTGATTGTCTCAGTTGGCAGTGCGTCGACTTGACATTTTGGTTCTATTAGTTGGCAGTGCGTTGACTCAGTGTCTTGGTTGTATTGGTTGGCAGTGTGTCAATTTGATATTTAGGGTTTTGCATCACCATCTGGACACTGTCGCTACAAGGGATCTTAATACTTTGTATTAAGTTCCAACTTGTGATATTGTTGGTTGTGGTTGGATTAGTGTCGGTTTTGATTGTATAGGAGATATTGGTTGAGACACCATTGTTTACTATATATAAATCTTTGTCGTCGATTTTGTCCTCCGCGACTATTGGATCTGTGTCTATTGAGAGTTGTGATACTCATGCTCTGTCCACCCAAAGCCCTCACATCTTTCACACATTGAGAAGCTGATTACAAGGAGTGTGAACGTGTTTATATTTGGGTTTACTTTCATGGTAGATTCACCTGTGAGCGCGCCCTCAGCATTTCAACGGTACATAGTCTCATGACTCATTTGATGTAGATATGACTCAGACTGGAATTGGTATAAATATAGTAGTTATTGTGTTGTATTCCACAGTCTTGGAATTCACTCTTTTTATTGACTTCGTTTTTGAGTTGATTGTCACAATTCATGTCACTTGCATGTACATAGAGGTCAAAAAGAAGTGCACAGGACCCTAATGAGAGGACACAGTCAGAGCAAAGCAGAAAACAGAGGCCTGCATGTGCTGATGCTGGGTGTCCTGGCTGTCACATTTCCTATCTCATTTCTACTCTCTGTCAGGAGAACCTCTACTTCAGACCAATGAGCCTGGAATCTGGCATGCGATCATACTGATGTGACTTGTCAGCTGTCACATGCAGGAGTCTGTACCACTGCACTAAGTGCTTCTCTTTGATGGCAGGTGTGTCATTGTTTCTATTGTCTCTGTCTCCCATTGTTCTGTCACAACCATTGTACTTATTGTTCCTATTGTTCTTGTTGGTTGCTACACAGTCTATTGTTCCTGTATCATATCAATAGTGGGCACCTGGCAAGGAGAATCCCCAATATGGTTTCTCTTTGGATTCTCCTTTGCCAGGTATACTGGTCTTGTACCTAGTTACCACATTTATTCACCTTGGATTCTCCCTTGTCAGAACTCTGAGATCCAGTCTTGAGGTTGCCTTTACACCTCCAAGCACTCCAGATTGTTTACAAATGTCTTCTGCTTAATTTCCATCTCACATATGGATTACAGACACTCTCTGACTCAAAGCTTGATGGATCCAATATCTCTGAAAGAAATATAGAAAAATCTGAGTTGACAGAAAGATGCAGGACAATGATTTCTGCAAGTTTGGTTAATTATGTGCAAGGATGTTTGACCAAAAAACACCTCAACTGCTCAACCTTTGCTCACTGCAAAGATATAAAACTCCAGATTCAGGACCTTCTATATGTCTCCCTTTGGGTATAAATACTGTAGCTATTGTGTTGTATTCTCTAGTCCTGGAATTGACTTCTCTTTTTGACTTTATTCTTTGTTGATTGTCACATTGAAGTGCTAATAAATGCTGGGTTCAAACTTCTCATTTCAAAAAGCCAGAGGGTTGTCAATGTGGACCCAACTACAAACAGTGAGAATGGCAAACACAAATAAAACACAACTCACTCGCTCAAGAGGTTCAACCATTCCATACCAGAAAGCCAGGGGAGGCAGATAGGATTTAAAATCATCAACATGGATCCAACTACAAGTAGTGAGTATAGCAGACACAAATAAAGAAGAACTTACGTCTTATCATCATTTGCCCAGTGCACATAGAAATACTACAGAGATAAGTAACAGAAAGTGTAGAAAAGAATCACATACCACTTGCTCAGCCTTGATCTTCATAGCAATGATTTCCTTGACGTCCCACGAGCCATCTGGATTCTGTCCAATTGAGGAACGAGCCATAGACTGGTACCACTTGTTATCCTTGTACACCTTCAAGAGGTGCTCAGGGATAGGACCCAGAGGAAAGGCATTGTTGCTAAAGGCTAGGAAAAGTCAGAACAGATCAACAAGATAGAAGAGACACTCACCAGAATGCCATACAGTCTGACCCTCCTTAGGACTTTGAGGATCCCAGTCTTTAGATGTGATGATTGAATTTTAGAAAGCAAGAGGAGAGAGATAGGAAGTCAAATCATCGATGTGAACCCAGCTACAAATAGTGAGAATAGCAATCACAAATAAAAAAAGACAACTCACCCCTTATTCACATCCCAAGTGCCATCTTCATTCTGTTCAACAGCAGAAACAGCAAGACAGCAGCAGAGATAGACAGCCAGAGAGAGAGCCAAGACAAGCAGAAGCAGAAGAACCAGAGAGCCAGAGAGAAGACAGACAAGACCACAAGAAAGAGCAAAAAAATGAGTCAGAAAAGTATATGGAGTAATGTGTGACATATTACATACCTGTGACATGTTGATGGTGTGATGATCAAGTGATGTGTTTGGTGAGTGATGGAAGTGTTTGGTTCTGATGTTGTTGGTCAGCTGATGATGTTGATGGATTGGTAATGATGAAGACTTACTAAGCAGAAGGGTGTGGCTGTGAGGGTGTGAGAATTGAGAGACTGTGGTAGTCATGAGCAAGAAGGGGGATCAGAAAATCATGATGGATCTGCCCTTATATATGGCTCATAGTGGCAGTGCTCTCCCCATCAAAACAAGTGCAACTCACCTCATGCTCTGTAACACAACTAATTTTAGCTCAAATCAAAAAAGGCTGGCAGGTACCCTAGGGTTTTTTAGGCCTGGAAATCTGAAAATGATGTTGGATTTTTGATTGGATCAAACATGCCAGCTGTGGAGCAAAATCTTTGCTGAATTTGTTGTATTTGGTCAATCTAAGAGACAGGACAAAATAGAATGGGTCCAAAATTGACATAGTATATGAAGGTAAATGAATAGTGAAGTGCTACAATCACCAGTTGTCTGTGTTATACCTGTATTCTTTACATAACAGAACTGTAATACCAAGGCTTATATCTTTATAGATACACTTTGAGTGTGTCATAATTTGATCATTTTTCACATCATTCCATTAATTGATCATCTTATCTTGACATTGGGTTATCTTATCACTGATCACAGCACTACATGGTCCGGGTTAGGGGTTCAGAGGTGTTATCTGTACAGAGGCTGTGCAGCGTGTGCTCCAGAAGGTTCTACTACAACCCATGACCAACGCTCCACATGGTACATAGTGTTATGACTTGTTTGATGTAGATATGACTCACACTGGGACTGGTATAAATACTGTAGCTATTATCATGTATTCTCCAGTCTTAGAATTCACTTTTTTTTATTGAAGAACCATTCTGTGTTTGCTGCACACACAGGAGTTGGAGGCAGCTAAGATCAATTGGGAATTGAATACATTCATGTACATCTATAACAGAAAGCTCATGGTAACAGCAGAGCAATGTATGCAGGGCAGGATTGTACAGGCTCAGAGCACAGGGAATGCAGAGGTTGCTTGCTTGATTGCAGTCACATAATGTGGACCACAGATGACCTGCATGATTGTATCACAAGGATCTTAGGGTAAGCTGGGAGTGGATGGATCTGCTGCTGCTGATAGGGCAAGATGTGAATGCTTGGCGGGCATTGTGGAGCTTTGGTGCAGAGGATTGCCTCAGATGAGGAGGGTACCCCTCCTACTAGGAAGTCAAAATGGGTTGATTTTATCCCCCTTGGAGAGGGGGGGTACCCTCCACAGTGGATGTTCCTTACATGAGGGTGATAGCTGTTGCAATCAACAATGCTCTTAATGGGTTTAAACTTGATCAAGATGCATACATGCAATAGCTCAATGGAAACATTGCAAATAATTCCTGAGGTAAGAGCAAGCAAGTTCCTGTAGCAGTGAGAAAACAGCAGTACATTCTGTCTACTGTTGTATCCAGCTTTTAAGCAACAGCTAACTGATGTGTCCTAACTTTTTGTCCAATAAAAATGTAGGATTTGTTGTCTACGAGGTCTTTACCTTGTTTGATGAGTAACTCCACATAGTCAGTCAGGAAAAGGTGGGTATTAGGTGATTGTTATAGTGAAACAGGAATGTCCAGTGCTTGCTCTAATTCTGCAAATGTGTCACCAGTCCTGAAGATCATGCAAGAACTGCTTGTGGAGAGAAGAGAAGACCACTAAGGTATGAATCAAGTCTATGGCTTCAATCAGCAGTGTCAGCTTGCCCTTGTTGCCTGGCTGATTAGACGGGGGCCAAAAGAAAGCTAAGCAGAATGAGATTGTACAATGACAGAAACAATCTATTGAGTTTCCCAACTCAACAAATTCATGTGTTTGGATGGGGAAATTGCTTAGACACCAGCTGTTGTTGTCTAGACATTGGACCAACACACAGACCTTCCTTTTTTGGAAGCCTCAGCATTCTGACAAGGATGATTAATCAATGATGTCTGTTTGCTTGGAGATGCTGCTGCAGCTCACATGAGTGCTATGCAAATTGATACAAGTCCATGAGAGCTTGTAGAAACAAATTAGAGGGCCCACAGAAATGAGTTGTGTCAATTCATAAAGATGAGTGAACAATAAATTGTCATATTTGTATGGACTGTGTCTCATATATATATACTACACGTAAAGATTATCCAAAATACAGTAGAGTGAACAGGTACTTGCGAAGTAATCCTAGTAATGGTAAGTAATTGATAAGTAATATTCTGTGATATTCAAGAATACTACAGACATTACAAAGTGGGACAGCTATAACTAAGGGCTAGTGAGTACTGTACATGACAAAAGTTGCTTTGTAGACATTCAGGCAAGGGGAAAAACATGATCCCACCTGCAAAGCTCTCAGCCAGGCTTGGCTTGGGGGCTTGGCAACAACACCTGCTGATCTCTGTCTTGAGGCAGCATCAGAAGTTGCTTGGTGATGGATGGCAAGGCCAAAGTCAAGTATGAAAAGCCAAGGATGAATTGGGATACACTTATCAAGGAAGAGCAGAAGGCAAGATAGATTGTTTACAACTGTTATTACTTACAAACATCCTAAGAGTCATGGGAATAACCAAGGTCAGGTGACTGTGAATATAGCAAATTTCAAATCATTGGGCAGTTTTGATCAAGCAGTGCTGCTTGTTTTTGTTTGCACCTGATGTTGCATGCTTGCTACCCACTCCACCAGCATAATGGAAGCGCAGCTCAACTCAATTTTTTTATTCTATCTCCAGACTAACAGGCACCAGGTCAAGGATCCCTGACAGAGAGAGCTTGTCTTATATCACTTCCATGAACTGTGTCAGCACCAATACCCTATTGTGTGCAACCTTGGCATGTTTTAACAATCTGTGGAGATTGTGGGAAGTATCAAATGATTTGGCGTATTGTGATTTTTCCTGGACTGTGTGAGTTCTTCTTGTACATAGATATCTACAAACTGTCCATGTAGAAAGAAAAACTTGCTAGCACTTGTGTTCAATAGTGGGTTGAGTGATAGTCTGTTTTTGTGTCTAGAGAGATCCTGATGAAATGCTGAGGGCGTGCTTGTGACTGAATCAACAATGAAGTCAAGTCAACCACAAAACACGTCACACTCCTCTAATCAGCTTCTCAGATGTGTGAAAGTGCGAGGACTTCAATGGTGACAGAACACCAAATCCAAAATATCTCTCTTAAGCTGAAGACTGGATCTGAGCAGTCGCGACATGGTAATGTTACACAAAAACTGAAATAAAATCTACAAATCCCAAATCAAACAACCAACAAATCAACAAAGGCAAGAGGAAACTCGGTACGGAGTACTGAGTGCTCTTGTCGTGACGGCGTCAAATTATATGACACCAAGCCCAATATAAATCAAGTGAGCCCTAGTACTGAGTACCCAGGTCTCTTGTCTCAACAGCATCTAAACGGTGACGCTAAACCCAAACAACTGTTGACGCACTGCCAATAGATGTGATCCCAAGCCGACGCACTGCCAACTGTATCCCAAAAGCACCAAGTCAACGCTCTGCCAACTATAGCACCACCAAAAACCCAAGCACAACTGCTGACGCACTGCCAACAGAAGTGTGGATGAAAACAAACAGTCACCGCACTGGTAACTCAACTAATCAGCCACGACAATAGTAGACTCGACATGTGGTCACAACAAATATCAATACACAATAATCAAATCTTCAAAATCCCAATGGAAACTCAAGTAATGACAATTCACAGTAACAACAAACTCTCAAAGAGAGTTGGTTGCAACCAGGCAAGGATGTATGAACTCCTAAAGTCTCAAGTCACAAGCACATGAGCGGGGTTGTCAGAATCTTACTAGTCCACTGATAACTAGGTGATTTGTAGCCTCTAGTATACTATCTACTACAAAGAATACTCTACTATTTTATAGTAAATCCTGGTCACACTTACTAATGCCACAATCTACTGTACAGTTGCTGTGATCCTCCTATTAATTCCCTCTTATAGTAGCCAAGCACAAACAATCAAATTAGTTCCTGCGTTCAGAAGCTGGCCTGTCTGTCCTGTCGCAGACAATACCGTGCAGTGGAGATACGACCAGTAGCGATCACCTATAGAGACAGAGTCTCAGCGAGTGTAGAAGACACAGAGCTAACATTAGCAGTACCTATAGAGACAGAGTCTAGGTACAAGTCATGAGTATGAGTCGTAAGAGATCATAAGAGAGTATGCATACCTCAGCGAGTGTAGAAGACACAGAGCTGAGGATATGGAGCGTATAGTACTAGGTTTATATACCAGTCTGGAGCAGATATCATGATGTCATAGTGGAGTAGTGATATCATAGATGAGTAATGGATGACGCAATAATGAGGTCAGGTATGAGGTCATTGTGGAGCGAGCCAAAGTAATCTAAAGATACTACATATGATGTCATGTCTACATACTGTGATAGTCGCTAATACAAACAAGCTTCAACACTCCCACTCGACTAAACAGTCGGATCACGAAGACCCAAAGACAGCCGATGTTGTTGGAACTTCACCCATGCCAAAGACTTTGTGAGCGTGTCTGAGATCATCGCATCAGTCGGCACATGGTAAAGTTGGACATTGCCAGCTTCGACGGATTCTCGTACGAAGTGATAGCGGATGTCAATGTGCTTCGTCCTCCTATCATGAACTGGATTTACTGCCATAAAGATAGCGCCTTGGTTATCAACACAAAGAGGCGTAGATGGCAAGTCATATCCAAGCTCAGTCAACAAAGTGCGGATCCAGGCAATCTGGCGTGTAGCATCGCTCAGAGCCATGTATTCGGCCTCTGTTGAGGACAAAGCGACCGTGGGTTGGCGTCTAGAAACCCAGGTCACTGCACAACCGGCGATGAAGAAGGAATATCCCGTGGTTGAATGCCTGTCGTCTTTGTTCTCTGCCCAATCAGCATCGGAATAACCGATAAGGCCTGCGCCAGTGGAACCATCATAGCAAAGTTGGTAGTTTTTGGTGCCCTGAAGGTACCGGAGTATGTATTTTGCCATGTTCCAATGATGTTCTGACGGGTTGCTGTTGAACTTTGATAGACGGATGACTGCATAGGCAATGTCGGGGCGAGTACCAAGCATGGCGTATAGAAGGCTGCCAATCAGTTGCTGGTATC